GACAAGGTGGAAAGTCATCTTATGAAAGGGAAATTGGCGGTCTCTTTCTGGCCGTGTTCCTGAACATAAAGGTAACAGAAGTGTTACCTTTATGTTTAGGGACTTGGGGGGATTTTGCTGGGAAATAGGTGTACAAATCTGAAAGGGAAGGTCTGCGGTTTTGATCTCAGATTTTCCTCTGTATGTGTGCTGTACAACACACATTTCAATCGCTGAAAATTTTAGCTGTCACTTTGCATGTGCAACCATAATATTCAAAAAACTTTGGAGCCGTCAACGAAGGGTACAGAAAGATAGACGGGCTGAGAAAATAATCTTTTTAGACGATATCTTTTTGAATTTTGCAAAAAGATATTTTTAAAAAAATGAAGATCTTGTCTCTCTTTATTTTTCCATGAATAAATCAATTGGCTCCAGTACTACTAGTCCGTTCGTAAAGCTGGAGAAGTGATTTTTTGGCTCTTATACTGCATAAAAAATCAGGATGCAGGCAACAGCCCAAAAAATCTACAGGGTGGGCTACTCGAAACTAACAAGTTGTTTCTTTGAATTTCTCCGCGGAGACTCCGCCGATTTTTCTAAAATTTAGATTTTTCTGTAGCTGGGAACCTCCATTTTCAGCCGACTGAATTTCAAAAAAATATATCTTGAATTGACCTTTCTATGCCTTCCCAAAGTTTCGAGGAATTATTTTCGAGACGAAACCGCAAAAACGTAGAAAATTTTTGGAATGATTTTCAATTGACTTTCTCCGACTTGAAAGCCATCTTACAGCCACTTAATCCCGATTTCTCATGCCATGACCCGCTCGCAATTTCTGTTGTTCATTGACTTCTCGTCCACCAACTTGCCGGCGAACGTGCCAAACGCCCGCAGGCTCGGATGCAGGATGGTATCCCCATTTCCTTCTCTTTCTTCTCCTTTCCGCGTCTCAACGCACATACACAAAGTGTCAACATTTCATTTCGAAAACATTGGCCGCCTTTTCTGACTTTGCAAACTTTTTCTCCGCTTCCTTTATTTGTCGAGATAAGTGCTAAAATTAAGGTCGGGAAATATTGGATGGCAAAAAGGAATGCCCTCCGGCCAATTTCTTTAAATGAGGCGGAGATGTGACGTCGCCGCTATTATCTCGGGCCCAAAGCCGACTTTTTTTGTTTTTTTTGCGGCACTTTATTCCGTCAAGGAGTCGTTTCTGATTTGGCGGGTGTTGTAAAATTAATATTTTCAATGTAAACGTATAACAAACGTTTTGGGAATGACTGTGTTTTTGCGGCGGTAACTATGGGCCCTTATAGTTAAAATTTTAAATATTTTGGTGACTATTCTTGAGTTGTTGCCAAAAAAGTTCGTTTTTCAAACTGTGTTGTGTGCAACTTTTGTGTTTGTAAGACGTTTGGCACAGACGATCTGTATAGAGAATATTTCGATTTCTGAAGATTTTAGCTTTCATGATTTTAGCCAAGATATTTAAAAATCACTGCCGACGAGAGACCACGGAAAACTAGAAGAGACGGGCAGAGAAAAAAAAGGTTATGAAGTCTGGGCCGGAAGAAATTATTTTTATAAATTTGAAATGCACTTTCCAAAACAAAACACAATTTAAAATTGCCTGTTACGTGACCAACTCTCCTCAAATTCCCCCACCAAGTCCTCTTATCCTCGCCACAAAATAATTCTTTCTGACATGGCGCCATTTACCATTCCGAGTCCCTATTTCTCTGTTTTTTGTCTGCTTTTCCCCACAAAATATCAAATTTCTCCAGTTCTTCTGTCCGCATATTAATCAGTAATGTAAAACAATGGGCAAGACGTTTTATGGCTCGATTTTTGAAGGCTTTGATTTGGTCTTATAGCGTTTACAATCAAAAAAAGTATTTTTTTACTCGATTTTACTTTTCAAATAAATTTTCTGGAAGGTCGGAAATTTTGATTTGGGCTTTGGAAGTTAAATTTTTCAAAAAATTCAAATTTCCCGCATAAAATTAGCAAATTGGCATTTTGTTTCAACTGGTAAAATTACTTTCAAATGTATCCCGAACTCAAGATTAGGGGGTAAAATACGATGCTAAGTATTCTAACGTTACATACGTTCTATTCGATGCGCGAAAAGATATCCATTTATATTATCCATGCCACCTTTCCCTGTTTTTTCATGGATAGTGTGTGTTTCGCCATAAAATGGCTAAATTCTTGTTTAGTAAGTGCTTTGCGAACCGGTGAATTATTTTTGACAAGAAATATAACCTGTCGTTTACATTGCTTGCAACTTTTTACTCTTTCTTTTATTCCCTCGGACCAAGGATCCAAAATGAAGGATCCGTTAAAAAGACGCCACAAGTTGGTAACTTTCCCTAACTCTTTTTTATAATCAAATCTAAAGCTCTCTGTATCCACATTGTCCAGAGTAATGTTCTTTGCTTCGACTTTACAATATTCATTTGAGTGTCTGTTAATTGTGACCTCCTTCGTCTTTTTTCTTACAAAAAGTGCATTTCTTTAAAATGCCCGGCGGGGGTGGAGTGTAAAGAATAGAAAAGTAAGTGGTAGGAAAAGGTAAAGGGTTGTATTCGAGAAAAGCCTTGTTGTGAAGCCCGGGTTCAAGGGGCTGAGGGGTCTCTGTACAAATTAAATACTAGGATTGTATTGGCAACATTTTTTCGTGGGGGTGTCTTATTAGAGTGATAATTTTAATGAATTTTGGCCTAGATTACTTCGAAGTTTTATTGTGTCTTTTTCAGCTATCAACAAGGCATTCAACAGTTTTAATTGCGAGAGTGCATGTGAAATGAGGAGTCGACTAGAGAAAAAATCATTCCGCCTGTAACTTTTTTGTTTATGAGGGAAAGTAATAAACTGCCGCAACAGTCGTTGATCCTAGCATTTGTTACCGAAAATTGCATAAAAACGTCTGCTTGCCGCGCCGTAAAGTTCCGACACATTTATCGCGGACGTCGCAAATTGGAGTGAGCTCGCGCGAAAGTGCATGTCGCTAGTGCAAAAACGGGGAATGGTCGCGACTGAAAACAGAAAAAAGGGCACTGTGCAAAAATGTGGGGATTTTATGGCGCGACTAGTATTGCTATATAACAACAAGTTCAAAAAAAAGCTGCCAGGCAAATTGCTTGTTTAATTTTTCTTGTTGTTCGTTTTCCATATTTTTTATGAAGCCCTTGTGTATGGCAATATTCTGCGCTACGTTTTTTTGGTTAAAAGCCATTGTTTCGGTATAGAATAGAACAAAATTGGCGCCAAAATCATGATTCGAATTCTCCGTTCGCATTTTCTTCCCTCAATTTTTTGATTTGAATGTAGAGATTTTTTTAGCTATGTTTCTAAAGAACACTTACCAAAGATTAATTTTTTCTTATTTTTTTCTGTTTCCCACCCCTTTTATACTTGATTGTTGCATCCTTTTTCAGCAAATAACATCCTCAATTTTGATAGATTTACTGTCCCATTTCACTTCCAAGTTTAAATAGCAAATTCCCTGAGGGTATTTCCATTTTTTTTAACTTTTTTATTTAATACATCTGTAGATGTGACGGCCCGAAAAGGAAGGGGATACGTAACATGAAAAGTATAAATTTTTGGGCGATTACGCAAGAGGGGGACACGGGAGGGAAAAGAAGCCGGCTTCGTTTTGCGCGGCTTCATGTTCCCCCTTTTTAACGCCATACATTTATAAATTTATGTCGGCCTTTCGGCCGCTCATTAGGCCGCCTAATTTTTTGTAGATTAACTTTTGCGATTTGGACGCAAGTTCGCCGCAGGGGCTGTTTTTTGGGCTGCAAAAATTCGCAAAAAAATTAATTTTTGAATAGTTATTTTGAGTCATTTTTTTATGATTTTTTGAGCATTTAGAACCATTTTTTGAACATTGCCTGAAGGTATGATCTTTGGATGGCCACAAACATTTTAATAATTAGTTACTTTAAATCCAAAAATTTTATCTCAATTAGCGGTGTAAGGAAGGGAGATTTAAATTTCTTATGACTTCAGAGAACACGTATATGAAATAAAAAATATTTTATGCCACAAATATCTTTGTTTCATTGAAATTGCTACTTTATAAAGTCTTAACTTTTTAAAGATTTAATTTCATTTTTTTTGATACAAAAAATTTTTTATATCATAAATAAGGTTTCTTCCAAGGTTCTGGAATTAATTTTTGAGCTCTAAAATAAATATTTTTTGATTCTCAATTTTCGGAGAGATCTTGGAGTAACATATATAGCTTTGAAATATCACAGTTACAATCCAGGCTTATTGGGGCCAAAAATAGTTTGTTTTTTTGATGACTAACATAAGATACAATGCCCTTCGAGGGATCCTAAAGGGAAATATCCCTCCCTAAGTCTGCGTTTTTTGTCTATAACTTTGATTTTTGACCATAAAATGATGATTTTTTGCGTGAATGTGCTTACAAGGCTATAGGAAACTCCCTGGATTTTAGTTTTTTGTTTGTTGGTAGTACCAAGTTGCTCAACCTTTTCGGAAAGACAGACCTAAAAAAAAATATTTTTAATTTACCAATTTATACCACTGATGCTGAATCTCGCTTCCGGGTTTTCAAACTTATTCTTAAATCCTTTGAAAGTCGCCGCCATCCTTCCTGTTAGCCCTAATTCACGGCCGGAGATCCCATTCTGGGGCCGGTGCTCGGATTCGGTCTTTTCTGCATCGAATATGATGTGACGACATACGAGATTAACCCAATTCGGGCATTCGTTACTGGGCCCGTTCTCTCTTTTCGCTCCGGAACTGTTAAATCCAGGGGAATTAGGCGGTAAACAACGCCATGTTGGGTCTGATTCTTGGGGATATTAATTAGCAAATCCAAGAAATGATCCTTAGCCGTTTGAGGAGAATTTTTGGCACATTTATTGATTTTTTTGCGTTGAAAACAATGTTTCATGTAGTATCGCGTATTTCATAATTATTCTTAGAGTTTATCTAAAGTTATGCAAATTTAGGTTCTGGGCCAGACAGTCCACCGTATGGCATGCGCCCGAAACTATCTGCCGCCCTATTTCCGCGTGGGCATCTTCTTCTTCTGCGGCCTCGAACTCGCCTGGAATGCCTTCGTTATGGCTATCAGTAGGTTCTAAATAACGGTTTTCAACTCCGGTCACACCTGCAAGAAAAAAATTTATTTGCCGTTATACAGAAACGTAGTGTCTGAAAACATGTTTTAAGGTATAAAATTTTTAAAAATTTTCAATTTTTTGCGATTTCCTTGAGCAATAAATGTTACTAACCATCTTTACAACATCGTCCATTAATTCCGTGTTTTCAGACCAAAAATTCTGGGACTTATCGACCAAAATCTTCCCCGTGGCCTTTAAAATGTTCAATGACACACTGCTAAAAGGAGAACCCCGAGATTTTGTGTGGACGGTGGTGGAGCGAAATCAATTGGATATGGTGTGTAAAACAATATTATTTTTAATCTCCTCTTTAGTATCAATACAAACTGACATTGATGTGGTTGTGCTCGACGATCACAATATTGTACTCAATGCTGTGTATTGTCCCGCAATTCTGCACAATGCAACAGTCGGACGACTCCGAAATCACTTTTGTAAGTCTCGAATTTATTTTTGTAATTTAGGTTTTGGATTTTTTATCGCGTTATGCAGAATTTTCAGGGCTTTTTTGGCCAAAAGTTTAGTAATTTTTTTTCCTCACTGAAAATAGGACGGAAATGATGGACTTTTAAAATTTCCAGTTTCTGCATAACGCGATGTAAAAACTTTCAACAAAAAATTTTAAAAATAATTTTTTTTCATTTAAAAAGAATATTTTTTTAAATTTATTTTCGAATTTTGATTTTAAAATTCATTTTTTTCAGTGCGTTAAAAAGCCGGTCCTGGGCTACGTGATGGCCCCCTTCCTGCTGGTGCTGGTCTTTTTCTGCGGCTGTGCCTTAACCTGGCAATGGTTCACCTGCGAGGAGGACCATTCCCTTTTCCAGAATCTCTTCGGCCGCGCCCAAAAAGAGGAGACTTTCCTGTCGGAGCTGGAGACTCAATTAAACTGCAATACAGACGATGACAAAGAGGTGCTCGGTGTTTGGGTGTGTTGTTGTTTTGTGGTTTGTCATGCACTCAATAGTATCGTATCGTAGTATACTTTTACGTTACTTTGAACAGTTGTACTCACGTTGTGACTTGATTTTTTTCACTTTGATATTGTTTTAGTCATCCATCAAAAATATTTTTATTATTTTTTTTGTTTTCAGCGATGCGAAGACATGGTAAACCGCGCCATGTTGGACGCCCGATGGCTGGATCCTCTTGTCTACAGCTTCATCATTTGCCATATTGTTATGCTGTTCGGGTTTTGTATAGCGAATAGAGGTGAGGCTTGGGTTTTGATCGATTTTCCAATTTTTCTTTGTAAAATTCACCGGAATATTGAGTTCACCGGAAATTTTAGCAAAATAAAAATATAACCATATCTATCCTATCCGTATTTTACAAAAAAAACTTTAATTTTTCCAATTTTCAGAATGGGAATGGAGGGATGTGTTGTTTTGGAAGAAGGAGAAAAAAGATTTCCTGGAGACCCTGGAGAATAATCATCAAATCGAAGAGGAGAAACCGATGACGTCATCGACCATCCGAACCAACGGAATGGATATGGAGAAGTTGTTGTGATTTCTGGCAATCTCTTCATCCCCTTAGGCCTCATTGTACAGTTGCAGTGGATTTTTTTATAACGAAAAAAGATTGAAAATTTTTGTCCAAATGTCTTTTTTTTTGATTTTTTTAGTCAAAACGTGGTTATAAAGAAATTCCCTGTAGTCCCATCGACCAAAAACTGCCTTATATCGACCAAACTTTTGTAAATCTTTTTTTTTAATATTTTTTGTTGAAAATGTTACAGTAATCCAAAATCTTTTGCTTAATTTTTTGGTTGACTGTAACAACTGTTATTTCCCCAATATTTTCTCTCGATTACAGGTTTGAATAGTAATTTCGTCTGTCTGGTTTCTCCGTTCTCAATACAAACATATAACAAGTTACCATTAATAATTTCACTTTCTTACAATTACTGCTTAACGGTTCTTTCGTTGTAAGTATTGGACAAAAAAAATATTCAAATTCAGGGTTTCGTACTCCCGGTTTATTAACTCATATTTTTGAAGCGAAATTTGAATAAAATTCGATAAAAAAATTATTGATTTTAATACTTTTTTAGCGAGCGTAATCCCGATGTCAACTTGATGGATAACATAAAAAAACAGAGATAAAAATGATAACAGCAACTTCAAAAGGGATTTTTTGGTGATGTGAGACACTTTTGACCATTATTTTCAATCGTATTTAAGCCGAAAACACAATGCCAAAATTGGCGGGAATTCAAAATTTTCAAATAAAAAACTACAACTTTATTGCTTGCCAAATGATTATGCAATATTTCCCCTCTCTCCTCTTAATTACAGTAACTAAAAGATGATATTTTCATTCACACTGGCCACTCTGTTATCTCTTGATTGGCTCTCCAATTTGTTGTGCTCTGAGACATCGGATGTGGCCGATGCTTCCACTTTGGTCCTCAGAATACAGCTGAAGACAACTCGTCGATACGGAATAATAATCCAGATGGTTAACAGCGGATTGAAGACGGGTACCCAGGACACTATCGCCAGTAAAATGCTGGCTGAAGGGCCCGTGGAAACGTAGAGAAAACAGGGGACGCAGATGCAGAGAATCGGGCTGACGGATGTGAAGACTGGCAAGATTGTCTGGAATGGAAACCTGTTTAATTATGTTGAGTGGAGTAAGTGGAACAACTTGATGATATGTAGTGTAAAAAAAGGGTGGAAAGTGTTCAATAAATCATCACAAACCAACGATTTATACCTGAAACATCAAGGCTTTAGTCAGCTGTGCTTGCATATCCCTGGTCCTCTGGCTGTATTTTTTATTATTGGTGTCCAATTTCTTTAACGTAATCAATGCCAAAACCAGCGTCAACACGTAACATCCACCAACAATGACAATCGACGCAATAAAGTAGAGTTTCATTATGAAATCGTTCTAAAACATTGCGTGTTTTAAGACCAGAAATTTAGCAAAATTTGGTTAGCATAGAAGCTTACAACGTCTCCAATAATCAACGCGGGTAATGGTTGTTCATCGTACCACAGAAGAGCGTAATTAAATCCAGGCCTTGCCAGACCCGAGTACCGATACGCTTTGTAGGTAATCCAATACATTGGAAAAGCACCAACCAGGGCTATAAGATAGAGTCCAAAAGTTTGCGTCTTGTTCATGTGATGGGGACTAAATTTATAAAAAATTTGCATGGATTTATAACAAAATTTGAATAATTGAAAAACCGCATTTTTTCAAATTCTTGCTTTGTTGTTTCTCAAAGGTCATTAGACCCATTTAGAAATTAATTTTATTTTCTTTCTACGTATTTTCAACTCACTTGCTGACAGTGTAATATCGATAGTAATATTGAGCGGGGATGATCGTATGCATCAGTGTTAGATGACACACGTACCAACACATGGCATGCACTTGAAGTTCGTATGAGAAGTGTTTGATTGGGCCTTCCAAAGTGAACATAAACACTCCATCGGTCAGCTTGGAGCGCTAAGAAAGTTTACTGAGGTTACTGGTTTCTTCAACTTTTACTTTTTTGCCTAATCGCTTTATACAAAAAGCTTTCAAAATATTTCATTTCGGTTAATTGCAACTGTCCTGAAAACGAAAAGTACTTGTTCACAAAACATATTCATTAGGCCCTTAAGTCGTGTTCACTGTATAGAATTAATGAGTAGGTTAGAGCGGCATACTTATGTTTTTAAAATTAAAAAATTTATTTCTTGAAATTAAACGTGTCTCCTTACCACCTGAACAATTGAATCGCAAAACCAAAATCCAATGTCAGACGAGCAACACAGCAGCAACATCCTACTGTAATTCTTGAGTGGGCCAGTTGAGTGTTTCAAAACCAAATAAAGTAATGTGAACGAAAAGATCCCTCCGCAAATTCCACTGGTCGTGTACAATGTGTCCACTAACGCCTTGACAAGAGGGATTCCGATATGATTTTCTGGGCGAAATTTTCCGTCGGATTCGGGGAAATCCCAAGCGTATGGATTGCCGGCCCAAGGCTCCGGATGGACTTCTACTTCTACACTGCGCTGGACAATCATCGAGAAGGTTACTGAAAATTCGTAAAATTAAAATGAAAGGCAGCGAAAAAACGGCCTGCATAACACAGAAATTGACCATCAAAAAAATTAATTTTGAGAAAGTAAAATTTAAAAAACAGTATCTGACGTGAAGCTTTCTTTCTCAAGTTCCCGTTTTTACGGGATCTCTATCGAGCAGGAAATGATTAATAATCAAAGCCAGGCTTGGAAATCACCATCTTACGCTTTCTGGCAATTGTGAAACACCTCGATCCATTACAACTACACAAAAGAGATTAAAGGAACACCTGGGGCACACTACCTTCTTCTATTACGTTTAACAGAAGAAATGAAACTTATAATTACTGTAAGTAAAGAGGCCTGCGACCCTCTTCCTTAATTATAAATTTAAAAGTGCCCGAGGGCTGAACGCTACAGGAGGCGTAAATTATGACAGAAGGAACTCATTCCGAAGATCATGACGTACTTTTTAAACTATTTTATAATTGGGGGAAAATGACTTTTAGGTTACGCCAAAGAACCTCAGAAATACATTAATTTTTACAGTATATTTTTTAAATACATAATTACAGAAGATGAGCACGCGTCGGTAACCCGACCTAAGGGTAACGTCTGGCTTACAACCATCCTTACTGTAAAATATAAACCCCATTCTATGCAGTCTAGGAAAACCATAGTTTATAGTTAATTTATAGTTAATTTACCTTCAACCGAATCATGCAATAAGACAATGAAATAGTTTATAAATACGACGGGTTACTCACCCGTATATCCGGGTTTTTCTGGTCGAGTTCAAAGAAATCAATGTACATTATTATACAAAAAAAAAGGAAAAAAGAAACTATCTTACTGTACTTTGGAAATAACATTTTTTTGAAGTCATCTTTGGAAAGTAAATTGAGCAGTAAAGTAAACTACTCAACTGAAATACGAACAAAAAACATGGGAAATTCAGAGAATTACGGTGTATTGTTGCGCAACAAAACATGCCATGTTTTGTTCCATCTCTGTTGAGCGAAAAATGTGAAATTGTAAATTTTACTATGTTGTAATGTTAGCAAATTACACAAATACGCCACGTGTTTTTTCTTTAGTTTTTGAGTTGTAGTATGTTGTAAAACGAAGATAACGGTAAAATAGGAGAACAAAGTCCCGCAAGAATTTGGCTAGTTGTGCAGAGCTTTCGCTGAGGCCTTGTCCGGGCTCACAATTGTTAGGCTTCGCGTTATTAGACAAAGCCATCGGTTGGCTGGAACAGTAGCCTCATCACATCTCATGGCAGGACTAACTAGGGAAGTGTACAAACGAACCCTCACCAAATCGCAAGTGGTATACACCATTGGAAAGCCCTTGAAAAATGGTGCAAGGTACCATTTTCATTTTTTGCAGAATGCCTTTCCGCGACGACATACTGTAAATTTCATTATTTTTAGGTCATTTCGCAACAAAAATCTTTCTTTCTCTTGAGCGGATAAAAATCCTCGAAGAGGGTTGCTTCAATAGTGCAGTGGTTGCGGAGCAGGCTGATAAGCCAAACCAAGCTAGGTTCGATTCCCAGCTTGGGGGAAAACGTTTTGCGTTCTTACAGTTAGGATAATATTTGAGTTAAACCTTTACAAACGCTTTATTTTTTCTAGAAAACGGTCGATTACGGTTAAAACCATCAAACTTACATGTTTTTCAAAATTAAAAAAAGTTAAAAGTGTTTTTTCACGTTATGGGTGTTTAAAACCAGTAAATATCATATGTAAAATGGTTTTACTGGTAAGCGCCAAACTTCATAATGATTCTTAGGCCAACCTAGTAGCAATACTTACCACTTAGCGTTTTGAAATAAGATTTATTTTGCCCCACAGCAGATATTGTAACTACTCAAGGAACAAATCAACCGTTTATAATTTTTTGCCCTGAGGCATTCTGCAAAAAATGAAAATGGTACCTTTCACCATTTTTCAAGGGCTTTCCAATGGTGTATAACACTTGCCATTTGGTGAGGGTTCGTTTGTACACTTCCCTAGTAAGAAACAAAAACCTTTTCGTCGATTTGTGGACATTTCAAGTGCGTTCCGGGTGGTCATAAAATAATTTTTCTCCAAAAACATATGCGTTTTTATCTACAATACTTTTTAGGACTCTAAAGCAACCTTTGACCATTAAAAAAAAGAAAATTGTGATAATAAACACTTTGATATCATGAGAATTCTTCAGTATGAGAGACTCAGACTTCCACAAAATTCCTGTGCGTGGCCTAGCGTCTTATAAAAATTATTTCAAGCGCACACTCCTGTGACTAAAAGATTTGGTCACAATAAGATCTGTGAGTACACCCGGTATGATATAAGTTATTAGAAAAGTGGGTAAATTACATGGCAACCAATACGTACCTTTACCCGCAAACAGAGAATTTTAATTGCAAACTTGAAGACTTTAGTGGTGTGACTGTAAATGCCACGCAACATACGACAGTTCAATTATATTGGGCATATAGACGGGCCCATCTGAAGGTTGCTGTTCAATTTGCAATTTCCGGATTAAAAGTTATGAAAGGCCCATTATGGGATCTCCTTCTTTGTCTTCGTATAGTCCTAGGGAGCGTTTCCAAAAACAAAGTCTGAGTGACGTCATCCAAATTAGCATCGGTAGCGCACAGAAACAGTAAGTCACGAACGCTTTTTAACCCGGGTCTTACTGTGGAAAAACATGATTTTTTGCGTTGAAGACCCAAGAAAATTCTAAACTGCCACCTCGAAAATTCTTGGAGAATCGAAGTTTTGGCATATAGGCCCAAAAAACTGATGATTTCTGTAAAACGCAAACCTAATTGTAAGATTTCTAAGTGTTACCAAAATTTTTGTTTATCGTAAAGTCGATAGAAAGTTTCTGCTCCGAAAATAACGTCCTAAATTTTAAATTTTTCTTGGCTTTTTAAATTCGATTTTGTCATCCAAAAATTATCCGAATAAATCTTGGTTTCTAAAGTTTTTGACCAGTCTATAGTGCCTGGACTAAACATCTAAACGGTTCAAGGAATGCACTGGAATGACGTGTTTTGGGCCATAGTTTCGAGAAATTACCTAGTTCGAACCCCGCTTTTACCGGATATTTATAGCGGTTTGGCAACAGACATAAGATGAAATTCAAAAATTTAAATTATACATTCAAAAATGGCCATATGGCTCATTATGAACTTCATATATTTGAGAGAAATGAATGGCTAAAAGTTTATTTTTACAATATAAACACCCTTAAAACTCCTTTTAAAAACGTTGCCCCCTGACTTGTTTGTAATTATATCATAATTATCGATGAGGGTGTTCTTTCTCAGATAGACTGCACTTAATGTTATAAACTCACCAGGTGTACTTTAAATTAGTCATGCCAAGTTCGGTTGCTTTGTATTGACATTAAAAAACCACTTGTGGCATTTTATGTCTATTTAGAACATTTGTGACTATTTTAATTACCAATTTCTTGGAACAAAAGTTACAGTATACTTCCGCACAACCCTGTCAGAGATATTCAAGTTTTTAGCTAAAATCTTTGAGATTGTCATCAAAATCCCTTTTTTAGGGGTCAATTATAAGAATCTGTGCCGTTTTATATGACCTAAAATAGGCGACCACCTATTACTTGTAAAAACCCGCCATATGTCAAGTGGCTCTAATCCTCCCAGTCATCGACATCAAACTTCATTTTTAGTAATCCGATAAATACAGTAAACTATTATTTGTCCAAAAAATTTCAACATTCATTGTTACAATTTGTCGCCACAATAAATAATTTTGTTGTTTTCCAAATTACAACGTCAAAATCGAGCATGGTATTATACATATTTATTACCCTATAACATCAAAATAATCTTAAAAATCTACAATTATATAGAACATCTACAGCGTTTGAAGTAATTACAACTTCAGCATTCCTCCACATTCACCCTCAGGGGCTGTGCTGCCTGAATTGATTTGTTTCCATCCTCAACATTCCGCCGTTTCCTTTTGTGGCGCCGACTCAAATGGAGGACTCGAAGATAAATCCCGATGGCTGTGAAGATGGAGCAGCAGATCAGGAGGACGGAGACGATCACGAGGACGAGGTGGAACACCGGGATGTCCGCGTTCGCTGAAAATAGGGGTTTTAGAGCTAACTGTCAGCAGGGGTAGCTACGATAACAATGAGATGTAAACAGCTTGTCATCCAAAAAAAAAGTTATGGGAATTTGTTTTCAAAAAGTGGCTTATGAACTTTAAAAATGCCTGGTGAACCTTATGGCAACTATTCAACCATTATGCACTTGGAAGTTTTAATTCGCAACATCTAAGTGCCAAATCTATCGCTAGAATTTCCTGGTGTAAGAAAATGTTGGCTGATTTCCAAACGTCAATCTCAGCGTCTTTTCTAGCTCCTACAACGTGGTTTCCCGCAAGTGCGACCCGCCCAGCACGCCTGACTTGCTGACTGGAGTGGCAACACGTGTTTTTACTCTCCTCCCCCAATATTTTGCAGAAACCACTGATATTTTTAGAACAAAGATTTTCGGAAATTTGACATTTTGCGTACTCTTTCAAAACAAAATATGTAGAATTTTATTCGACTACAAGAATTTTGCAAAAGGAATCTGTTGCTCAGAACTACGGTAAATGATAGACTTTTCTCTCATTTACCGCAGCGTTTGGCCAACAATCGGTTGGGAATTCAGAACGCTAGCTAAATGATGTATGACATATAAATTGTGCACTCAGAAAAACACAATTGCGCTTGCCATAACCCGCTTTCATGATGCAGTTACAAAAATAATGACTTCGATTATCTTTTCGACCCAAAAATCACCCTGATTTGAGCAAAGCGTGAGCCAAAAGTCCTGCATACGTCTCAGAAAAAACTAATCAAGGTTTATACCCAATATCATCATCTCAAGAAATATTTTCTTTATTTTCTTTTTTTTTTGGAAAAATTTTGATCCCACGTTTTTCCAAGAAAAATTTCAACCTGCAAAAATTAAAGTCCAAAATTTAGAATTCAAATATTTTCCCTCTATCGCCAGCACTTCCTGCATTTCTTGCATGCCATCAAGCACGCACCTTCCCTTTTTTATTCACTTACCATTACTCCTTGTGTATTTCTCCAGCTTCTGTAGATCGAAAACGGTCGGATTAGCGTGCAAATTCTCCATAATCGAGGTAATGTTAGAGTAGGGAGATCAGAAAGATTACAATTGGGCGAGACCTACGCCCATAAAAGGCAACAAAAATGTTTGCAATTCAAATTAGGGCATTATACGTGCAAAAACAGCACGTCTTCGGTCCGCAAAACTTAAAGGGCAGTCGATTAAAAGGTGAAATTTGAGAAAATAATGTGGATGTAGAGAAAAAAAGACAGTTAAAAATGTAGTGATAAACTTTTTAGAAGGCTTCCATAGATTAGGAAATAAGAAAAACAAGATTTTTTGATTTAAATTTTCAAAAATTAGAAACAGTAGATTTTATGAAGATAAAATGGAGTTGGTTATTGTAGAACGCCTTAGGGCTTTAGTAGAAAAAAATAGAAGCTGATGTAATTTGTAATCTCTCCAAAGAACCCAGAAGGCTATTTGCGGCCTGAAAAGAAAGTTTTTTTATTTTTGGAATGGGTATGAAACATGCAACATTCGAATCCAAAACCCCGCAAAAAATAGCTGAATGAAGAAGTAAAAAAATGTATAAAACGGAGGGAGAAAGTGCAACGTGAAGGCAATATGGAGTATATAAATTTAACCAAATGTAATAATTTTTTAAATAAAAAAATATTTTCAATCTTTTTAATCCAAAATGCAATTTTACTTTGTAGTTACTACCATATCTCCTCATTTCACGCACTTTTTTTGGTGGAAAAATATTAGTGAAATATTTTTTATTTATTTCCCATCCTTATTTTTGCAAAAATGAAGAGTAATTCGACCTCATCGCCCGTTGTATGGTCGCGCTCTCACCGCAGATCATAAAGTTTAATTAAATTTTCCGTAACCCTGCTTAATAATTCACCCACACGCAATGGGAATTTGTGATAGGATAGGGGGAAAGGATTTCTGAACGGTTGTTTGCAAAGGATCTCATAAAAAAAGGCTAGGTAAGGAAGCCAAATTTTGGAAAAGCTTTTGAAATTTTATGAAAAATAAAGTCTGATGGTTTTACGAATACGATGACCACACTGCGGATAATTAACGGTTCCAATGAAGCCAGTTCCGTAAATTGAAAGGTACAATGTAAAGAGAGAGGGCTGTTTGTTGTATAGAGCCCATAGGAAGTGTAATATCTATAGATATTTGTATACAAAAACCTCGGTCCTTTATAAAATTTCACATTCCCTAGTGCTGAAAGTTGCGTGGCTTTATCGAAGCCCATTTGTCCAACACAACCTGCTCTCCCCCAGCATCACAGCAGAGCAGAGAAATTACAGCAAAACACGCAATTACTGTAAAACAATTGCGTCTATCAAACCAGATCTTCGGAGAAGTACAAGTTCTTTCAAATTACAGAGAATTGGCGAAAATAATACATACTTGAAGCATTTAACTGCACCCTCTAAAGGAGGCTGCCGAACCTGTCAACACAGAATTAATCGTTGATGGCCAGAATAAAGTCAAGGGAGTCTGTATATGGCCAAGTAAACAAGACATCGGAAAACAGAGAAAGTGTAAATAATAAGTAATTCAGGGCAATATATGTGAGAGGCCAGGGTATTTTAGTGATCTGTGGGTGAGATGAGGTGACTCGGGGCTTCGGGAAAATGCGTATGGCAAAACATATATGGTCGCCTATATATTTGGCGATCTTTACAGTAAAAAAGTGTAGAAAAGAAGGTCAAAAAATCTCTTTTGTAATGGCTTGTCAACTCTTCAAAAATTTTATTTTTCGGTAGAGACTTTGCATCAAATTTTCGAAAGAAAAACGGGCCTAAAAACCTTGATTGTTTTTTGCAAAACTCCTGTCTTAGAATGGTCCAATAATTTGTCCCAAAAGTTTTACCATCAAAATATAACGCCTCATGCTTAAAAATCATCATCACTACTGATAACAGGCATGTAAAAAGCTTCTTCCTTGAGGTGTTTTCAACCCGCCCATTCCTGCCCTCGCCTCCACCTCAACCTTGCCATATGAGGAATGCAAATACGACCCCCACAGCGCCCACCAATCAATTTATAATTTATATAAAGCAAATAACCTCGCGTTATTCTTTCATTACCCGTAAAACCCCTCGGGGTAAGCAGGAAATGGATAATCAAAATCCATTCAAAAACTTTAAGGAAATTTAACACTCTGCAAGGAAGGCAAAGCAACTTTAAAGTGCCTCAGGTAATCATACAAGGCTCTCAAAATTACGAGAATTATGTAGATTGCGTGTCAAGTTTGAAGAGAACTGCAGACAAAGGAAAACAGAAAATCCCCTCAGGGTTCAGATTTTAATTAGGCCAAGTCATTTTTTCTCAACTTTTGCGGCGTCATTTGGACGACATTTTCCTTGACGCTGATTTGGTTTCCGGTCCTCATGCAGCGCCCAAATAAACAATGCCAATTGGGGGAGGAAACGGGAATTAGATGTAGAACAAGGTTAAAAATTAATGAAAAATGGACGAGGTTCCAGAGAAAAAATCATCAAAAAATGTGGCTTGTTGTAGGTCAGATCCTATTGGCCGTCAGTGAGGAAAAAAATAAAGATAATCAATTTAAATTCTTTAAAAATTTACGAGCATTGCCTAATGAGAAGAAATGGAATTTACAGGAGAGTTCTGCGTGTTAAATGAATGCCCAAATTAAGCGGTAAATAGCTCAAATCTTGCTGAAACTTGACCCAAAATTTCGGTTGATATTTTTGAACAAATCCGCGAAATTCCTAGCTTGCGCTTTGCAGAAACAACCGAGGATCTTTTCGCGAAACCGCTCCTCATTTATCCTCGTCAATAATAAGCACTGAATATCTCGGTGCCCATATAAAAAACCTTATAAAAATATTCAGAAATTTGTTTTCTGCCCAACTGCCGTGTATGCAAAATCTAAATAAAATCCGAGCGCCGCACCCTACTAAATTTAAAACAGCCTCCCTCCTTGCCTAAGGTGGCCAGACGGCCAATCCCAAGTCCAGACCAAGAATTCTAACAATAGGAATCTCCATATTGTCTGTTATTGGACGTCCACAATAAATGCTGTGTTCTCGACCTTTTCTGCCCCCGGGGCGACGAGATTTGCGCGAAATTAAATTTCCGTCAACTTGTAAAACGGCAGTGTTTTTCCGAACTCCGACAGGCGCAAGAAATGCAATTTATTGGCATACGGAGTTCTGAAATTTTGGGGAATTGAAGTGAGCGATCAAGGGGACCAGGGATCAGATTGGGGAGCTGGGTTCGCATATAGATTTAGTAGAATACTGGAACTTCCGCATATGCCTTTTAAAAGCTTTCATCTCTACGTTTTGCCAAGTTGTATCAAAGTTTGATCTGCTAGCTTCCTTTTCTCTGTAAACGTATTTCTTGGCAGTTCAAATATCCAACCTGAGATTGCCAAAATAATTTCGGCTCCGGCTCCCGGCTCCGTGCAACTTTTAAAAAGTTCTCCGGCTCCGAATCCCGGCTCCTGTGCAAAAAAATTTTTAAAAATATTTTTCGAAAAATAAAAGCTATTAGTGCCAGAGATCAATCAGCCAACGTTTTTGCAGCCAAGTCGTACGCAACAATCCACCCCAGTATTTTTCAAGTAATATGGTTTAACAAGATCACGAAATTTTTACTTTTCTGAACGCTGAGAAGCCTGGCTCCGACTTTCGGCTCAGGAGCTGGAGCCGCACCCAAAATTTCCAGCTCCGGCTCTGGCTCCCGGCTCGGAGCCGGAGCCGCTCAGAGCCGGAGCCAAGAGCCGGCTCCGGAGCCGTGGCAATCTCTGTATCCAACCCTCGAAGCTTTTGATCTCCGTTACTCATACGCCTCCTTCCAACAATTTTTAACAGTTGAAAGTAAGCCTCTGTGTTTGCATTAATCCTCAGCAAAAAACTACGAACTCATTCCAAATCATTTGATTTGAAACATCACCCTACAGTCTGCCGATGTCATAAGCCTGATTTCCATTTATTTTGCAGTGCTTTCATCGCGTTATTCACTCTACAAACCCACGTTCATCTCGTCGCTTTCCCGGTATGCCCGCCGTTTAATTGGTGTCTGAGTTCGCGCGAAACTCTCGAAAACAACCTCGGATTAGCGTCGCCTACTACAAAAGACTATGAACAGCCGCTACTGTTACTATTTAACACCCATTTGAAAGTTGAGTTCGGTTATTTTTGAACGCAATGATCGTTTATTCGGTGATTCCGGCCGCTTTTTTGGCGGCTCTGTGTTTGGCGGCCCCAGCGCCTCAGGGCGCGCCGCCAAGCGCGTCGGCAAGTGTTAGCGTCGGCCCCAATGGGCTTAATGCGACTGCTTCGGCCACATTTTTTGAAGCGACTTTAGTCAGTAAGTGAGAAGGATAAGGGAAAAAGAGTGACGAATTCGTATTTTAGTCGTCGCACCACAAAGCTGGGTCGATTCGTACAGACAGGTAAGGGATTTACGGAAATGCTTATGTAAAGCATATAAAAAACACAATGATTTTTTGTGGGTAATTACGATTTTCAAAAAGATTTGTTGTTTTGGCAACATTTCCTTCAAAAATCAGCATTGTGTCCAAATATAAGTCGATTATTGGAAGTTTTTTAGATCCCTGAGCCAGGCCGAGTCTGTTTCTTCAACTTGACCAGTGATCCCTCCAACTTCCAAAGCTTGTCCAACCCCGACGATGACAATCAAGTTCAAAATCTTATTGCCCAGAGATGCCCTCAGGGTGCCGACCAAATCAAGAGTTTCTTGGACACGGTCAACTCAACGGTCGCTCAGGTCCCGCAGAGTTTGAAGAGACTGTTCGAGAACGTAAGGAGAGATTAATTTTTGAGTTGAAAGTATCGCTGATTTAAGACAGTCAAAAAAAATTTCTGTCTGTCGATCAACTACTTATCTTTATCTTTTTAGTTCGCCACTTCGGTGCAAGGATTTAGCAGCCAATCGCCAGGTGCTTCCGGTGCCCCTGGAACCCCCGGTCTTCCCAGCTCAGGATCTCTTCCCAGCATTCCCAGCCCTCCCAACGCTCCCAACGCTCCCAACGCTCCCAGCCCTCCCAGTCCTCCCAGCCCTCCCAGCGGCTCTGCCAACCTCCCTCGTGCCTCAGGCCTCAGCCCTCCCAGCGGCTTTCCCAGCGGCTCCAGTCACCCCAGTGGCCCAGTCCCAACCCTAAACTCTCCCAGTGGATTCCCCAGCTCTTCCGGTGCTTCCAATCTCCCTAGTGCCTCAGGCATCAGCCCTCCCAGTGGATTCCAATCTTCTGGCGAAGGATCAGCTGCTGCCGAGAAGGCCAAGGAGGCTGTAACTACTCTTGTCAGCGGATTCCATGGCCTCTCTAATGCCGATAAACAGAAGATCTCACAGCTTTTCCCCAAATTGAGTCCATTTATTTCCGGTACGTTAATATGCTTACTTTTTTTTTATTTTTTTGTGAATGTTCTTACTGTAAATTTCAGGACCAAACGCCGAAGATTTCCAGTCAGATCTGTCTACGCTATTGAAGGTCACCGAAGAGGATCCAAGCGAACCCGATCATAACGAGGAACTATTGGTAAGGCCTGTATTAATTTGCCTGTATTTCTCGAGTAATTCCTTACAGACATTCTCAACATTTCATTATGCATTCATACCACAAATCAATCGCTAAAAGCTTTTAACTCATGCCTTGCTGGCGCGCTCAGCATGTCGCAAATTTAAGAGAATACATTCTTTTAGTCCGCCCTCCAAAGCTTCAAAACCTCCTTCCAAGCCGTGATCAAAGAGTTTGTCACACAAAACAAACAATATTTGGATGAGGCCGGCCAATTGGTGGGCCAAGACTTTGTGAACACGATCAAGACCGGCAAAGGATTCGGAGGAATTCTGGGGAAGAAACATGGCCAAGTTCCCGACGACATTGACTCCTTCGGAAACCCTGCTCCTTCTCCGTCTTCTGGATTCCCCTCTGGCAACTTGCCCTCAGGCAATATCAATATTCCATCCGGCGTTTCATCTCCACCAAGTGGATTTCCGAATTCTGGAAGTGCTCCAAATGCCCCAAGCGCTAGCGTTCAAGGACAAATCAGCCAAAATGGAGCCTCAGTCAGCGGAAGTGTGCATCAATAAGACATGAAAATGATTTTTAAGAAAGAATAAAGGGTTTTTGAATAATAATGATATGATATTGTGATGGAATTTGTAGAAGAAACTCGCTCTGTTTTTGTCAGCCTTGTATAAAGCTTTGGCCGTTTCTGCCAAAGGAATCGTATATGCCTTAAAAATTGGAATCTCGGCTTGAAGAAATTGCTAACAAGAACTGGGCTTCGTATTTTGAACACTTCCAATGCCAGCAAATTCAATTTTTAGAGAATTTCGAAAACTTTAGTCACCTAAAATGTCTTAGAACGTGTGGCAGTCTTGCTCATTCTATGCCCTTTCGATCACCCGGATCCTTTTTTGAAATTCAGGTTACAAGACTATATCAAGTTGCCCTTCTTCTTTACTCTTGCTCGCTGTGCCAGCCACTCCTACTCTCCCAGTCGTCCATTTAATTGGCCTCTGTTGCATCATGCAGTCGGCTTACCCCCACTCGATTACGATGAATGCCAGTGGAAGGTGCGGATAATCTCAAGCGTACGTTCCCTTCGGATCGATATAAACCACGAATCTGAAACAAATCTGAGAATCAGAGCGGTATTTTATATATAAATCGGATTTCAACAAAAATTCGTAGTCTTGAAATTGATGTTTTGAAATGAGTGGGTGTTCTACAGTAGTGACTCTACTGTTAATGGTTTTTGGAAGCTGGGGAAAGCCAGTTCCTGCTGATGATTCAAGTGCTGAAGCGGGAGTAAAAGTGAATCATCGGAGACTAAATGCAACGGTGTACTCCAAATTCTTCGAAGCCAGTCTGTTACGTGAGTTAGAGCGAGAAATTTTCTCAAACAAGCTAAATTTTTAGTGTACGCTCCAGACTCCTGGGTGACGGCGTATCAGGCGGTAAGTAACGATCACTACAATTTAAATACTTCTTCCTTGATCCATCTAATTTTATTCTTGTCTAATTATCTTCCAGATCCCCGAAGATGAAGTTGAATGTCTCCTCAAACTGACCCATGATCCTTCAAAATTCAAAGCCTTGAGGAACACTGCAGACATTGAATTAGTGAAGAAATTGGTGGCCAATGGATGTCCCGATGGAGCTCAGGCCATTGGCAAATTCTTCGATGCTGCTTCAGCGAGCATTCAAGCGCTACCTGAGGGTCTGGTTGAGGCGTTGGAAGCGGTAAGAAACCCTATCCTTTTTTTTTTGAACGACTTATAAGCAAAGCGCTCAAAAGAGGGACGATTTCTGAAAGAATTTGTCACCGAGATTTGAAAAAAAAATTGAGTCATCTTTTTCAGTTCGCTGACAGTGCCAAACAATTCCAAGACACGGTAAAGGAAGCGCATCAAGCAGGCTCTCCCATCTCGAATAAGACCGTTGACGACTTCAAGAATGCCTTTACGACTTTCTTAACTCAATTCAGCGACCTTTCCGATGCCGATAAACAAAAAACAGCTGATACTTTCCCCAAATTGAAGGCCTTCGTTGTCGGAGACAACGCGAAACAATTGGGAACTGACATTTTGGGTTTGATTTCAAAAATCGGAGATGATTTTAAAGAGGCCGCACAAAATCCTGAAGTTCAGGTGAGCTTTTGAAGTAATTTTTATGCTGTAGAACTACTTTTAGACAGCTCTTCAACAACTTCAGAGCACTTTTAAAACAGTGGTTCAAGAATATTTGGCGGATAATCAGAAGTATGTGGATGAAGCCTCGACTTTGATCGGGCATAATATCACCAGCGTGTTGAAGGATGGGAATATTGGGAAATTTGGGCAACATCATGGGTCAAGTGTGACGGTCGATCCAGTTCCAGTGGTAAAAGAGTGTAAGTCAGATTCGTTGTCACCTGAGTTTTGTAAAAATTGTCAAGTCAGATTTTTCGGTTTTAAAGGCGTAAGTCGTGGTTTCGCGAAGGATCTGCGAGGCATTTGGAGGGAAACGCATCCTTGTTTAGATCGGAAATGTCCAAAAAAAACTTTTTTCGACTTTATCAAATTGTATGAATAAACATATAAGCTCCCGGATTCCCCAGGAACAATTCCAAAAAGTCCCACCGAACACATCTAAAAGACGATTCGGAACTCAAGCATACCTTGAACTGGGAATAATATTCCGAATAGGCCCTCTCTCTTCCAGCACTCCATTATTTTCTTCGCCGGAAAAGAAACGGGTTCATTTTTATGCGAGAGAGCGTTTTTTCTCGTTTCTTTTCCACCAAAAGATATAACTTGACTCGAGTCAAGTCTTCCCCAAAGCTTTTTTTTAGGTCGTAGTTTAAAACGCGTTTTGCCACACTTTGGAGTTTAGCCTAACAGAGGGCGGACATTGTTATAATCGTTATCTCAGAATTTAACCAAAATCGGTCAACTTGATCACCATGGCAGGTAAAACATTCGCTTTCTTTCTTTTTGCCCAAAATTACCGTATGACGGCATACTGTAACATTTTTTTTAAAAAAAGATATGGCCTAATCAAGAAAACGAAGCTCTATTTTAGCACAAATCGAGTTCAGGTGTATGTTTTCGACAACTAAGAATATTTTTGTAATTATGGCCAAAAGCTCAAAATTACATCTAAGCAATGTTTCGCCTGCGGCAACATACCATTTCGGGCATAAAATTGGCTACTGTAACCAGATGCACTTTTAAATACGGTAAAAAGAAACTTCGACCTTCATCCAATAACCCATAAAAATTTCAAAAAAATCAAATATACAACTTTTGAGAAAATGGGCATTCAATATCTCATGTACAAGGTCATCTGGGCCCGAAAAAATCTGGCATTCTTGGGATTCCAACGGCATGCACTTTTTCAAAGTTTCTAATACATTCTAAGGCTGATTAAAGATGAGATGGCAAGTTTCAGGAGAAAAAAATATACAACTTTCGAGAAATTGACCAAAATACCTTATTTTAGGTCATCAGAACGCCGAAAAAGTCTGGCATTCTTGGGATTCCAACGGGATGCACTTTTTCAAAGTTTCTAATACATTCTGAGGCTGATTAAAGATGATATGGCAAGTTTCAGGAGAAAAAATATACAACTTTTGAGAAATTGACCAAAATACCTTATTTTAGGTCATCAGAACGCCGAAAAAGTCTGGCATTCTTGGGATTCCAACGGGATGCACTTTTTCAAAGTTTCTAATACATTCTGAGGCTGAATAAAGATGATACGGCAAGTTTCAGGAGAAAAAAATATACAACTTTTGAGAAATTGACCAAAATACCTTATTTTAGGGTCATCAGAACGCCGAAAAAGTGTGGCATTCTTGGGATTCCAGGTTGTAGCACTTTTTGATAGCCTCTAATACATTATTAGCCTTGTAAACGATGATTATGAAAATTTCAGGCAAAAAAAATGCACAACTTTCGAGAAAATGACCAAAAGACCTTATTTTAGGTCATCAGAACCCCGAAAAAACTGGCATTCTTGGGATTTGAGGTTGTAGCACTTTTTGATAGCCTCTAATCTTTAATCAGCCTCAGAATGTATTAGAAACTCTGAAAAAGTGCATCCCGTTGGAATCCTAAGAATGACAGACTTTTTCGGCGTTCTGATGACATAAAATAAGGTATTTTGGTCAATTTCTCGAAAGTTGTATATTTTTTCCTCCTGAAACTTGCCATATCATCATTATTCAGCCTCAGAATGTATTAGAAACTCTGAAAAAGTGCATCCCGTTGGAATCCCAAGAATGCCAGACTTTTTCGGCGTTCTGATGACCTAAAATAAGGTATTTTGGTCAATTTCTCAAAAGTTGTATATTTTTTCTCCTGAAACTTGCCGTATCATCTTTATTCAGCCTCAGAATGTATTAGAAACTCTGAAAAAGTGCATCCCGTTGGAATCCCAAGAATGCCAGACTTTTTCGGCGTTCTGATGACCTAAAATAAGGTATTTTGGTCAATTTCTCAAAAGTTGTATATTTTTTTCTCCTGAAACTTGCCGTATCATCTTTATTCAGCCTCAGAATGTATTAGAAACTCTGAAAAAGTGCATCCCGTTGAAAACCTAAGAATGCCAGACTTTTTCGGCGTTCTGATGACCTAAAATAAGGTATTTTGGTCAATTTCTCAAAAGTTGTATATTTTTTTCTCCTGAAACTTGCCATATCATCTTTAATCAGCCTCAGAATGTATTAGAAACTTTGAAAAAGTGCATCCCGTTGGAATCCCAAGAATGCCAGACTTTTTGGGCGTTCTGATGACCTAAAATAAGGTATTTTGGTCAATTTCTCGAAAGTTGTATATTTTTTTCTCCTGAAACTTGCCATCTCATCTTTAATCAGCCTCAGAATGTATTAGAAACTTTGAAAAAGTGCATCCCGTTGGAATCCCAAGAATGCCAGATTTTTTCGGGCCCAGATGACCTTGTACATGAGATATTGAATGCCCATTTTCTCAAAAGTTGTACATTTGATTTTTTTGAAATTTTTATGGGTTGTTGGATGAAGGTTGAAGTTTCTTTTTACCGTATTTAAAAGTGCATCTGGTTACAGTAGCCAATTTTATGCCCGAAATGGTATGTTACCGCAGGCGAAACATTGCTTAGATGTAATTCTGAGCTTTTGGCCATAATTACAAAAATGTTCTACATGCTCGAAAACATAAAGTGGTGGTTAGGTCTCACTAAAATACCGCACCATATCTGCAGAAAAGGCAACTCTTTTCTCAGAAAGAAAGTTACAGTAATCCACCATATAACGACTATGGGCAAAAAAAATCAAGCGATTGCTCCATACCGATTGGTGATTCGCTTAACCAATTTTGGTTGAATTCTGAGACATCGACTCAACAATGTCCGGGCCAATCTACGATTTGTAGTAAAACGCGTTTTAATCATAAACATTTTTAGCCGATGCTCTAACAAATCCCTGGAGAAGTGGAGGTGAATCAATTGGAAATCTCCCGGCGGCGGAATCCTCTGAATTACAGGCCAATTCAGTCTCCGATTCTTCGGCTTCGAAGGCTAAAGTTTCGGTGAAAGCAGAGCCTGAGGGCGTTTCGGCTAGTGGCAGCATTACCCATAAAAAATAATCTAAAGTATTAATTTGATTGAATTTAAATCTACAAAATAAAAATTTTCGAATGTTAAAAATTTTATTAGCTCTATAAAATATTATTTAAATTTATTTTGAGCCCTCCGAGCCCTCATCTTCTGAGATTTTTCCCAATTTTGCTCGCAACTTGTTCAGAATGTCGTCCTCGATTATATCCGTCACCTCTGTCGCGCCCGTGATTTCATTCGTTTCGAGCACATAGAAGTGTCGATAAACGACTTTAAATACGAATAGTGTGATCACAACGACAACTCCAACCCAGACTGTGTATAACCGGTCTTCCCAACGATGTTGTAAGGCGATTTCGGTCGGTCTAACGGGCTTCTCAAGGGATAAATCTTGCCGAGTTTCGCGCTGATGATGGAAGGGGGCGTAGCGGAGGAGTTGGACAAAGAAGAGGACTATGTAAACGGCAACGTAGATTAACTGAAACGGAGTAGTTCATAAGGGTTCCGAAATGCTTATGTTCTGATTTTGGGTGTATAAACAATGCCGACAAGCTTTTCTCACATTTAGGCTTTAATTTTCTAGAGCATACTTGAGACTTTTAGCTCGCGTTTTAAATAAAACTGCAGTGAAAATATGCTTTTCTCTATTAGTACTTTCATAAAGTCCATGAGTATTAGGTTGGCAACTAAGTTATTGAATTTTTTTTTGCATTATTCCACAGACCTTCTTAAGTCAGTATGGCTAGTATCACACTATTCCACCTGTAGTAGGGTTAGAGTGCTATCAAGCCCTGAGGCGTCGAACTCGCAGCTCGCGTGTTGGTATAGTACCTTGAATTTGAATAAGAGCAATTTTGAGTGGTTATTTTGCAGTGCCATGCATTGCGTTTAGAACTCGAATGACATAATGCTAATGTACAACGTTTACAACGTCAGGACACCTTCAACAGTTTTGTGATAACATTTTGTCCCAAAAGGATCAATAGAAATTATTACGACTTCGCTTAAAATTAGGCGGTAGGCTGTCTTTCGAGGTGTTGCACGAGACGCTAAAGAAGGCAGCGCGGTTAACTATTCGGGTAGTGACAGAGCTATTCACTACGAACCAAATAGTAGCATAAACCGTCTTCCTTCTTGGAGCATGACATAAAGTCGCGACCGAATTTATTTTCATGACCTGCGTAGCGGCTCCCAAAAAGTTAACCGAGTAGTTGCTATTTTTTTCCAAGACCATTGAGCCGCTGATAAACCTAAGGCCCTGAAAAGGGAGAAAGCCATCGAAAGAGACCCCGAGTTGAAAGAGACCCCGAGTTGAAAGAGACCCCGAGTTGAAAGAGACCCCGCCTCGAAAGAGACCCCGAGTTGAAAGAGACCCCGAGTTGAAAGAGACCCCGAAGGGTAATCGATGGCGTAGATTCCAAAAATCATATTCGTTTTTTCTGATTCTTACTTTTTTGCTTAAGTAGTAATTTTAAAAAGTAATTTTTTTAATTTTTCTAAAAATAGTCGATTTAGGGGTTTTCGAGGGTGCTGATTTCGAAAATCATGTTAGCTTTCCTCTTTATAGTACTACCTGGTACTATACAGTACGAGGTGAAAATATGGATTTTGGCGTTAATGGTGTTGTTTTGATGCTTAGTACTCCTCAAAAATACGTTTTAAATAACTGGTACTGTTAGTACTGTCTGGTACTATGTAGTACAAGGTAAAAATTTGGCCTTTAGGCGTTAGTAGTGTTGTTCTGTTGCTTAGTACTCTTATTTTCACCTCGTACTACATAGTACCAGACAGTACTAAACAGTACCAGTTATTTACAGTACTTCTCAAAAAATGTGTTTTAGCACATGGTACTATATAGCACGAATTTGTTTTTGCACAAAATGAACGCCTGATCAGTACTGTATACCAAAACAACTTCATTCACGCGTTGTAGCTTAATTTTTACCTCGTGCTATATAGTACCACCTTGTACTATACAGTACCAAGTGCTAAAAACACATTTTTTGAGAAGTGCAGGGCTTCAAACCAACACCATTAACGCCAAAATCCATATTTTCACCTCGTACTGTATAGTACCAGGTAGTACTATAAAGAGGAAAGCTAACATGATTTTCGAAATCAGCACCCTCGAAAACCCCTAAATCGACTATTTTTAGAAAAAATTAAAAAATTACTTTTTAACATTACTACTTAAGAAAAAAAGTAAGAATCCGAAAAAACGAGTATGATTTTTGGAATCTACGCCATCGATTACCCTATTTTTGACCTTTTCGGCCATTTCGGGGAAACATCGAAAGAGACCCCCGATTCCGGGGTCTCTTTCAACTCGGGGTCTCTTTCAACTCGGGGTCTCTTTCAACTCGGGGTCTCTTTCGAGGAAAACCAAAAGGGACGTCTATTCTCTTTGTTAAAAGCCATACAGGAGCCAGCGACCCTAGGCGCGGTATTCTGAAGTTAAGACCGAACAGACCCTTTATACCCGATGAAAGCATTTTTAAAGATTTTAGCAAATTTTTTATGCGCTATGGTCTCGGGAAAATTACCAACACAGAGTATCACTCCTCCGAATATGTTTACATGGGAGATAGAAAAGATTCGGGCTGCGAGCAAAATGAAATATAGAATAACCACTTACGTCGGGATGCCTGTTTGGCCCGATAGAAATAATGATCGTACAAAATTATCAAACAGTCCAAATAGACTTTGCTTTCCTAAGTGTTGTGAAGTACTAATGTTACTCTCTGTGGAGTATATCACATCCATTTGGCTGTGCACGATCTAAGTTATAAAAACTTTAGTATAAAAGAACATCTAGAAACCGACTTCATGAAATCTTCAAAGCCTAATTTCCCTGGTTTCTCTGTTGGTGGTGCCACTGCACATTCAGATGATAAGGTTTGTATTGTTGTTACTAATAGTGGGTATTATAGTTGTTGACTGTCAAGCCATTTAAAGGTTATGGCAAAACAAAAGCAGTCAAAAATTTCAATAACTTAGTTGCCAACCTAATATTTTTCGCGTTTGCACAGTGCATCTTATTGTTAAATTTTTTCCCATGCGTGTCGCCGATTCACAGTGGATTTTCTTTTTCGCACCGTGCAAACCTCAAAAAAGTTTGCACTGCACTGTGCAAATTCCTGGCGCCCGCGCAGCGACGAAAAGTGATATTTTGCCGCACAGTGCAAAAACGAAACAAAAGGTGAAATGCACGGTGATAAATCGGCGTTTTTGTGCATGGTGCGGGGCATGACAAGTGATTATACGTTTTATGAAGATACTAATAATCTAGACTGTTTTCATTTTTTATGTTTTTTCAAATAAAGATACCTGCCTGAAAGACGTAGACTGAAATTTCGAGGATCCAAATCTGGCGCTAAGAACAGCACAGATGCCACATTCTATGTAAGAAAACCAGTCCCCAGAATCATTTCTATTCTTTTGTTTAATTTTCTTTCTTTTTCTATTTTTTGTTCCTATGTATTGCGCTTCCCGCAAATCTAAATGATAATTGGTCCGTATTTTACCATCTTTTTTAGACCATCTAAATTATTGAAAAACTCACATTCCAGATGATTAGTGGTATGTACAGAGTTCGAATTCTCGCTAGGTTTCCAATCAATGCCGCCAAGTAGAAAAATATGGTGATTGTAGAGACTCCCGTGTAATAGTAATGCCGGAAATAGGTTTGAATGGCAATATCCAGGCCAGTTATTAGAAGGCCAAGGATTAGGACAAAAAGTGCGGCGTGCTGAAAAATAAATTATAAAGTAACAGCTTTCAAGGATGACTAAACACCTTTTAAGACAACACATCTCTCTGACCCCGTATTTTACCCAACTTACCCCCAAATCGAACGAGCAATACTTCATTCTATTCGCTTCCCGCAACTTTTCCTGAATCTCCAAGAATTCTGGAGGCACATCGAGGACGCTAACCGACGTTTTTGGCCGATCCGTGATTAAAGTCGGGGAAGATGAGGCCTGATTTGATGACTGAGAGGTCTGCGGAACGTTACTATCTGATACTCTGCTCCTGAAATTAAAGTTTTATGTTAATTTAGGCAAAAAAATTAATAAATTCTTTAAATGGAATTAATATATTTTTGCCAGAGTCTACACTTACAATTTCTCGCCTCTCATGTCTTCCCTAACGTTTGAAAGTCGGTTCGATAGTTATCAAAAACGAAACTTAGTGACTTTCTCCACTGGCAAAACACCTACTCGATAACCTTGGGCGAATTGCGGAAGACGTTAAAATTTTTATTGGGGAAGAAACATTCCGTCATCTCACTCAAGGGCCCCGCTCTTCGCTGTACAACAACTTCCGCGTCAAGTGAAACGCGAACTTATTTAAAATTCTAAAATTTTACTTCAATTGCGAATAAAAAACTGCGTAGATATTATATTCCGAGGTCTCCTTTAAATTTTCTAGAGTTCTAGCTCACGTGTTGATGCTCAACAGACATTTTAAGCCATCTTTTTTGAGACAAGAGAGTATAGAAATGATGAGAGACGGTCAGAGAAAAAATGGCTATACATGTAGTAAATACATTTGATAATCCTTTACGGAGAATTTACTCAAGTCGCGTTTTTTACAAACGTTTTGTCATCATTTTTATTTCACATCAAAAAACAAATCGCCAATCAAAAAATGTCACCTTCACGCATTCTACCACGCAAAAAAAGTATTCTTTATTGCTAATCTTCTGCTCTCGTAACCTACTCATTTATAATTTATCTTCCGCGATTTTTTTAGAACTTTCTAGAAAATAAGCTTAAAAAAGTTTTAGCCGCCAGTTATTTATAAAACCCATGTAAAAGCGTAAAAAAAGGTTTTGATGACCCATAAAAATATTATAAAATTTTAATCTGTGGAAACTTCCCAAAAATTATCACGCAAAAACAACCCGACTTTTTAAAGTCGCTTGTTGGTCAAACGGATTGATTTTAGAACATTAAAACCTACACAAAAAAAATGCAGAATTCGCACGTGTTTTATTAATACTTTCCAAAAATATATTTTTTGTGGTTACCTGGAGAAAGACAGATTACTGGGAGACGATTGGACTCTGCTCTGCATGTACATAGTAGTGGAATTGTAAATTTAAGCAAATAAAATAAGAAAGTTAAAAATCAAGTGTTAAAGAAAGATTCTTTAAACTTCTGGAGAAGTTTAATTTCTCAATGAAGAGCTTGTAAGTGGAGAGAGATCGCGGGTTGTTAACTTTGAAGACCCACGTGACACTTACCATTCGGACCAGACAAATGAAGATTTCTTGCGACCAACGATTATGGGGGCACTTCTGAAAGGCGCAAAACTTTGATGAAGTCTTCAACAGTGGTCTCAAGTATAATATAAAACGAAAGCTGTGCCCAACTCAAACTTACGGTTTTCTGTCGACTTCTCTCTCAAACGGCAATATTTCTCCACTCTTTTTAGCTTCTGTATCTTCCATTAATGTTCGTAAAACTATATTATCTAGTTGAAGAAATTAACTTTCGATTAGGATGCAACACGGTCTCCAAACCGATCAATCCTAACTCAGCAATATCCAAAAATTATGCGAGTTTACGAATTAGAATATTTTGTACTGTCTAAGCCACAAGGTTCAAATCAACAATTTAATCGAAGCCCAGACCATGAATGAACTGAACCCAGTTTAAAATTTATGAAAAAACGCAAAGCGACTAACGATTACTCTTGAGTTTACTCGAACTGATAAGTTAACTGCTTAATGAACACAATCTCTGCCCTCTTCCGGGTATTCCCCATCAAGATTAAGGACACCGACATCAAAGAATTTGATCGGCTCCCCTTCTTCGGTCACGTAGTCCTTCGGAATGAAGATGGTGAATTTGCGTTGACAGGGCTGAAAACAAATGAACTGTATTGAATTTTTAAACATAAATTTTTAAACATAAACATGGTGTTTACTATTGGGACTGTAAACATAAACATGGCGTGTACTATTCTCCTTGATTGCTGCGGTGATCTTTGGCGCTTGCTTTGTGTAAAAACGCCGGTGTTAGCGACAGCCCAAAAGGCCTATTGCACGAAGAACTTGCACAATGCAAAGTGAAGCTTTTTTCCTCGCAGTTTATCATTTGGAGGGAAAAGAAACGAGAAAAAACGCTCTCTCGTTCAAAAAGGAACCCGTTTCCTTTCCGACAAACAAAATAGAGAAGGCCGGAGTTAAGCCATTGCTGTTGGAATACCTGTTCCCAGTTCAAGGTACACTTGAGTTCCGAATCATCTTTTTGATGTGTTCGGCGGGATTTTTTGGAGTTGTTCCTGGGGAATCCGGGAACTTATAATTCTTTTCGCGAATATCTGGCATTTCTTACCAACAGATCATTGCAATCGTGGTAAAAGTTCACTTTAGGATCGATTGTTGTGAACTCATTCTCGGATCCCGAGATTGAGAAACTCCCATCCACTCCAGACCATCCCTCGGCCAGCAAATCATCCGTATCCAGACCTGAAAGAATGACATTCAAGGGGAATGGGAAGAACGTCAGGGTCCAAACAAATCCATTACCTTTGTCATCATCAAACAACTTTACTTTAGCTCCTTTATAAGGCCGATTCTCACAAATTACTTGGCCTCGGACCCCAACAAACTGCTTAGAAGCCGCGGCCACATTCACGGAGATTACTGTAACAAGGAAAATCTTTGTCCACATTTCGAGATGAAATTTTAGTGAAAATGATTTCAGATGTCATGTTCGTCCTTTTTTATTGTGAATAATGTTGAGAGGAACGTGTGATTATTCATCTGAATGACTTTAGTTGTTGTCAATCACATTCCCTTACTCATGCCGGAGTCATTGTTCCAATTGAAATGAGCCAAACAATAAGATCCTCGGGCAATTCGTACAGTCGAATTTGGAAATTAGGCTTCGAAATTTTAGAGAATGAATAATTTCAGAGTGGAAAATCAAAGTTCTGGGTGACATGTACAGTTTCCGCAAAAAGCAGCTTTTATTTTTACAAAAGTACGACAGCGTGTCACAAAACTGGCCTAACAGAAAATAAAGAATAAAACAAAACAAGTTTTATTCTTTATTCGCGAAAAAGTAGTCTAAAAAATGAAAATGAATTCAAATTTACGGAAAAATTTTTAACCGCGGAGCGTACCGCCGTATTGGTCGTTTTACCAGAAATGTTGCTAAAGATTGTGGCTGCTCTGTTAGCTCTTAATATTGTCAACTGTAACCCGGATAACGAAACAAGATGTAAGCATTTCTGTTTTTCTCGTTGCCACTCGGAAGTTAAGATTTCACGCTCCTTCATCCTCACTATAAGTTCCCGGATTCCCCAGGAACAATTCCAAAAAGTCCCACCGAACACATCTAAAAGACGATTCGGAACTCAAGCATACCTTGAACTGGGAATAATATTCCGAAAGAACAATTTCAGTCCAAAATCAACCTTTATACATCGAAGCGCCTCCAATATACTTAAAAAACAATAGAGTTTATTTCAGTATGCCCAGACTTTGATTCCTTCGACCGACCAATCCGGATCACCTCGGAGACCTGCAAGGATATGTCGTCGTATGGTTTCGCCCTCCCTCCGGTCTTTAACATCTATAAATCTCCACAAATTGACTTTACTTTTGAAGTTGTAAGCTGACTTTAGTTGTCTTATGAGACAAATTTTTACCTTCTGTTTTCTTATTATACGTTAGTTGTAAATCTCATGATGTATAATATCCTTCAACATTTACAGGGTAAAATCAACGATTCTTCAACCAACGACACTTGTTTACTCGAGTAAGTTCGGTATTTCTCACCAGATTCGAATGAGAGCGGAAGCCTTGCTTCCACGGCGCTTAGCGCGTTCGGTTGTTAACCAAAATGCTTCGGGTCTAGCCGAGAGCGAGTAGTGGCTTTTTGGTGATAAAAGCGGTGCATTTAGGGTGATGTTTCTTGCATTTCATTTCTAGGAGAACAATTGACCCGAGTCAAGTCATATCTTTTGGTGGAAAAGAAACGAGAAAAAACGCTCTCTCGTTAAAAAAGGAACCCGTTTCTTTTCCGAAAAAGAAAATAAAGGAGTGCTGGAAGAAAGCAAGGTATTTCGGAAAACTTTTCCCAGTTCAAGGTACGCTTGAGATCCGAATCATCTTTTTGATGTGTTCGATGGGACTTTTTGGAACTGTTCCTGGGGATTCCGGGGACTTATATTGAGCATAGCGAAAGCAGTCTTCGTTCAGCTTCTCCTTGACCATCAACACATGCACCGTCTACGTTACCCAGTTCAAAAGAGGCATTCCTTTTTATATCGATCATAAGTTCCTCAAAGCGAAACGAGAATATGATCAATTGCAATTGGTAGCCTATGATCACGGCGAATCGGAAATTCTCTTGAACTCAACTGGATGTACCGATGACTGGAACACTCAGAAATATTTTTCATTTATTTTAGAGTCAAATGTCACAAAAAATGAATCGAATTGCATTTTTACTACGGTAAATTTTTTTATTGAGAAAATTGATTTTACGTCGTATTTCAGATCGCCGAGGAATTTGCCTTGCTCTATGACAAGAAACAGCACCATAAACCAGTAGAAGTCAAGCCAGATGGAAGCTTGAAATCGTTGATCAAGATGGTCGAATGCAAAGAATATTGTTTCTTGATCCTGATGGGGCACTTGATCTTCTTGTAAGCCCAATTTTGGATCAATTTTGTGTTGTTTTTAGGATCCTTTCTTTTGGAATTTTCTTCTACACCCTTTCCAAGGTTCTTCGAAGGAAAGTAAGTCATCCTGTTTTATATGTCGGCCATTAACAGCAGGCCTCACGAAGGGGGAATCTTTGAGACGAGACACTCTAGAAAACAGGAGAGTCTGTCGCAAAGAAAATTCTATGCTTATTTTTTATTGAAATTTTATTTTCAGCGTGACTCTCCAAGTTCAGATTATCCGGATAAAGAAAAGAAACAGTCGAAGAAGGAAGGAAATAAAAAGAAAAGAAAGGAGTCACAGAAAGAATCGATGAGACAAAGCAAAGAGAGCCAGAAGACTGCCAAGAAGGAGTCCAAGAAACAAAGCGCCAGACAAAGCAAGAAGAGCCCCAAGCGATCAACGGCTCCAACTCAAACCAATAATCTGACGGCGAGTCCGGTTAGCAGCAGCACTGTTTTGGAATCGCGATTCTGAAGAAGGAAACAAAGAGTTTGAAAATCAACAAACCGCATTGTTATTAGAATAAAAATGAACCTCATAGAAGAATCTCGAGTTATTTTTTAAATATTCTACATGGCTTTGGCATGGAAAGAAAACTCCGTCAAAATTCAAAATATACATCATCTTTTCTTCTAGAGATTTTCATTCGGTACATAAGCCAACGAAACCATGTGCTTCCGTGGCGCAATCGGTTAGCGCGTTCGGCTGTTAACCGAAAGGTTGGTGGTTCGAGTCCACCCGGGAGCGAGTATCTCTTTATCTCATATTTAAAATTATTTACAGTGCCGATGATCTAATTTTGTTCGTTTATGCAGTTTTCGTCTTTAATTGTGTGTATCTTTCCTATAAAACTAAAATCTAATGAAAAAATAAGCTTTCGGGAACTCTTTACTTGAGTCAAGCGTATCATTTGGAGGGAAAAGAAACGAGAAAATAGTGCTCTCTCGCATAAAAAGGAACCCGTTTCTTTTCCGGCGAGGAGAATAGGGAGGGGCTGGAAGGGAGAGGGTTCATTCGGAATATTATTCCCAGTTCAAGGTATGCTTGAGTTCCGAATCATCTTCTTGATGTGTTCGGTGGGATTTTTTTGGAACTGCTCCTGGGGGTTCCGGGAGTTTATATTGAACATTAGAAGGTGTTGCTATAATAAAATTATGATGAATTTGAAGGCTACTGTTGCCAAAAGACAAAGTAAATTTCCTTCATGAGAATTGTTCATTCCAAATTTTTCCTACCGAAAATGGCTGTTTTCCTATTATCCATCTTTGTTTTGACGTTCCTTTTACTGCAATGTTTTAAAAGACGTTTTGATCCTAAACAGGTATGAATTACAGTAAAATTAATTTTCTTCTTTCCAAAAATTGCTTTCAGATAGTTGGATTGATCCCTGAGAACACAGACTTGGTCGAGTTCATCGCCAATTTGAAGAATAAACGAGTCGAGAATCCCCGACTTTGCTACGAAACTTTTGCTGACTATGATTTTCCGGTATGTTGAGTTCTGTAATTAGTAGTAATATCTTTAGATCTATGATGACTGTCTGTTTGAGCCAACTATTGAACAAGAAGGATTCACGCCATCAATTCCACAGGCCGTCTTACAGTATGCCAAGAAAGATGAAGTCGTAAATTGGCAACAAAACACAACAAGCATGTCTTGTAAGCGAGAAATTATGACTAAAGTGATATATGTAAACGTATACTATAGCCCCACTGTCTCTAACCGCGGATGGTGATTGCCACGAGGAAGAGGATAAATATATGGTAGACATCTGGAAGGCGTTATCTGAAGTAAACGACGAAAAAGAGACCATCGGAGTGCTCGAAAAGTATGGGATCGGCTTCGATGGAAATGTTTTGGCAGCCGAAGATGATGACAGAACAGCCGAGGACACTAAACTATTGGATTGGGGAAGGAAAGAAGAGCTGAATGTAAGTAATCAGCTCGATTATAAGCTCTTTAGATTGTGAATACTCCAAACAAAGCGGAAACAGAGGTCGAGATTGATCCAGAAAAGTCATATGTGGTGATGTCCAAAGCCAAATATCGAATTACTGATGGCTGGAACCAACCGAAAGACAAGCAGTACCTATTCAAACCATAGATCTACGGACAACATCAACGCCCCAAACTCTGAATTCACAAAGCTTGTTCTGACCTTACAAGCATTCCTAAGATCTCATTTACAAATTTATGTTAAGAAAAAACATCAACGACTTTCAACTTTTATCTTTTAACAACAAACAAAAAAGAACATTTAAGGGATTTAGAAGAGGGGTTCGGGGAATTCGAATACGACTTCCTTTCCGGTCAACTGTTTGTAGACGGAGCTGAAAGAGTCGACCTTGTGTTCAACGTTGGTGAGTTGAGCCTTGTCGAGGTGGACCTTGTGGACTTGTTTACCATCGAGCTTGATGCGGATTCTTCGGCCAACAATCTCGGCGGGGTAGACAATATCGGCCAGGTATCCATCTTGGACGGCGGTCAAGGTACGGGAGCGGGGTCGCTTTTGCTTTTCTGGGAGACGGTTTTTGCCACGGAGTGGTTTGGGGAGGATACGGCGCTGAAAAAGATCAAGAATTAGGAGATTCAAAATCGCAGAGACAATAACAAGCTCAAAAACAACTACATATTCCTCAATTCGGATCTCATCTACAACATCAAAAAAAGCTAAAAATCACGAGAAACCTTGAAAAGTTTATCGGGAATATAAAACAAAAATCAAAAAGCTTACCTTGGCCAGGAAAACAACATGAGACCCGCTGAACTTCTTCTCCAACTCTCTGACCAGCTTGTTGTGGATTCGCTGGTAGTCGCGAAGTTGAGGGACTGGCACCCAGATGATGATCACGTTCTTGTTTCCAAATTCGTGCTTCTAAAAGTTAAAGAATGAGATTTTACACAGCATTTTTTTCTTTTACAAATTCGAAATTTTCGCTGAATTCGTATAGACCTAAATTTTCCTCAAACCCACAAAAATCGAAGATTTATACTTAAAAGAGAACGACTAAACAGTACGAAATTCCTTATTTTCCTCCTACGATTCTTTAATTTGGCAGTGAAAAAAGAGATTGTAAATTCTCAGGTCAAGTCCTAAAACAAGAAAAAGCCAACGGAAAATTCTTACCTCGGCTCCAACGAAGTACAACTCGGAGAGTTGGTTCTTCAAGTCCTCGGTGGAGGTCAGGTCGGTCAAATGGTTGGCAACCTGTTGTTCCAATTCGGTGGCCACGCCATCAGACTTGATGAGCTTTTTGTACGTGGTTGTAACCATGTTTACCCTGAAATTTCGCCAAAGTTACGTCTTGAATAAGGCCAGAATAACATCGAACAACAACAAACCACTAAATATTACAATTTACAACGTAAAATAAATGGAAACGTAAAAAAAGTTCAATTTTTCTCTGGGATTTTTCGCAAAAAATTGGAAATAGAGAATTACCGTACGTTGGCTAGGAAGGCGCCTGAGCGCTGCGGGACCGAGGACTTTTTGGCATTCTGTCGCAGGCAAGAAAAACGGACCGAAAAGTCGGACAAGGTGCAGATAATTGCTGTTTTAGTGGCTATGAGGATAAGGACACAGTTTTGAGTTTTCAACCGGTAGTTAACGTCTCCTAGCAAAAATTATATTATTTTGTCCCTACAGTAAGGTCGTTTTCATCCTAAAAAAAGTAGAAACCATGGTAAAATTCACCCAAAAAGTAGATCTCAAGCAATCACTCGAAACTTAAAAACACAATTTATTCACTGGCAATTAAAGTTAGAACGTAGAGAGTAGAATAACACCGTAAACAAATGATTTAGTACTGGGATTAATTAGATTCTGGGATGTTTGGATGAGCTCATGTATTCCTCCAGCTCGGCATCCAACTGGGCCTTGGACGGTTTGACCTTCTTCATGTATTGGTCAAGTTCGGAATCGAGTTGGGAGCGGCTAGGCTTCTTGTCCTTGGGCTTGAACTTGTGGCTGTTGTTATTGTTGGTCTTGCTAGAATTAGGTGAATGTAAAATTAGACCGGTCAAAAGCGCCGTCAAGGAGGTAGGAAATTACGTAAAAGCCGTTCAGACAGCAAACTAAACCATGACACAATCCAGCAGCTTTGTTATATTATACATGACCCATCCATCTCTTACCCTTTGGGATACTTCGGATTGATCTTCTTGGCAAAGTCAGCAGCAGAACCCTGGATAATATAGAACTTCTTGATGACCTTCACACGAGGTCTCCTGACGACTCTGACCTCCACCGGCTCTCTGTTTCTGTTCCCTCTTTCTCCGAAGACACGACGATGGTGGTGTCTTCTTTCGTACACACGTTCACGAGGTTCCTCGTAAACGAGTCTTTGCCGATGACGCTCGACGTACTGCTCGGCCCTGCGCGGATACTGCTTCTGAAGATAGCTGCTGGCGTATTGGTCAAGCGCAATATCCACATTGGACTTGTAAGAAGCAGATTCGTGGCGATGTTGCATACGAACAGGGCTGAAACCGCGAGACAAATCAATTTATGGCAAAGAAACTTACGGTTGGATGTGAGCACCAAAATCGGTTTCATCGTCCTGATATTGAAGATTTCCCAAAAAATCGGAGTAAAGTGGAGGATTGGACATGGCACCCACGTGAGAACTTGCAGTCTTCCTGCAAATGCAAAATCCGACCAAATCAAAGCAAAAACTTTATGATGGTAAAATAAAATAAGAGCTCCCCGATAGTAACCATGAGCATGTGTATTATCATATCGGTTGTCAAAATCAGCTAAAATACTGTTTTAGTTAAGAACGTCGGAGTCTACTTGAACAACGTCCGTAAAAGTCTGCCGTGGATCCCGCAAAAACGTCGTATATAGACATTATACCAGATAATAAAAATACACAACCCCTCCCTCATAAGAAAACCCTGACAAAGACAAAATTAACGAAAATTCTGATGCCTTTTCGACACCAAGAAAAAGTTCAGAGCACGTCGATTGCCGTCGTCCGCGAAATCGTTCTCTGCAACATTTTGCAGGGCGAGAGAACATAATGTCACATATCAAATGTCACTATCGATTTTGGTCTTTCCAGAGAGGAGATTCTTACAAAGAATTCGTTGCAGCATTTACGCTTATTTGGTCGCAGGAAAAATCTTATCCAAACGATACGACATTACCCATATATAATTGTATATTTCTATTATAGCTCGGAGAGGTCTTGAAACAACTCCCTATATCACTCACAACATACTCATATAACCTTTACTTTTCTCTGAACTATAACCTATTGCCAACCATTTATATTATTAATTTATAACACAATTAAATTGTTATCATTATTGATAAGACTTGAGAACAGATAATATTATTTAAAGAGCGATTCTGGGATGTTTGGAAGACCTCATGTATGCATCGAGTTCGGCGTCGAGTTGTCCATGGCTGGGTTTGGGCTTGGACTCCTTGCGGTCCTTTCTTTTTTGAATACCCCCGGAGCTCACGCGCCGAGGAGAGGGGCCTGATCTGTCCTTTGAGGGTCTAAAATAACAGAAATTAAAAATTGAAGCTATTGCTTGACTCGGAAAAATTAAACTTATACTTACCCAGGACGACCCTTGCTCTTGAATGCTGTTCTTGTGATTGTTGGCTTCACTCCTGGCTTTCTGACTCGCTGCGTAATGGGGACCTTTCTCACAACCTATAAATTCATCCATCAAAACTGTCCCAAAACCAAAGAAAATCCATGATGAATGGTTTCAAAATCTCACCGTGATGGTGCGAGTCTTCTGTATTCTGGGCTTTCTGATAACCCTGACAATCTCTTCAACTGGTTCATCATCGTCAATAACTTCTCGGATCACACGACGGACACCCCGACGAGGAGCTGGATAGTCATCATAGTCCAAGGCCTGGCGCCTGGCTGGGATTCCGAGAGCAGTGGCCATTCTTCGGGCATGGACAGGTTGGCGGGTTGGGAAGTCATCGGCAAAACGAGATCTGGAGGGAATTGGACGACGAGAAGTGCTGGTGTAAGAGTCCAAAGGCATATCAATGGCGCTACGAGCGTTGGCACGGCGACGGAAACTGAAAATCGAGATAATAAATTTCACACATGACAGAACGAGCAAGTACAACAGAATAAAAATAAACTTACGAATCTGCTCGGCCCCCGGCTCCGAAATTGTCCACCGCTCCTTGACCGTACAAGTCTGAGTCCATGTAGTCGTCGTACAAGAAGTTACGTGGTCCGTCCATGGCTGTTCTGTCAGTAAATCTGGGGGCAGACAGACTTTGGAAACTGCAAAGTCGATCGTAAGGATAAACTCGATGCAAAATAAAACAGATCGCGAAACGATGTGATTGAAAAATGAAGAGGCTTGGAGCTTATATAGAAGGAATTTGTCTGTGTTGACCTCTGATTTTCGACATACGCAATAATTTGAGGTGTTTTAAAACGTGATTCTTGATTGTGTAATGTTGACAGAAAAACATCTTGCAAAATACATCAAAGCGAGAATCAATGCACTTTTAGTGTAGTACACCCAAAGTGTGAGATTTTCTAACATAAAATCACACCATCCATCTTCTTTATCTTGCTAATCGGGCCTAAACCAATAAAGAGGGCAGACAAGCACTCACCGATCCGACAACTTTTGAGTTGTAGAGCCAACTAAAACGATCCGGGATGGTACGGAATGGGTCATCTACTGGAATGCAGACTTGATTCGGTTATTCGCCCAGTTTTCTGTGAAATATTAAAGGATTTCAATTTTTTCTTGGCAAAAAAAGACGGCACAAACAGTAGTGGCCACAAACGCGGTGTAACAATCGAGAAAATGCAAATCACAAACAGAACTGGCACGATTCGTTGGCAAAAATCGGCGGACCAGCTGCGAAATCAGTGCAGCTTGTTTTTATTGGCATGGTTGTTTTCGTGGTAAGACTCAAATTGGCATTCCGTGGTAAGGCGAATTTCCCGCTAAAATCCTTTGGTCAGTCCAAGATCAAGAAAAATTGGGTGCATTTCCAGTTAATTCTGTGAATTAGTTTCACGGTAATGTGTTTTTAATGAATTTACTTAGTTTTAATTTTTAGGCCTCGATAAAACAATGTTGAGACGCCAAATTCGAGAAAGAAGAGAATTCATCTATCGAAAATCTGTTGAGCACAAGCAGCGGGCACTTCAAGAGAAACGTGATATTGTCAGAAACGCTGTGGACAACAACGGATCTCTCCCAACTCACCTGAAGAAAGAAGCTTTGGAATTGGTTGAAGGATCTTATTGGGGAGATCAAGATGACACTGTAGATGATGAATACAGGTGGGCTGGGTGCGAAGATCCTAAGGTTGTTATTACGACAAGTCGTGACCCTAGTTCCGCATTGAAAAGATTTGCAAAAGAGATTAAATTGACCATTCCCAATTCTCAGACTGTCAACAGAGGTTCTCATGACGTAAAGAGCATTGTTCAAGCCTGCAAAGGAGCTAATGTAAGTAATGCGTTGATATGTTGTTTTGTGCTAGTATCCTGACGGCATGTATTATGTTAATTTTTCTATTTTAAGGTGACTGATGTGGTCTTTCTAAATGAAACTAGAGGTGTTCCTGATTCACTTATTGTCTCTCATCTTCCTCATGGTCCTACATGTTTCTTCAGTTTGAACAACGTCGTAATGCGCCATGACATTCCCCACACTGAACACATGTCGGAAGCCTATCCTCATCTCATCTTTCACAATCTTGACTCTAAAGTTGGAAAGAGGGTAAGGAAGATGTGGCCATTTTTTAGTAAATTATTCGATTTAGGTCACAACCATATTAAAGCACTTGTTCCCTGTACCAAAGCCTGACAGTAAAAGAGTTTGTTCCTTTACGAACACAGAGGATTTCATTTCGTTCCGACAATTTACTCACAAAACTGGAGAAGGTGGGGAGGTAGAGTTGAATGAGCTCGGTCCAAGGTTTGAGTTGAGACGTAAGATACAATTTTAGCAAGTTGGCACCATTCTCAAGAAATCGTCTAATAGGGTTTTTTTTTAGCGTACTCTATCATCCTCGGTACTGTGGATATCCAAAAGGCATGTGATTCTGAATGGTCACTCCGATCTTACACTAACAAAAAGAAGAACATCCTCTCTGTGGAATAAAGCCTGTTGCTTGTTACTCCATCTTGTTGATTTTGCACTTGTTGACGCTTGAAACCACTGATTAATTTTCAACATAAATGATTATCATACATTCAACAATTCTTTATAAACAACTTGATTTTCTTGTTTTAATTCCAACAAAATTAACAAAGAACGAAAAATGTAACCAAAAAATATTTAGATCATTTTAGCCAAAAGCTCGTTGATCTTGTCCTCTCGGTTACCGTAGTCTCCACCCTCGACAAAGTGGTTAGCCTTCTTAGACCATCCGCCGTTGGGGTTGGACAGTTTGAAGGGCCACAGGAAGTTTGAGGCTCTCTTGAAGTTGGGTCCGACGTTGTAGATTTCATGGATCAAATCTTCCACACAGATCAGGTTTTGTTTGCCTAAAATTAGCGTTACGTTAAAACTTTTAGAAAATCAAATACTATGCTAACATCAAGAGTAATATTAAAAACGCTGCTTACCCAAGTTCTCTTCGACGATGGCGTTGTCAGTGATTGGGATTCTCTGTCCCTTAACCTTAGCGTGTCCTCTCTTGTAGATGAGTTCACGGATGGATTTCTGTGATGGGTATCCCCAGGCGATAAAGGGATCGGCAATTCGGAGCATCTGGATGGTGGCTTTGTTAAGCTTGACGAAGACACCGTTGTTGATCTGACGAAGACGGAGGAGTTGGAGAACCTTGCGGGGTCTTGGGTGAATCTTGTTGATACCACGGATACGAATGACAAAAGCGAGCTTGGCCTCCTCAGGGACAAAGAAGTTGCCGGCCTTCTTGGCTTCACGGCGGGCCTGGACCTCAGCGCGTTTCTGTTGACGGTACTCGTTGATGTATCGCTCAGCACGCTTGAAGATCTCGACCTTCTTGGCCTTAGCAGCCTAAAACAAATAAATTTTAGACAACCCCATATCATTCAACCTAAAACTGCAAAAGAAAATAAAAAAGTCAACGTGCCTTCAGGGCCTTGGCTTTCTTGTTGGCAACACGGACGCTGGTGGCAACATGAAGCTTTCTGCGTTTCAGCTGAGTCTCTGGGACGGCTGGGAGTTTCTTGCCGGCGGCTTTCTTGGCTTCAACCATTTTTGACCCTAAAAGAACAACAAAAGTAAAATATATTAACAAAAACGTCATGAAAGGAATTGTAAATCACTCGAAAAGTAAAGATTACACCGACATGATACCTAAAACAAACTATGTCAGAAGTAAATCCTTTTTTGCCCGACTAAAAATGGAAAATAGACAACCAACATGTAAAAAATAAACAGGAATTCCGTATTTTACATCTCATTAAATTACTGCTTATCAATAACTCAAAACTGTAACCTTACAATCACATCTTTTCGAAAAAATTTTCAAAGGCCCCAAGAAGAAAAATCTCCATTTTCCGTCGCCTACCGTATGATCTTGGCATAACGTTTGTCTTCGCCACGGGACTCAAAAATCGCACTTGCATCGAGAAATATTCGGGGAGATTTTGTTATTTTTCTCCAGTTTGTGTAATCGTTTTCGCCTGCATGTGAACATGTATTTCTTGATATGAAAACATGTTGTCACACAGCTTTGATGCTTTTGAAGTCTTCTATAACATGTTTTATTAATTTTTGTTGTATTTTTTTTGCTCTAAGAGGGCAATAATCGTCGGCGAAGTGTGAAGAATGGCCGAAATGAGATTTCGGAAAAGGTGAGGTCTTTTGCCATGAATTCCTTTTGGTTTTAGATATAAATTTTTGATTTGTGCAAGGGTGCACGGACGTTCTGTTTAAAATTAATCAAACTTGTGAGGATTCGAATAGAATGCTTTGTAAAGCACGTTGCTTTCTTTATTAGGCCTAAATGAAGGTGGGATACAGAGTCCCCGTTCGTCTTCTAGTGGGTTAACGTTTAGAATTCAGACGTTTTTTGGTTTCGAAGTGGGGAATAATTGGATTAAAAATGCAGAAGCCGACTTTTGAACTGTTCTATCCCGTTATTTTTTGTCCGACCTTATTGGAATAAGTTTTTATGTGCATGTACAAATCATGGCTGGGAATTTCAAAATGCGGCGCTGTTTTGTCGATATTACTCATCAGTGGGGTCTTCGTATTTCGATTTATCAATGTTTGGATTCAGTGAGGATAGGCTGGAGGTTGGGAATCTTGTTGAATAAAACCGGCTGGTGTTGGAGTTCTCGGAAGCGATAGACCTTACTATTATTATTCTGAAAGATTGCGAAATCACTGTTGTGTTACAGTAATCTCTGATTAGTTCCTCCTCGAAGGCGTTGGCGACCTTATCCTGATAAGGTTTCAGTATTTATGACCTTGGGTTATGGAGTTCTTTCTTTGTATTCCTTGCATGGTTGTTTCTTTTGCATGGCTGTCTCGATGATTTCACGGTATGATTCATAACAGTCGTCTCGATTAACGCCCTGTAAGCCTCGATTAGAATTCATATCGAATGGTCTTCAGTTCTATTGAATCTATACTCTATTGTGGTTGACTTGTTCCACCTAAGATTCGGGAAGTTTGTTTCTGGCCGGATTCCAAAAATCCTTTTTTGGTTTGTTTGCACGGAACTCGGCTGCGAGGGGGTTTCAACCTTTTTAGGCTCCTAGAACAAAGAATATAATGGGTCGGTTTGATTGCGAACCCAATAGGCGTATAAATTTTGGTTTTTTTGCGAAATTTTAGATAGAATACGAACAACATAGCCGGTGTGGACTATTATAGCGACTTCTTCAAGAGAAAAATTTCGAAAAAGTTCACAAAAGCACTGAAAATGGAATCGTTCCCCGATTTGCCTCCACGCGTTCATCGCTCGCTCTCTTTCTGCGCCCGTTCAATGTGGGAGAAAAGATGGGAAACCGGGTCACAAGCAGTTTGAATTCGAGAATTTTTCACTTAAAATAAAGCGAGATAAGTTTGTCATTTGTCTTGGCTACTCTTTAACGGCTTATATAACGGTTGTGTTGAAATGACGCATCAAGTTTTCTAAAACTTGTAGTTTTTGGAAGAACTGTAAAGCAATGATTTTTACTCAACGAAAGAGGAGATTTGCATTTATTTGTATCAAAACACGAATCTATGTTTTTTTAAAACTAATAGTATTCAAAAAAGCATTGAATAGAAATGCAGTAGACAGATAAACCGTGTTGTTTTGCACTTGAGTATCTGGCCTTACCAAAAATGATCAAAGAGATCGTATGAACCAGGGTTCTTTGCGCGATTGAAGATTAGCTCGTGTCCGTTTGTCCATCGCTGCTGATGCCCATCTCTCTGTCTGGCTGTTCTCCGCAAATTCCGTTCTCTTCTTGACCCTCCCTTGATTCGCGCTATTCAATCAATGCTGTTTTTGACGGGAAAAGGGTCACGGTGCGATTAATTCGTTCGAAATGTTGTACAAAATCTTTTTCTCGAGTTTCCCTTGGGATTTCCTTCGCTTTTTATGTAACAATTTGTTTTTCCACGGAAGCGATAGGGGCCAATTGATTCGAACCAATGGGTAGAAAACGGTTTCACTTTTAATCGGTGTTCTTTGATCAAGGTTCAGTCAAGTTTCGTCTTTTGCAGGACGAATTTCGGTTTTATATTAGGCATTCTTGATTCGAAAATCCGAATTACTCTTGAATGAGTAATTTCACGGAGATATAAATCTTGCCGCGTTCGGCGATCGAGTTTTGAGAGTAGTTGTGACGGAGTTCCCAAATTTATGGAGAAGTTGTGAAGCTCCGTTTCAAAGTTATTAATTATTTGTATTTTTTAATTGTTGTTAGTGGATTTCTTCCGACAAAAATCGTCCTTTCTTTCATGGTTCTATCGTTCTGTTGTTTTACATAGTTTCCTTCGTTTCCATTAATCAGCTGACAAAGGAACGTCCAGAGCCCCTACGGCGTCTCCGACGTTCCCCCCACTGTATTGTGATCGGAAGCTTTATTTTTCGAGGGGGTTTTGGTTCTCCATTGCCCTACTCTTTTGAATCAGCGGAAATCCGAAAGGCCGCTGCCACGTCGCTTCTCTCTCGTCCGTCTTTCCTTTCGCCCCTTGTAGACCTTGCTCGGTCTCTAGTCGCCTCTTTCGACGACGCGCCATCGCCTCTTTTTTTCACGCTCAAATCGCTGTCCTCAGCACGGACGTTGTCTGTATTTGGGCGATGTTTTTTTAGCTGAACGCATAGATAATATTCGTTTTTTTGTGGATATTTTGTCTATGATTTGCTCTGTTTCTTGAGATGCCTTATGACCTGAAAAAAGTAATTCGTCTGCGAAACCCTGTCTGATTACTTATTTCATCCCCAATCATATGAAATAAATTTATTGATTGCCTTTTTGCTGGATTTTATGGCGGAGAACAAAAAGGTTTTCTGCTTTTGTGTTGGGGATTGTTTATTTTGAAATTTTTGGAAAGCAAAGTGGCGGATGGATATTTGGAAGGGATTCAGATATAATAGAATCTAAATCTGGATTATTTTTAATTTATTTTTTTTGTATGAATTTATTTTTTCGTGTTTTACCCTTTATTTATTTACGTTCTTTATGATAATCCCGCTGTTTATTCAGGTTGTAGACCCCGACTTGAACTTTTCAACGGCTCAAATCTCCCCCAAACCCGCACAAAATGGGTTCCCGTGATGATGAATACGACTACCTGTTCAAGGGTAAGGCATTTGTTAATTGTATACGTTTGAAATTTAGATTTGGGTGCCTGTTGAGTACTAATTATTCGATTTTAGTCGTTCTGATCGGAGATTCGGGTGTTGGAAAGTCAAATCTCTTGTCGCGTTTCACTCGTAACGAGTTCAATTTGGAGTCGAAATCCACGATCGGAGTCGAATTTGCCACGCGCAGCATTCAGGTAGGTTGATAACGGGGTTTCGGCGGATAGGTGTTTCAAGATGTGTTTGAAATAATACTTTGGGTATTTTCAGGTTGAGGGTAAAGTCGTGAAAGCACAGATTTGGGATACAGCCGGGCAAGAGCGTTACAGAGCCATCACTTCGGCCTATTATCGTGGCGCCGTCGGAGCTTTGTTGGTCTACGATATTGCGAAGCACGTGACCTACGAGAATGTGGAGCGTTGGCTGAAGGAACTGCGTGATCACGCCGACCAGAACATCGTGATCATGTTGGTGGGCAACAAGTCGGATCTTCGTCACCTCCGCGCCGTCCCCACCGAAGAGGCGACCGCTTATGCGGAGAGAAACCAACTCTCCTTCATCGAGACCTCTGCCCTCGACTCCACCAACGTCGAACGGGCCTTCACCAACATCCTGACCGAGATCTACAAGTCGGTTTCGACCCGACAAGTGCCCCCAGACCGTCTGGCACCTATCCACAGCCAAAACAATATCACTCTCTCCGCTTCGAACGACCAACAGTCGAAGAAACAGTGCTGTAATCTCTCCTCCTAAGTTATTCCCACCGATGTTGGTACGAAAGAATCGGATATTCGCAGTGATTTTGTAGCATACAGTATGTTTTTATGGTTGATTGTGTAATATAAATAAATGGGTATGCTAAACTTTTAGTTGTTTTTAAGTTCGTAATTAGGCTAGTCTCGTAATGAAAGAGTAAATCGACCAATTTCAGAGTGATTTGAATGCTTTCCTGATGTATTATGTCCCTTCCCATCCAACTCCGTCTCTACGAAAATGCTCTGGTTTTCTAATTGGTTATCAGCCCCGCCCGTTGACTTCCAACTCCCAATTTCCTGTTTGTTCCACTTAATTTTTATAATTACAATAAAAATTCCCTGGATTACATGGCGAGTGCGAATCGACGGAAAAAAACGACGAGTATCATTGTTTCTTTTCGTATGCTGTAGTCTATAAAGTATTCTCTTTTTTGTATCTAAATCTTATTCATCCGAGTTTCCAATTATCAACCATCCTTCAGCCTTGAATAAAATGTAATTAAGAGACAGATTGTTATTTGGGGCTGGGTGTGCCAGATTCTTATAGAAAAAAATCTAAACTTTGACGAAGCTTGGAAAAACATGAGAATGGAGTTCTTATGGCTTCTGACATGGGAGATTCCATCCCTGATTTTTGGAGGAACCATCTACCGTCCTTCCTCATAAAGGATACAGAGTTGGGTATCTCGACTGCCCTTGCGAATGGCGAGAAAATTTTCAGGAATTGGTATAGAGGCAGAAGAAAATTTTTGGGATGTTAAAAAGCGATACTGCTTTGTAAGGTCTTATATTTCGAGAGGCAAACAACAAAGGAAGAGATTTTCATCGGACATTTTTTCATGGAACAACGTCGTTCTCTACGTGATCCTCCCTCCAATGACGTCTCCATCGTTCCAATTACCGTTCTTCAAAGGTTTTGATTCACTTTCTCCACATTCCTAGACATCCCTCGTCTCCCTCCGGGTGACACCCTCAACACTTATTTAGCCCCAAGGCGATTCAAAAAAAGTAACGTCGATCCCAAAAATATGATTTTTGCGCAGTTTCACCTCAAACTTTTCCCAATCCCCATCTCACGTCGAAATTTCCTTTTTTGGGATCACAAGATCGTCTCATTTCACTTTCGTTTTTTGCTAATTCCTCGATCCGCACCCCACTCAAGTCGCCTCAAGTCTGTTCGTTTGTCTTTTGAGGGATAACGGTTGCGTAACAGAGAAGAGGGAAAACGATTTATTCCCCTTTCGAAAGTGATTACTTTGTTTGGATAATCGCTTTCACTGTTCCTTAGGTCGTTACAGTAATTTTGTTGGCTCTCTATCTTCCTAGAAATTAATGGTCTAGTTTTTTAGAGTAGTTACAGTAGGAGGGTCCGATATTATTCTTCATAAAATTTCGATGTGAAATCGTTTTCAAGGCAATTTGTCGGAAGTATTTGTTCATGTAACATTATCGTATTTACTTTTCTTGCGATAATTTAAAATATTGTGTTTGTTTCCAAATAAACCTAATTGCCCTGGAGCTCCAGCTGGAGAAATGACTTTACAATCTCGAACTCAGTGACTCAACTCATCCAGCAATTCAGAAAATAATTACCATCCTTACCAACATCTTTATAGCGAATTATAAGCGAAATTTCTTTATTTCTTCAATTCATTTTTGGTCAGAAAATCCATTTCCTTCCTTCTCTCAAAGTCCGAGAGAGAAAAAAGCCATTCGAAGAGAACCAGGAACGTGTTCCTCGGTAGTATAGTGGTAAGTATCCGCGCCTGTCACGTGCGAGACCCGGGTTCGATTCCCGGCCGGGGAGGAAATTTTTTTTTGTGCTTTGCGACCACTTTTCGTAAAGTTTGAGTATAGAAAAGAATATATTTTACCCAATTCGTCAATCCACGTATTTTTGACGCATGTGTAACCCCCAGAAACCGTCTTCGTAACGAAAAGTGGTTTTTTTTCACTCAAATAAGCTCGTCAGGCCGTTCTTCCGGTTTCGCCCACCGTTATTTTGGGGGTCAAATTACTGAAAGCGCTGGTTCGTCGATGAAAAAATTGGGTTTCAGATTTTCTGAGAAAGGTAAAACGTGTTTTTGAAGTTTTAAATTTCTTGTTTTTTGGGGTTTTTCGCAAAAAATGATGATTCTTAATAATTTTGTAGAGGGTCATAATGACGTAATCGAAAAAGTGGACTAGAATCAAAACTGTGCGGGAAAATGCTTGAAATCACTTCTGTGACTTCTTGGAACAATAAATTGTGATTACACAATTTATAAAATTCGTATTTTACAACTTGTTTTAGACTTTTTTGACCTTTTGCTCTAAACCGATCCAACTTTTATCATTTTTTTTGTGATTTGCGCCCTGTTTTCCACTTTACAACGCCTTGCCTTTACCTTGGTTTTACTGTTATAACTTTCTCTTCCGGACTCGTTAACTATACGACCGCGATTGTAGCGTCTTCCAACTTGGAATCGAGGGGGAAAATGCTGTCAAACTCGGGGTTACAGCAGATTCTACTGGTACTCTGTGCTGCAATATTTTCTGTTCAAGGTGCTATTGAAGAAAGTGATGGGTAAGTGGTTTGTTGAACAAAAATTTATGGCACTTGACCGAATAAAGCCACAGTTTTGTAAAAATTACGCCAAGATTTAAAATCGCGTTTTGCAGAAACAAAATAGATAAAACTTTTAAAAAGTCACCTTTTTTGCGGTTTTTGGGATAAAAATAATATACAATACATTTGAAATACAGTGTAAAAATTTTCTACAAAAAAATTCCCGGCGAAATTTTATTCTGGCCGTCTCTCCTCAATTTTCATAGTCTCTTGCCAAAAAAATCTCTTGCCTAAAATCTTAGTCTCGCTGAGAAAAAACCTTAGAAATTTTCACAATTGAGTTATGAGTAAGATATGTAGGTACTCCTCGATTTTGCAGAAAATACAAAGTCTACCGGCTTAGCCCAACGGACGAAGCTCACTCCACAGCCTTGAATTTGCTCTACAATAGTGGTGAATTTGACTTCTGGAAAGAGCCCTCGGCCGGAAATAAGTCCGCTGAGATTATGATCACCCCCGCCCAAGAGAGTCAGTTCAAAGTTTTCCTCGATTCCACGAAAATCCCATTCCAAGTGCTGGTGGAGGATCTGAATGCGTAAGTGTCTAAAGTAATATAATTCAATAAAAAATCATGAAATAAAAAAAAAAAAAAAATTTAACCACTTTAAAAAAGCCATAAACGATCTGCGATCAAAAAGGGCCATAATTTTCACCAAATCTTTAGAGCTCTTCTGTGCGTGCTTCCGTGGCGCAATCGGTTAGCGCGTTCGGCTGTTAACCGAAAGGTTGGTGGTTCGAGTCCACCCGGGAGCGAGTACTTTTTTGATAATTTTCAAATTGAAAGTCGATTTCTAACTTCAAAAGTATTGGATTTTGCAACATAAGAAGATTTACGTTTTCTAACAACCATTTACAGTCTAATCTACGAAAAAGAAGGCCCAAATAATTGGAGGTCCCGAGCTCTCCGATTTCTGGGCCATGGAAAACGCGATGCTATAGATGGAGATCACACATTTGGCCTCATTATGGGCGAGTACTACTCATACGACGAGATTGTCAGCTACATGAGAAGGATCGTTGAGGCGTTGGGAGGGAAGGCTAAGATGATTTCGATTGGCCGAACGCATGAAGGAAGGGAAATCTATGGAATTCAGGTGAGCTATCGAAATTTTTGAGGTCCGCGGTTAGTAGAAATGCAAAAAGATTGGATAAATGGCAATAATTTTGCTTAATTTACCTTATTTTACAGTTCGGCCGACCTGCTGACAAATCGCGCACTGTGACTTGGATTGATGCCGGAATCCACGCCCGTGAATGGACAGCTGTCCACACTGGCATCTACATGCTCTACGTTGTAGGTTGAAGTTACTAGTTTTACAAATTTCAATGATTTTTGAAATTTTTTTATAAGAAAAATATTAAATTTTTTTGTCGAAACCAAGTAAAATCTCTAAAAATTTGATCTCCCAAGTCTTTATAAATTTATATTTTATATTTCCCCTCAGGTAGCCAACGCTTTGCTCAACGGAAATCAGCCGGTCCATCAAAAAATCTCCTCCTATCTCCAAAACAACGACCTTTTGATCTTCCCTTGCGTGAATCCGGATGGCTACGAGTACACGAGGACTCATCCCGAGCTGGCCGAGGTCCGTTTCTGGCGAAAGAATCGCTCTCCCGAAATCTGTGGGCACCTGAAAAGCGGCGAACACCGGTGTTGCAGAGGGGTGGACCTCAACAGAAACTTCGATTTCCACTTCTCAGGTCCGCCTTTCGAACGGTTCAGTGAGTGGTGATGGTTTACATGATAGCTCGTCTAACAACAAATCGAGATTACAAGGGAGATTTGAAGTTTGAAAAAGGGTTTACAAATTTGAAATCGCCCATCCACGTCAATCCAGCGCATTTCCGTTTTATCGGATAGTGACTTTTCGTTTTGAACGAATCACCAAAAAGAGGCGGGAGATTTTTTCTTCTATTTTGGATTGACGTGCCATCTCGATTTGTCGCTAACATAGTTGTGACTAACAAAGTAACTCCCAACTTTTGCCGTGCATGCTTTTAATCTTTTTTTAATAACCTACAGCTTTGTGCATCACATACACTAGACATTTTTTTGCTTTCAACGCCCATTTTTTGTTACTTTTGATCGAAAATGAATTCAGCCGGTGGTGCCAGTACTTATCCTTGCTCCGAGATCTTCCATGGGCGAAATGCCTTCAGCGAACCGGAATCTAAGTCGGTTGTAGCACTAAGATACGAGTAATTTTTGATTTTTTAGAGCGATCCGAGATGCTGTTCTCAAACTCGGCCCACAACGATTGGTGGCCTTTATTTCGTTGCACGCCTACTCTCAGCTGGTCATCTATCCCTATTCCAATGACAAAACTTACTTCCCACCTGACATTGATGAGTTGAAAAGCTTGGCCAAACGAGCGGTAAATGCGATTGGCCAGAAGTACGGGACCAATTATCAGTATGGATCCGGCCCGGAAATTATTTGTAAGTCCACAAATGACATAAAAATATTGGGCATTTCATTCAAATTGCAAGCAAGATTACTATAACTTCCATCTTTTTGAGATTACCGTAGATTCATTTTTTTCGATTCTTCAACATCTTCCCGACGACCTTTCCCTTGGCTGAATTTTTGTGACACAGCGTAAAAAGTCGTCTTTAGTGATTGCGCAATTTTTGGGACATTCGCTTTTTCTCTTCCTGAAAATCAAAGGGCGGAGGCAGTGTGCCCGGTTAGCTCAGTCGGTAGAGCACCAGACTCTTAATCTGGCTGTCGCGGGTTCGAGCCCCGCATCGGGCTAAGGCTCTTTTTGAACTTTTTCGTAAATTTTGTTTCCAAAAAAGGTAAAATAAGTACAGTGTGTTATTTTTCATGAGTTAAGTAGCTGTTTTGTTCTTGAATTTTAGATATTTGGTGATAATTTTTCTTATTTTAGACGCTTATACTGGTGGATCAGCTGATTGGGCCAAAGAAACGGTTGGAATCAAATATACTTATACGATTGAGCTGAGGCCGACTTACACATGTGAGTGTAACTTCTTATAAATTTAGTGTTCATTCGCTTTCCCTCAATTTGACCGTAGTAATCATCGTTTTTTTAGCTTGGAATGGCTTCGTTTTGGATAAAGCTCAATTGATCCCCACAGCTCGAGAAACTCTCGACGGGATGGCCGTTATGTTGGACGCTGTCGATCAAAGATCCCCCAATCCTCATGCAACAGTAGCTCCAGCAAAAGTCGAATGTAAGACCTCGAATTTTTGAATTATTTTGAGATCAGATGGGCAAGTATAATATAAAATTTCAGTCATCCCAGCTGGCCGCTCCTTAGTAAACACTCAATCCAATCCACCGGCAACATGCCAGGACCGTGCTCCCAGTTGTATGAGCTGGATCAAGGAGAGGCCAACGATTTGTGTGGATGCGAGAAGTGCCATGGTCCGGGAATGTAAAAGATCCTGCAGTTTATGCTAATTCCAATCTCAGTCTTGTCATAATATGGGTAGTTTTTGTTAATTTTTAACTTTACACCTTTTCTAATAAATTTATTACACTTTTGTTTTGAAGCACAGAGAAAGCGGACCGTATATTGCACTGGGTATTGTTAAATAGTTTGGTCTCTAAAATCGGCAATAAGATCAGTTGCAAGTTGTTTACTGAACTCAAACCAACATACGATAACGTCATCCAACTTTTTACATTTCGAAACCCTCCCTCACATGACCCTTGAGTCGGCCTCGCCACGAAAACAATCAAAGTTTCTGCTCTTTGGCATTCCGTTGCAAGCGCGTTCACGTAATTTTTGGGGCTCTGTTTCCCTTGAGTTTGGAGGGAAATTTCTAACTGCGCCCGAAAAGAGGAAAAGAGAAGTGAAAAGTGGACGAAAGCGATGAGGGTGTCAGAGAAAAGGAGTCCTTTTGTTTCCTGTGCGCAAATGTCGGGCGCGACTGGTCAAATTGGCAAAAGAAACTCTTGTGTCGCCGTGCAGCAAATAGTTTTTCTATCTTCTCCTTCAAAAAACTCGTCCGCAACGGTTTTGCGTTATTTCCACTGAAAGTAGCACTTTCTCGAGATTAATTTTATTGTTTTGTGATTCAATATTGTTATTGCTGATGTTTCTAGGGTAAAATGTCGTTAAGACCGCGGCGGAGCATCCGAGCCCCGCAATACCTTCAAGATTATGTGACTCCAGATCGAATAAAGGTAGAACCGGAGTCTCCAAAGGTCACCAAGAGCCCTGGGAAACAAAAGAAGAAAGTTGAGGTAACGTTATATTGTTCTTGGTATTTTTTATGTTTAGATGGCTTTTATTTTGTCAAAGTTGGATTTAAAAGCAAGAAGAAGATTCCTTTTGCCATTTTTGACTGCAAGATTAGATCTCTTGTCTGTTTCAGGAGTCAGTTGAACAGAAACCAGCAGATGAGTCGATAGCAGATGTCTCAACTGCAAAGGTTGCTGAAACGGTTGTTGCTGAAGTGAAAGCAGAAGTGACTCCGACCAAAAAGAAGGCTGTTACCCGGCGGAGCAATGCTAAAAAGAAGAAAGACGAACATATAGAACCGGATCAAGTACGATTGTTTTATACCTAGTGGCTTTGATGCTTAGATATTTGATACTCGATCAAAACACGAACTCGTTGACGTTAAATAATTTTTAGGGCGAGTCGTCGAAGGATTTAGAAAGCTCCGAGCCAGCTGCAGTTCAGATTGAACAACCAAACATTCCAGCTCCTGATGTCTCGACACCTAAAATTCAAGCGAAGCCCGTTGAAACTGTTGTCATTTCGGATGTTACGCCGCCCAAAAGACGGTATGGGACGAGAAGGAGTATGGCACAGCAAAGAGCGGAAGAGCTTGAACAGGTATGAATTTATTATACTTGGTGTTCTTAGTTTTTAGGTAACAAATTTGTTAGCAGCCATTTTTTCGGTCGATAATTAGATGTAGTCGGATAGATTCTTTTGCCTTGAGGCTGTATTTTGATCTTTCAGACTCAAGTGCAAGAAAAAGTACCTGAAGTTCCAACAGCTGAAGTCTCCACACCAACAATTGAAGCTGAACCTGTCGATGCGACTGTTGATGTTGTTAAACCGGGCTCCAGTAAACCCAAAAGGAAGCCTGCACGAGCGAGAGCCTCTGATCAGAAAAGTGAAGAGAAGATGGAAGTTGATGAGGTATGTTTATATTACACTTGGTGGTTTTGAAGTTTAGAATAGAAGTTGAAGTCGGCCGAAGAATGTTGTGGATGTTTTTGGTCTCTAGTTTTATATTTTTTAGACGCCTCCAGCAGAGAAAGTTGATGTCCCAACGGCGGAAATTGAAACTCCAACGGTCCAAGCAAAACCTGTCGATGAAATTGCCAAGGAGAGCGTTAAACCAGAGGTCAACGTCTCGAAAAGGAAGTACGGGACAAGGCGAAACGTTGCCGAAGAAAAGAAGGAGGCTCAAAAAGTGGTTGAGGTATGATCATATTACACATGGCTGTTTTGTTGTGTTTTCAACGAGTTGTTGGATAAAATAGATATAAATAACAAGAGTGTTGGATTCAAGATTGGTTTGACCAAAAATATTTTCATTTTTTCAGATCGAATCCGACAAAGAAGACGACATCCAGGTCATAGAACCCCCCAAAAAGAAAGGGCCCAAACTGATATTGGTTAGTATCGATTCGACGCCGGTCCAACAGAAACAACAAGATGTCCCAACAGCTGAAGTCTCGACACCGACAATACAGTCAAAGCCGGTTGATGAAACGGTGGAAACACCAAAAACTCAGGTCAGTTCAGATGGAGGTGGTGTAATATAAAAATTGGTTGAATTTGAGTGATTCTGATAAAATTTGGGCTGGTTCTTTGGTAATAGATATAGAATATGAATTGATGGATCTGTTTTTATCTAGATTCATTGGTAGCTTTGAGTTTTTTGAGCTGTTTTTACAAGTTTTTTTAGGAAACATCGAAATCCTCGAGTCCACCAAATTCAAACAAATCAGACCGCCGACCGATCCTGGAAAAGTTGGTGATTCGAACCAAAGACCTCTCAGGATCTCCCTCACCATCTCCAGATCCAAGAAAAGTATCCAAAGACCTCCAAAGAAAGCCTTCGGAAATTCGAAAAACCTCCCTGACTCCATCACAAGCACAATTGACACCGAGAGGACAAATAACCCCGGGATCAGGCCCGCCGAGGAAAAGAACGATCCCTCAGAGACATGCTCCTGCCGGAATTGATCTGCTGGATTCGATTTTGGGAAGTCAGGATGCACTTTTGAAAGAATGCAACAAAACTGATCAAGAAAAGGCCGCCGAACTGCAAAAATTGGAACTGGAAAAGAGAAGACTAAGTGGACAATCACCATTCCTACTTGGACCTATTGAAAAACGACCAAGAACTAATACCGGTAAGATTTGGGAATTATTTTTTTGTTAATGTCTAGTGTAATATAAAAAATTTTGAGTTTTGGTCAAAAAGTGTAATATGATGAAACAAAATGCTTGCAGTATCCTCTGACGGCAGCCATTCCAACTCTCCGGTCCCAGGATTCAACCCCAAGGACCCTCTGAACATCATGACCATACCATCTTCGCCTGGCTCCAGTGGCCCCTCCTCAGCGACCACTGAGTCAAACACTCCAAAGCCATCTTCCTCAAGACCCGACGACCCCCCAGGAGTGGTAATCGAGAGAAGTGCGGACCGATTGAAGCGACTGAATCAGTCAATTCCGTTGCCCGGACAACGAAAGGCCTCTCAGGCCAGTCCATTGGCAATTTCCCCCGGAATCAGCTCGAATGAAAAGTTTTCAACAATTGTAAGAGTACCATTGAGTCCTCCAAAGCTGGTATCCCCACAGGATTTACCGAAAATACCAAAGGAAGAAAGCGAAAAATCGACGAGGAAAGGTAAGGAGAATTTACTGAAAAAAATATATTTTTTACACTTTTGGATTTTTTTAAATGTAGTATTATTATTTTATTTTATTGTCGTATTTTAGCGTCTCGATGGGATACCTCGTCCACCCGAGCCTCGACAACCGTCCCATCTCCAGTCGTGACCTCCATTCCCATCCAACCAGCCCCTTCTTCCTTTCCAAATCCATTCCTCCCCCCACCACCGATGCCTGGTTTCCCATTCCCTCCCCCATTCCCACCTCCAGCTACTCTCCCCTGCCTTCCTGGAGTCCCTGGCCTCCCCTATCCACCTCCGTTTGGCCTCCCATTCCATCCAAATATCCCCCCTCCGATTGTTACTCCCGTGATGACTGCCCATCAAGTTCCATTCTCAATCCATCCACCTCTCCCGGACCTGGATAGCATCCCCATCCCACCAGCACCGCCGATAAATAACGCCGGAGACGCGGGATTCGCTCCGGTTTCAGCAACGATTTGTGATGAAATTTCAAAGGAAAGCGAATCAGAAATCCCCACGAATCATGTGGACACTCCAACAATTGATGAGATCTCAAGTCTGAACGCTGAAATTGGCAAAACAGTGGATTCGTCGACGGAATCGTTGCGCAAATTGGCCCAATATGAAGTGGAGTTTGGAGATGAGATTCCAGGGGTAAAATATGAAGTGGAACTCAAAGAAGAGCCCGAGGATGTGGTCAAATCTGTGGAAGATATTGTCAGGAGTGTTGTAACAGCCATCGTGGAGGAAGTCGCATTCGAAATTGGTATGTTTTGAGATTAGTAAATGTCTCAAAAAATGGATTTTTTCTTTAATTTTGTGAGTTTTAGAGCATGCTGGGACGATATCAGCCACAGCTCGGATGCGGCTTCACGACTCGCTACTTCACATCGATTCTGAAGATGTCTACGAACCAGATTTGGTCGATGAAAACATCTGCGAGGACGATGAAGATGCTCCTGGAACATCGCAACTCCACATTGATGTTGATTTTGAGGAAACAGAGCAGCCATTGACGACCAACGATAGTCAAGAAGGTATGAATTTTGAGATATTTTGGCTCAATCTATAGGTATGGCTAGTATAATATAAAAGCTTTGATTTTTCTGTTTGTTTTCGGATTTTGTGAATAATTTTTGCGATTTTTAGTCGACGAAGAGGATGAGGATGAGATTGCCGGCGAAGCCGAATCGGATTCGGACTTTGACAGCGAAGAGGAGGAGGAGGAAGAAGATGAGGTAGAGGTGGATGAAGAAGGTCGAGTAAAACAGAAATCTGGCTCCCCAAAAACACATCAGGTCGATATCCCAAAAGAAAATGGCGCTCCGGACCAAAATCCATCAGAATCTGCGATTCAAGCACTTCTCAAGGACCCAACACAGTTCTTGAAACGAGCGGATATCTTGATAAAAAGTATAAATAAAAATGGAATGGAGATCGAACAGATGGAACTGGATGAGGACTATGTTGTGGAAGAGCCGGAGAAACCGCTGCCTGAGTTTCACGGGGAACCGGTGCCGGATGAGGATGATGACGACGCTTTGTTCGAAATGGCCGCGGGTGGGTCTAGTATAATATAAAAATTGTGACGAGAGAGGTGTTTTCGATTGGTTTTATTGTTGGATTTTGTAATTTGGGGTTGAACATGAACTGAGGATTGGTGATTTGAGGTTCTGTGAAGTTATTTTAGGTATAAAAAACGTATATTTTTTTTTAATTTTTGATTTTTTTGTCAAAATTGAGTGCGCTCTTGGGCTAAAAGTGATAAATATAGGAAGAACAGATCAGACAAAACATTGGAAGCGCCGTTATATTACTGTAGAGACCTATTTTTTATAATCTGTTCATATTTTTTATTGTCTTTGTCAAGTGTAATATAAATTTTTTGAACTTTTCCAATTTTAGGGCTCTCCCGAAAGAAAGAAGACAAGCCAATCGAAGAAGAACGTCTTCCCGACGATGAGTGCATTGAACTCGACTACTATAACGCCGACATGAACATCAAAGCAGATCCCAAGAATAAATGGCTGGTCGATCCGGATAATGGAGATGGGTTTGCGTTGATGTGGGGATGCGTCAAGTCCAATTATGGTCTAATTGTCCCATCGGACTTGGAGAAGTTTCCAGTTTTGGTGTATCAAGTGAAAATCGCCGACTTTATCACATTAAAACACCTCCCATTCGAAGAAATAGACGCCTATGACCTCAGGGTTGGATGGTCGAGTGAGAATGTGCAAACCCCGGTAAGGGAGGGTGATTTTTGAGGTGGATATAGTAATTTTTCGTTGATTGGAACAATTTTTTATTATCCATGTTCAGGTCGGAGAGTCAGAACACTCCTATTGCTTCTCCAGACTTGGTCGAAAAGCATCCGGAAATCAGTTTGTGGATTTTGGAAGCCAGGTATCAATGGATGACGTCGTCACGGTAGCCTTAGTAAGCATCTTTTGTTATTACTTTTATCATGGTGAATATAATTTTTGATGGCTTTGATGATAATTTTATGTTCTTTAGGACCTCTACGCCTCAGAAATGAAAATCTACGTGAATGAAGAGGATCTGGGGACTGTGTATAAAGACCTCGACTTTGGAGGCCCCGGTTCTGTCATCTACCCTCATATTGGCCTCAAAAATTTAAAAGTTTTTGTCAATTTTGGGTTGGAACAGCCAGAGGAGGGCTGCAAATGGGAACTACCGCCTCAGTTACTCAATAAGAACGTCAAATTCATTGGCCAATTGGAGAGAAATCCGTCGATTTTGAAGAGATCCGTCAGACCCCCGGACTCCAAAAGCGACTGCACTGTGCTGATGATGGTGGGATTGCCAGCAGCGGGAAAGACTTTTTGGGTCCGTCATTACCTAAGGGAACATCCAAACGAGCATTGGGTCTTGCTGAATACCGAAAATGTGATCAATTTGATGAAGGTAGGAGGTTACACTAGATAGATTTTGGTGAAATTGGTGGAAGATTTTGATAGAAGTGTATGAGAGGTCTATAGATCGTTGAATAATAAGGGTTATAATTGTTTCAGGTGAATGGAGTCCCCAGGAAACGAGTTCATCACGGCCGTTGGGACATGATCATGGGTTTGGCGGCAAAGGCCTTGAACAGAAGCTTTGGGCTGGCGTGTAGAAGAAGGCATAATTACATAATCGATCAGACCAATGTCTCCCGAGATGCGAGGAAACGAAAGCTCCAGGTGTTCAAGGACTTCCTCAGGAAATGCGTGGTTATTGTTCCGCCGGAGGAAGAGTTCGAACATCGACAACTTCGACAGGCCCGTCAGGAAACGGGATCCACGCTACCGGCTGAAGCATTACTGGAGTTGAAGGGTAAGCCTTGAAGAAGATTTGAGAAAATTTTTAAAAGGTTTGGAAATATAGGGACCAGGCTAGACCATTTTCTTTGAGCGCACATCTGATATCATGGATAATATAAAAACATGCTTGTTTTTCAGCAACCTTTGCTCTCCCGGCCCAGGACGCCGAACCAATCGAAGACGTGATCTTTGTAGAACCTCCAATCGAAAGAGTCAACGAAGCCATCGAACTGATCCAGCGCTACAACGAAGAAGGCCGACCTTACCTTAGGACCAAAAGATACAACAATAAACCCCCGCCATCGGTGATTAGCGATAACAGAAATCAGCCAATGGGATCGTGGTAGAAGAAGGGAGCGTTGTAAAGGAGATGGTGGAAATGGAAAATGAGGACATTGTAGTAGATAGAAATATTTTCTTCTGCCGTTCCTTTCGTCTACAGTCCTGTTTTGTCGATATTACTGGTCGATTCTATACTTTTACAATTTTTGACCAAATCCTGGCCAAAATTTTCACTCTCGAGAAATTTGTTGTCCCTTCTTTAAATATACAGTATCCTTATCCCCAGCGTGTTACGGGCATGGCTGTGTCCAGGCCCTGTCTTCCATAGATCTTTAATTGTTTCATCTTTTTTTCATTTATTGTAATCATCTCAAATCGCAGGTCTTTTTTACTTTTTTTTGTTGATTTTACCTTTTTACAATTACATTTAAACCGGAGTTTCACAAGAACTTGTTGTTATAACCGAGCATCTCACTCACCCCTCAGACCAGAACTCAGGAACCGAGGAATTAACGGGTAATTCGAATAATAATTATAACAAGAGGTGGTCGATTTTGAAAAAATAATCGAATTTGATTCGAACCCTCAAGCAAGGGCTATCTTTGGTGGATGGAAAGAGTTTTAAGAGGTCTGAATGGATTTGGAGGAGTTTTAATTTTGAAAACTTTATTTCCCACCGAAACTGGCACTGTGTTTTTTCAAGTTGCCTAACCTTTGGAATTTGAGCGCTAGTGCGTGCAATTTAGCCCTGGATGAACGTCAAATTAAGCATACTTATGATTTATGAGCGAATAAAAAGCAGGAGCACATCAGGATCCTCCCATTTTCCTCTTTAAAATTTCAACCGTAATAAAACGGGCGTTAGGAAGAAGATGGAGCTGATTGTAATCTACAGGCTCATTGGTATAGGGAGCATAACAAACAAGTCCCGTGCCAGTGGAACTTGGGAGCACGATTGTGCCGGCAGGAAGTTCCAATTCCTCATTTGGGCCAACGACTTTGAAGTTCATCCGGGACGTCAAAGGCTCGACTGTGTACAACTTGAACGCAATCTCCATATCACTGTCATTGTTGATGGTGAGTTTAGCACTCATGTGGCCACTTAAACACGAAGAAAGCTCAATCGACTCCGGACACAAAGAAATGAGATGTTCGTCGAAGTCTTCGAAGTTTTCATAGAGAAATTGGTTGCACTTCAAGAAGGCCCGCGGAAGTTTGAGCTTCGAAGCCAACAACCAACACTCTGCGGCGTCTTCGACAGTCAGGGTTTCCAGGATTTCGAGTTCACACTGTTCCTAAAAATTAAATTATGTTGTTTTAGGCGATCATCACATACACTGCTGGACAAAATGATATGCCCACCGCAATTTTACGCTGGCAATTTGTCCATGGCACATCATTCCGAACTTTTTTGTGGGCAAAATCCGGCGTCAAAAAAGCGAATTTTTTTGTAATGATTTTTTTAACAGCCCGAGGCGCCTCAGACAAGGCGTAATAAAGTGCGGAAAAATATCAGAGCGATAAAACACATGTCACTCTCTGAGATTATGCAAATTTTAAGGATTTTAACGGCTTACAAAGGCCGGGAAAAATGATTTAAAAACTGGTATTTCTTACTTTTGATGCCTCAGAACTGCACTTTACCGTACACTTTTGAAAAAACGAAAGTTCCTATTTTGTAGGAAATTTGATGCTGTATAACATAGTTGGGAATTATGTCATTCCCTCCCATGGTTCCTTTTTTCTATGGCTAAAGCCTCCACTTTTCGGCACAAAATCGCGGTTTTTTTTGCCTAAAGTGCAAAAATCGAAAAATTTTTTGCAACATATTCTTCTTCTCCCTATCAAGGAGTAGTGTTCCAAAAATTTTGTTTCATGCCTTTCAGGCTGTTCTGAATTAGGAAATTTCGTTCTCAGACGTGAAATGAAGAAACTTTTGATCACCACTCAACTACATGGCGTTAAATTGATGCTTGTTAATAAAAAGTTGTTATCCGGCTTGTACAATAATAAACAGTAATTGTCATATTGACCATCGGTTTGCTTGTCGCAACGAGAATACGAAATTTACTAATTCAGAACAGCCTGAAAGGCATGAAACAAAATTTTTGGCACACTACTCCTTGATAGGGAGAAGAAGAATATGTTGCAAAAAATTTTACGATTTTTGCACTTTAGGCAAAAAAAACCGCGATTTTGTGCCGAAAAGTGGAGGCTTTAGCCATAGAAAAAAGGAACCATGGGAGGGAATGACATAATTCCCAACTATGTTATACAGCATCAAATTTCCTACAAAATAGGAACTTTCGTTTTTTCAAAAGTGTACGGTAAAGTGCAGTTCTGAGGCATCAAAAGTAAGAAATACCAGTTTTTAGATCATTTTTCCCGGCCTTTGTAAGCCGTTAAAATCATTAAAAGTTGCATAATCTCAGAGAGTGACATGTGTTTTATCGCTCTGATATTTTTCCGCACTTTATTACGCCATGTTTGAGGTGCCTCTAGCTCTTAAAAAAATCATTACAAAAAAATTTGCTTTTTTGACACCGGATTTCGCTCACAAAAAAAGTTCGGAATGATGTGCATGGTAAATGAATTTTTTAATATTTGGTGAAAGTGAGTATGGAGCAATGTAACATGTACACAAAAAGTATCAAAGGATTTCAAAAAGTGCAAGGTGAGTAAAATTTGGAAAAACGCGAAACCGCCAAAAATCGGCGGCTGGACAAGATGATATGACCACGTGGTTTAGTTCAATCTTTTACTAATAAACACAATTTAACAAACAACCCTAATAATGAGTGAGTCCACCACTCATTACTAGGACTGGCATGGGGGCACTGTCGGCCAGTTTTAGACGGATTTGAACGCGTTAAACCACGTTTGATGCAGAGCTACCCAAACTGGTGATCATCTTCCACTAACGCTTTCCAAAAGTTTTAAAACGCGTTTTGCCACACTTTGGAGTTTAGCCTAACAGAGGGCGGACATTGTTATAATCGTTATCTCAGAATTTAACCAAAATCGGTCAACTTGATCACCATGGCAGGTAAAACATTCGCTTTCTTTCTTTTTGCCCAAAATTACCGTATGACGGCATACTGTAACATTTTTTTAAAAAAAGATATGGCCTAATCAAGAAAACGAAGCTCTATTTTAGCACAAATCGAGTTCAGGTGTATGTTTTCGACAACTAAGAATATTTTTGTAATTATGGCCAAAAGCTCAAAATTACATCTAAGCAATGTTTCGCCTGCGGCAACATACCATTTCGGGCATAAAATTGGCTACTGTAACCAGATGCACTTTTAAATACGGTAAAAAGAAACTTCGACCTTCATCCAATAACCCATAAAAATTTCAAAAAAATCAAATATACAACTTTTTGAGAAAATGGGCATTCAATATCTCATGTACAAGGTCATCTGGGCCCGAAAAAATCTGGCATTCTTGGGATTCCAACGGCATGCACTTTTTCAAAGTTTCTAATACATTCTAAGGCTGATTAAAGATGAGATGGCAAGTTTCAGGAGAAAAAAATATACAACTTTCGAGAAATTGACCAAAATACCTTATTTTAGGTCATCAGAACGCCGAAAAAGTCTGGCATTCTTGGGATTCCAACGGGATGCACTTTTTCAAAGTTTCTAATACATTCTGAGGCTGATTAAAGATGATATGGCAAGTTTCAGGAGAAAAAAATATACAACTTTTGAGAAATTGACCAAAATACCTTATTTTAGGTCATCAGAACGCCGAAAAAGTCTGGCATTCTTGGGATTCCAACGGGATGCACTTTTTCAAAGTTTCTAATACATTCTGAGGCTGAATAAAGATGATACGGCAAGTTTCAGGAGAAAAAAATATACAACTTTTGAGAAATTGACCAAAATACCTTATTTTAGGGTCATCAGAACGCCGAAAAAGTGTGGCATTCTTGGGATTCCAGGTTGTAGCACTTTTTGATAGCCTCTAATACATTATTAGCCTTGTAAACGATGATTATGAAAATTTCAGGCAAAAAAAATGCACAACTTTCGAGAAAATGACCAAAAGACCTTATTTTAGGTCATCAGAACCCCGAAAAAACTGGCATTCTTGGGATTTGAGGTTGTAGCACTTTTTGATAGCCTCTAATCTTTAATCAGCCTCAGAATGTATTAGAAACTCTGAAAAAGTGCATCCCGTTGGAATCCTAAGAATGACAGACTTTTTCGGCGTTCTGATGACATAAAATAAGGTATTTTGGTCAATTTCTCGAAAGTTGTATATTTTTTCCTCCTGAAACTTGCCATATCATCATTATTCAGCCTCAGAATGTATTAGAAACTCTGAAAAAGTGCATCCCGTTGGAATCCCAAGAATGCCAGACTTTTTCGGCGTTCTGATGACCTAAAATAAGGTATTTTGGTCAATTTCTCAAAAGTTGTATATTTTTTCTCCTGAAACTTGCCGTATCATCTTTATTCAGCCTCAGAATGTATTAGAAACTCTGAAAAAGTGCATCCCGTTGGAATCCCAAGAATGCCAGACTTTTTCGGCGTTCTGATGACCTAAAATAAGGTATTTTGGTCAATTTCTCAAAAGTTGTATATTTTTTCTCCTGAAACTTGCCGTATCATCTTTATTCAGCCTCAGAATGTATTAGAAACTCTGAAAAAGTGCATCCCGTTGAAAACCTAAGAATGCCAGACTTTTTCGGCGTTCTGATGACCTAAAATAAGGTATTTTGGTCAATTTCTCAAAAGTTGTATATTTTTTCTCCTGAAACTTGCCATATCATCTTTAATCAGCCTCAGAATGTATTAGAAACTTTGAAAAAGTGCATCCCGTTGGAATCCCAAGAATGCCAGACTTTTTGGGCGTTCTGATGACCTAAAATAAGGTATTTTGGTCAATTTCTCGAAAGTTGTATATTTTTTCTCCTGAAACTTGCCATCTCATCTTTAATCAGCCTCAGAATGTATTAGAAACTTTGAAAAAGTGCATCCCGTTGGAATCCCAAGAATGCCAGATTTTTTCGGGCCCAGATGACCTTGTACATGAGATATTGAATGCCCATTTTCTCAAAAGTTGTACATTTGATTTTTTTGAAATTTTTATGGGTTGTTGGATGAAGGTTGAAGTTTCTTTTTACCGTATTTAAAAGTGCATCTGGTTACAGTAGCCAATTTTATGCCCGAAATGGTATGTTACCGCAGGCGAAACATTGCTTAGATGTAATTCTGAGCTTTTGGCCATAATTACAAAAATGTTCTACATGCTCGAAAACATAAAGTGGTGGTTAGGTCTCACTAAAATACCGCACCATATCTGCAGAAAAGGCAACTCTTTTCTCAGAAAGAAAGTTACAGTAATCCACCATATAACGACTATGGGCAAAAAAAAATCAAGCGATTGCTCCATACCGATTGGTGATTCGCTTAACCAATTTTGGTTGAATTCTGAGACATCGACTCAACAATGTCCGGGCCAATCTACGATTTGTAGTAAAACGCGTTTTAAATGACATTTTTATCATGTGATTTAGACGTGTAATCACCTGTATAAGCCGTCGCTTTTCGCGCGAACTCCATGGTGGACTGGTAGTGTCGATTCAGGTGACATCCGGTTGCCATGTCCACCTTTGGCGAAAAATTTGCTATTTGACCCAAGCGATGTCCTTAGGTTTATGATGTAACCCAGAGAAAGCCAAGAAAAGTCCCCGTTGACACGATCCCAGCTTTCCGGATGCAACTTCGCCGACCTTAACCTTAACCAGAAAACCCGAGTTTTTCAAATGGATTTTGAGCGATGCAAAACGGCTTTCATTCGATGGCCTATGTAATTTAAGAAGCTACAGCACACCTCATGCATCCTGGGCCATCAAATGAACTGTTTTTTGTCGCTAACGATCCCTTTGAAAAACTTGGTTTTTCTGGTTAAGGGGCCGATCAGTGCAGCTGTATCTGCAAAGCTGAGATCGTGTCAACAGGGTCTTTTCTTGGTTTCTCAGGTTTCTAGGAGCTTCCGGGTTACATCATAAACCTAAGGACCACATCTATCCCTTGGGTCAAATAGCAAATGTGTCGGCCAAAGCAATGGACACGGCAACCGGATGTCTGCTGAATCCACACTACCAGACCACCATGGAGTTCGTGCGAAAAGCGAAGGCTTATACAGGTGATTACGCGTCTAAATCACATGATAAAAACGTCATTTAAATTGAATTAAACCACGTGGTCATATCACCTTGCCCAGCCGCCGATTTTTGGCGGTTTCGCGTTTTTCCAAATTTTACTCACCTTGCACTTTTTGAAATCCTTTGATACTTCTTGGGTACATGTTACATTGCCCCATACTCACTTTCACCAAATATTAAAACAATTCATTTGCCATGGACAAATTGCCAGCGCAAAATTGCGGTGGGCATATCATTATGCCCAACAGTGTATTTGATTAGACAAACTAACGCAATATTCACCTTGAGTTCACTGATTTCGTAGCGATGAGCCAGTTGAACTACTTTTCTCGCCAATTCGTTTCCTTTGACCTTCGTGTTCATATAAAGGAACTTGAGCATGGCCTCCACTACCTCTGGATCTTCATCAAGCGTCATGAAATTTTCTGTCGTCTCTTTCATATCAACCAACAGCATTCTTGCAAAAACCTTTGACTTCAGAGCCAAGACGTACTTTACTACCTAAAATAGCCAAATTTCACAAATAATCCCCACTTACATGAAAGGTTTTGTCACCAGCCTGGATTCGGAAGTCGCTGAGCTTGGGGTTCCCAAAGTATTCGTTGGATGCTTCTGGATGTCTGTTCACCCTTTCTGAAAGAGTGTAAGATAATAAAATTCAAAATGATCTCAGTGTGTTCACTGAAAAAGCTCAGAAATACAATCGAGATCGTCTAAAAATTGAAGAATACATCCTAAACTTGAAGATCCCTCCTTACCTTTGAGGACTTGAACTTGGACTTCCACATGTTTACGTTTTCTGGATGATTCGCAGTTAGTCGAAGACATCGTCAAGTCCGTATCCAAGTCACTCGTGCAAGAGTAAGATTCGTGGAATCTTCTCTCTCTTCTCTTGCGAATCTCAACCGCGCCCGATTTCGCCTGGCTAAATTATGCAGCGCACCAAGCAAAGAACACCGGCCGCTCCCGACTCGAAGAGATGAGGAAATATAGTGATTAAACCTTCAATTATTCAATCCATGGGAACCCATTACTTTTCACATTACTCATACGGATGCAAATGAGGGCGAAATCACTGATAAAACTCATCAGCAGCTTCGTCGAGAGTGAGGCCCCGGCCAACAGCTCTTCGACAGTCCGAGGACTAATCTTCTAATTTCACTCAAGCAGGTCCGAAGTTTAATGAAAATTGCAACAAAATTGACCGCAAAAAGTACGGGCAAGACTTGACGCAGTCGGGATCAAGTGTTCCTCGAAAGATGGAAACCAGGGGTGGTCAGTGGGCCGGCCGGGCTCAAAAATGGAAAATTACAAACGGGCCGGGCCCGTCACAGGCCGGGCCGGGCCGCGGGCCTGGGGTTTTTTCCGGCCCGGCCCGTCTAAATTACAATGCCAAACCGTTGGCATTCATTGTTTTCGCGCCGGGAAAATTAATTGATGTTGTTATAGTTGCTGTTTCTCAAGTTCTAAAACGTTTACAAGTCTATAGTTCCATTATAAAACCACAAAACTATCACATTGATCCTTTACTAGCTATATCAATGCCTTTTTTGCCTAACAAGGGATCGGCAAATAGTTGCAACCTTTAATCTTAACGAAACATATATCATTTGAAAGAGCATTAAAAGTAGTGCACAACGCAAAAAAAATTAGCTGCCTAATTTATGTTTGGGCAAAGTTATGGCCGTTTTATGAAAGTGGTCATATGCGGCCAAAACGCCGGTTTCTTATATTACAGTAATCCTGGCGGCTTGAAGTCGCCTCCTTTGATTTTCTATTCTTCAAAAACGTCTATCAGTCGTTTTAAGGCTCTACCAATTCTCGGTTATGAGTTATTAGACATTACTGCTTGTTCCAAAAAATTGTAAAAAAAACTAGGTTAATGAGAAAATTGGAGCAAAAAGCTTTGGAAATACATTTATATGATCGCTGTGGTCGTTCACAAACTAAAATGTCAAAATTAAAAATTTCTTGTGTCCTAGCCCTACCAATGGTTGGTCCACTGTGTCAGCAATAGTCTTTTGCCCGATTTTACAATTTTCTCTTCGTATTTTTTCGAAAAAATGTATATTTACAGGTCCTAGTAAATTCAATTCTCGTCCAGTAATTATAATAGGTCAGGCTACTGGGATGACACCCTTGCATTATATGATAGTGGTATCCCCACTCTCATCACCATCAAATTTGTGGTCGTTTCAAAAAAAGCCAAAAATTCAAAAAAATCCCGTAAAAATGAATTTCGTCTGCAAAAGGACACAAATTATTAAAAAATACCAACATACCATGGCTTTGTGGCATATAAGATACGAAACGCAAAAAACTCGCAGAGCCCGGATTCGAAACCAGGACTTGTTGCGCCGGAAGTGGAGTCACTACCACTCGGCCAACTGGACACAATTCTGTTGCGATTCCAAGAGCTTATAATGTGACGCATGAAATTAGGCTAAAAACTGTATTTTGGCCATAACTTTGTCCAAACATAAATTAGGCAGCTAATTTTTTTTGCGTTGTGCACTATTTTGAATGCTCTTTCAAATGATATATGTTTCGTTAAGATTAAAGGTTGCAACTATTTGCCGATCCCTTGTAAGTTTAGATCCCAAGCTTGGGCGCAGTTCGCAGAACCCTCTATAAACGGGTCTGCACGGGCCGGGCCAGGCCCGTCACGGGCCTGGAAAAAGACTAGACGGGCCGGGCCGGTAATTAGACGGGCCGGGCCGCGGGCCGAAAATCGGAAAAATAGGGTCCGCTGACCACCCCTGATGGAAACACATTTTACCGGACAGCTACAGTAAGAAAAGAACTACAGAGAAATTGCAAAGGATTACACTCTTGATGAAATCTTCAAGGAAATCAATAAATTTATTGTACACTTATAGATTATATTTCTTATCGTCGTCTGAAAAAAACAGTGATAGAACGTGCGTTCGGAAGGAGGTGAAGCTGATTGTAATTCGCGGAGGAATCTTTGACGTATGGCGCATAGTACAACATTCCTGAGGTGGAAGGGCAAGATGAATATTCTAATGTGTTTGGAGGAAGTTTCAGTACTTTTGACGGTCCAATCAATTGGAAAGCCATACGAGAAGTCAAAGGATCGCAGCTGTAGATCTTGAATGCAATCGACATTTCACTGTGATTAGTTATAGTTGGCCCTCCGTTGTAATCATAACCATCATAACTAACAGAAATCTCTTTCGAATTCAGAGAAATTAGATGTTCTTCAAAGCCGTCAAAATTCTGATAAAGAAATTCGTTGCATTTCAAAAAGACCAGAGGAAGTTTGAGTTGAGACGCCAAAATCCAGCTCTCTTCAGCGTCCTTTACCGTCAGGCTTTCAAGGATTTCGAGTTCGCATTGATCCTAAAAATAACATTACATAATTTTAAAGGTCAAAGAATAACGGAAAATTATCATAAAACAGACCGGAAATGATGTAAGGCTCTTACTAACAGTCACTGTATTATCCAGAGCTTATCGCAGATAAAAGAAATCGTCAAAACAGCGCAAAACTCACCTTGAGTTCATTGATTTCGTAACAATGAGCAAGCCGGACGACTTTTCTGGCCAATTCATTTCCCTTGACCTTCGTGTTCATGTAAATGAACCTTAGCATGGCTTCCACTGCCTTTGGATCGTCATCCAGCTTCATTACACCTTCATTCTTCTCTTTCATATAAAGCGGGAGATAAAAGATTTTCTGAAAAATTTTTGAAATTTTTCTGTTTTTACTTTTTTTTTGAAAAAAAAGTAAATTTTCAGTTTACTTTCCGGAAAATGCAAAAGAAAGTCAATTTTGTTTCTGGCTTTCCGACTTCAAGGTCGGGAGTAGGATCGGATCTTACTCCCCGCTCGGAGTCGCGGAAAGTCAGAGCTTGTTTTTACTTTCATCCTCTTTTTGGCCCCGCACTGCAGGTTGCAAGGTTGACGCCAAGTCTTTCCCCGATGTGTCAAGTTTTTCTCTTCCGAAAAAATTATTTTTATGTTTGTGCGATGTTCTGAAGCTATGTTCTCCACGAAGATGGGCTAAAAAGTGATCAAGTAAGTTAGCATTAGCAAGAGGAGATGTACGTTTTTCATTTGACACCAAATTTTTCCCTTTTATTTCAGAGAAAGGTACAAAATTTTTCCAATTCGTAAAGCTTCATGACCATGGATAATGTAAGTGAGATTATCTCGTTTTTTGCTACGACGTCAAGATTCTAAGTCGGGAAACGTTTAGAGGAGACCCCACTCTCATGTATATTCCCCATGTATGAAACCCCATAAATTTTGAGGAATAACGACGTAAAAGTTTCAAATACTATACTAACTTTCCAAAAAGTATGTTATACGAAAGTAAAACCTATGCAAACTATCTTCAAGTTATTGTAACAACGTTTTGAGCCTTACTACGTTATTACCTCAGTTTAGAACGCCTTCGTGGCAAAAATCCGGCGGATCTGAGCGCATTTCGATATTGTACATGACACCTAGAAATCAAAATTGGTGGCGTTTGATAGATAGAGTATATAACAAAACTGAAGTGAGGTGTCCTCTAGAACTCGCCAGCCTAGAACTGTTAACTCCAATAACGGAACAAAAAACGCGATAAGCGCACTTACATTATCCATGGTCATGAAGCTTTACGAATTGGAAAAAATTTGTACCTTTCTCTGAAATAAAACGAAAATTTTTGGTGTCAAATGAAAAAAGTACATCTCCTCTTGCTAATGCTAACTTACTTGATCACTTTTCCGCCCATCTTCGTGGAGAAAATAGATTCACAACTTCAAAAAAAATCAAAACGTTTCTTCAGGGAGAGAGAAATTTCAAATTTGACACATCTGGAATTCCCGGGCGCAGCTCGCAAAAATTTTTTTTGAAGAAAATAAATTGGCGTGCAGGTGAGTAAAAACGGCATCCTACTCACCAGCCAAAATGGGCGAGCCATTTTTGTTTCAACTTTCCGGATCGACCTTTTAGCGAGCCATTTTTGATCCAACTTTCCAAAAATTTGTCGTTCGGAGTAAGAATGTTTTTTGACTTTCCGAAATCGAAAATTTCCGGAAATTTTTCAAAATTTACTTTTTTTTTAAAAAAAAAGTAAAAACAGAAAAATTTCAAAAATTTTTCAGAAAATCTTTTATCTCCCGCTTTATATCAACCATGAACATTTTTGCGAACACCTTCGACCTCAGCGCCATCTGGTATTTTGTTACCTAAACTGGCAAAAATAAGAAATAAAATCTTTTACGTAAAATGTCTTGTTCCCGGATTGGATCTGGAAGTTGCTGAACACTGGGTTTCCAAAATATTCATTCGGTACTTCTGGGATACTGTTCACCTTCTCTAAAATGAAGAGTACTATAAAAAGAAGCAAAATTCTGATGTATAATTTTGCGGGACAGAAATCTGAAGGTGATCATGAACGATGGATCTAATAATTATATGTTCACGGCCGCACTTTCACGGTCCTGATCTCCTAGGAACGAGATTATCTTACCCTTCAACGCCTTGATTTGAGCTTCTAGCTGCTTTTGTCGAGTCGACATGATGCAATTAGAGGAACAAGACGACATCCTTTCTGTTGTGGAAATGCAGCGCACACACAGCGGAATTGATGCTGAAATTGGCGATCGATATTTTGGATTTAAATTCAAAAATGAATTTTCCCTCCATTTTTTTGGCGTTCTGTTTCAGAGCTGCACATCAACCACAAATAGAATGCCAAGATTCTTAGCATTCGGTTTTTTAAGGGTCTCTAATCTTTTAGCTTACTGTGCAGTGGGTAATGAACAAAATAACATGAACCTGCGAGTAAAACATTGCCAAGGACTCAGAATTTTGAAATTAATAGATTTTGGCGTCTTTCGGCCACCGGGTTAGCGACAAACCGCCGAAGTCGAATTTTTGCAAACTTTGCGGCCGAATAACTTGTCTAAAACTATTGAAACACGGAAAGTGATTGACTACACTGAGCTTTTAGAGTTGGTTTCAACTTCGCTGCGCCAATTTCAAAAATGGCCAATATCACCAAAAACAAGGTTCTTACAACAGCTTCTAAACTGGTGCGGATGCCACTAATTATGCTCTTATTGTCTTTTTAGATCATAGTGGACCTAGCTGAGTCAAAATTTATCGATTTTTAAAATATTATTTTAGTCAAATAAATATCAGTTTTTTTGGAATTTTGAGTGAGTAAACTAGTATGGGACAAAGGGTTGCTTATTGTTCTCTAAAACTACTCTAATTATGATCATAGGAAAAAGAATTCAGGCACTTGCTTCGTTACGAAACGATTTAGTAGCAAAATATGTCTAAAACAAGGTTTTCAAATCTACTATTTTTTGGTCAGTCCGACTCGTTTCCAATTTTTAATTTGAGCTACCCTCGGGCATCCTAACAAAGTATTGCAAACAGTTTTCCCGATTTGAAACTTTGTTTTTTGTGGTTGATGTGAGCTGTACAATTTACTGGCTCTTCAGTTCTGGGTCGCCTTTCCTTAGCCCTATAAGACTCTGCTGTCAAGGACCCCATGAACTTTCAGCCTGAACGGTTTCTGGATGAATCCGGGAGTTTGAAGAAGACTGAGGAACTCATCTCATTTTCGACTGGTCGCCGGATTTGCGCGGGCGAAGCCTTGGCCAAGATCGAGACCTTCCTGAATGTGGCCAACTTCTTCAGTAGGTACGAGATCCGCTCATTTCTGGAGGACGAAAGCCATAAATAAAACGGAACTTCGGATTTAGCATCGCTCCCGAACCATTTGAAGTCGAAATCAAGGCTAGGGGTTGATATTTTTGTTGGAGTTGTTGTAAAAATTGGAAAGACAAAAAATGATTTTCTATATCGAGGCACCTGATCCGAAAATGCGAGCCAACTCTTCCCGTCAGAGTTTGAGCAATTTTGAGTCATGGCTTTCAAGGCTGACGCGCTGAACCTTCCCAGATCAACAACAAACACCCGCAATCCAAAATCAACACAAAAATATTTGAATTTGAGACAGAATTTTATTTTTTTATAGCAAAGAATCATACCTTTAATAAACTAATCAAATATCAATCGAACTTGGAGAAGAAGAACGGTCAAGTTACAGTCAGAGATTGCCACGGTCAAAATTTCGGCTCCGGCTCTTAGCTCCCAGAGCCGGAGCCGATGCCAAATTTGCAGCTCCGGCTCCCATGAAAAACTTAAAAAGGTCTGCGGCTCCGAATCCCGGCTCCCGTGCAAAAAAAATTTTTTTAATATTTTTCCAAAACTTTGGGCTCGAGAGCCGCTCAGAGCCCGAGCCAGGGCTCTGAGCCGCGGCGATCTCTGGTTACAATTTTATCTGATTTTAACAAACCAATTTCAAGCGACAAGAAGCGTGAACCCGGCCGAAGATGGAGTGGAACGTAACAATTCTCCACATACGGGCCATAGTATATCAATCCCATTGTCCTCGCAGGACAATTAATGTATCTCAGAGCTGCGTCAGACAAAGTCATTTTAGCTGCTGGCTCAATCACTTGGAACCACATTCTCTGAGTCAACGGGTCGCAACTGTAGATCGCAAATGATATTCTCGTATTGGTGTGGTTGGTAAACTCAAGCGATGTGTAGCAAAATCCGTAGTCATCAAACCAAATCTGGTCGGTAGAACAGGAAATGGAATTTTCCTCAAAGTGCGTAAAGTTGAAGTACAGTATCTGGTTGCATTTCAAGAAAAGAAGCGAAAGCTTGAGTTGGGATGCCAAAAACAAGCTCTCCTCGGCATCTTCGGCAGTCAGGTGCTTCACAATCTCGAATTCGCATTGATCCTGAAACAAAACTTCGCATAATGTTAGCTAAAAAGTTTAAAACAAGCTCCGCACATAGCTTTTCCAACTTCAAAGCCGGATAAAGACAGGAGAACGTAAAAGACATTCACCTTGAGTTCATCGAGTTCATAACGATGTGCGAGATGAATAACTTTTTTTGCCAATTCGCCTCCTTTGACCCTTATGTACATGTAAATGAAATTCAACATGGCCTCCACGCTCTCCGGATCTTCGTCAAGCCGCATAACACCTTCATTCTTTTCTTTCATGCAGACCATAAGCATCCTGGCAAATACCTTCGACTTCAGTGCCAATTGATATTTTGTTACCTAAAATTATAAATAAATAAGAAAAATGTTTCTTACGTAAAAGGTCCTCTCCCCAGCTTGGATTCGGAAGTCGCTGAATTCGGGATTTCCAAAGTACTCATTAGGAGCCTCCAGATTTCGGGAGACCTTCCCTGAAAGGAAAAATTATATATAAGTGTGATTTGGCAATTTATAAACACACGAGGTCACACAATCATGCCATGATCAATTCATCTCACATTTATTGGACTTACCTTTGAGCGCGTTTATTCTCGTTTCAAGGTGGCGATCTCGTCTAAGCGCTTCGCATTCCGCGAAACAAAGCCTACTTTTCATCAGATTACACACCAAAACAGACACAACTCAATAATTACAATAAATACCGGTATTTTAACCCTTTCCGGACGAGTCGGCACGTATATATTAAAATGAAAGAGGGTACCCTACTGAGTAACGGCATAATAGTGGTTCAGCCCATCGAAGCGTTATTTGGGACTTATGACAAAAAATGTCCTGAAAAGTACCCCCACTTGACATATCACTTTCAAAATTTTTGCGACAAGCTGTAAATCGGAAACTACCCCTAAATTAAAGTCGAGGAGTCCTAGTATTGTTACATCCAAGAACTGTCCAAATCGGAGCACCATAGGATTTGTTATCGATTTTTGGAAATTGAATTTTTAATTTTGGTCAATTTTGGGCCTAAAATCAAGTATATCATCCGCGGGTATCAACCATTTCGGTCCAAATGTGGTTTTTCCGAATCTATTGTGATGGTAGCTTCTTACTAGAATATTTCCACAAAAAACCTATGAGGCATATTTCTGTAAAACGCGGAAATGTTGAATGTGCAAAGGTTTGATCGTATAAAATGTCGCCGCGAGCCGCGAAGGGACGGGCGCAGCCCGAAACGAGAAAATAATAATTTTTTCTTCGAGAAATATTATTTTGGTGTCGAAAAGCTGATTTCAACACGGAATACAGGCAGAAATAGCACGCAAACATTACCTAAATGTCATTTTTATATTTTTACTCTGTTTTCAGGCAATTTCAATCGAGTTTGATTTTGTTTCACGCTAAAATCAAACTTCTCGAAAAATTTTAAAATATTTTCTCGTTTCGAGCTGCGCCCGTCCCTTCGCGGCTCGCGGCGACATTTTATACGATCAAACCTTTACACATTCAACATTTCCGCGTTTTACAGAAATATGCCTCATAGGTTTTTTGTGGAAATATTCTAGTAAGAAGCTACCATCACAATAGATTCGGAAAAACCACATTTGGACCGAAATGGTTGATACCCGCGGATGATATACTTGATTTTAGGCCCAAAATTGACCAAAATTAAAAATTCAATTTCCAAAAATCGATAACAAATCCTATGGTGCTCCGATTTGGACAGTTCTTGGATGTAACAATACTAGGACTCCTCGACTTTAATTTAGGGGTAGTTTCCGATTTACAGCTTGTCGCAAAAATTTTGAAAGTGATATGTCAAGTGGGGGTACTTTTCAGGACATTTTTTGTCATAAGTCCCAAATAACGCTTCGATGGGCTGAACCACTATTATGCCGTTACTCAGTAGGGTACCCTCTTTCATTTTAATATACTGCTCCACAAAATGATAGACGCACCCTTTTTTTACCGATTATCTTCCTTATACTAAATGATATCCAAAAATGTTCAACAGATGAAATGTGGCTAATTAACCGAGAAATCATGTCCCATACCGATTTTGGAACAAAATTTTGTCTTGACTGAAATTTTGAAATTTTTTGATTTTTCTGCTCCACAAAATGATAGACGCACTTGAATAATTTTTGATTTTTTAAAATAAATTTTGAGTCAACCCGCTCTTGTCGCACTTCCCCGTGTTCTCTGTAGTGTTAAGAAGGCTATTACATTCATATCCGCCGTACATAATCGACGCAATGGCCTCATGGACCATCTGCGACCTTGTACATGAGGTAAGCATTAGTTTTTAAAAAAATGCCGGTTGGGCTGTTTTCTTGAGCGAGAAACTAGCTAATGCTATTACATTACGCGGGTGGATTTCATTAATGCAAAAAAATCAGCTTGCTCAAAGATCTCGCGTATTTTCTTGGCATATCATCTTCAACAAGTAGCTACCGTAATACTTTAGACCCCGAAATACCAAGACGAATAGACGAGAATCATAAAATTTGATATGCAAATTCGAACTCAGCATGCCTGAAAACATAATGCTTCAATCATCAGCCGTTACAAAATAAATCGGGTCTGTAAAGTTCGTTCTACAAAAAAGTTCACAAAAATAGGCCAAAATAGGCTTACTTTTACGCATTTATCTTTGAACTAACTACCTGCGGCAGATAGCACCTTTAAGCAAGCAATAAGTTGCAATTACAGGTTTTTTAGCATGCTGAGTTTGATTTTCTAAGCAAAACGTTGCCATGGATAGTAATTTTCTGTGCTTTTAGGGCCTTTGAAGGTTACTGTAGAAGGTATACGGTAACTTATTGGTCGATTAAATGAATTCAAACGAATCGGTGTTGATTTATTTTACAACTTGTAGTTACTACAAGTAATCTAAGATGTTTCTTGGCGAAAATAAATCGTTAATCGGGGGGTTTTTTCAAAACTAATGTTTACCTCATGTACAAGGTCGCAGATGGCCCATGAGGCCATTGCGTCGATTAAGTACGGCGGATATGAATGTAATAGCCTTCTTAACACTACAGAGAACACGGGGAAGTGCGACAAGAGCAGGTTGACTCAAAATTTGTTTTAAAAAATCAAAAATTATTCAAGTGCGTCTATCATTTTGTGGAGCCTAAAAATCAAAAAATTTCAAAATTTCAGTCAAGACAAAATTTTGTGCCAAAATCGTTATGGGACATGATTTCTCGTTTAATAAGCCACATTTCATCTGTTGAACATTTTTGGATATCATTTAGTATAAGGAAGATAATCGGTAAAAAAGGGGTGCGTCTATCATTTTGTGGAGCAGTATATATACGTGCCGACTCGTCCGGAAAGGGTTAATCAAAAATCAATAATAAAAATTAAAATTAGTAATATTGATTTTTTGTTATCCAAAAATTGCAGAAACCTCCGCAGAACCTGGATATAAGGGTGACTTTGTTCAACGTTTCCTCAAGTTGTGTCTCATTTCCACAACATGAAGCATCATTTGGGGTTCTGTTCAGGCCGCTGCCAATCATCTCGACAGAAGTACTTGCAGGACCAAATAAACGTCCTAAAAGGTATGTGTACTCTTTTTAATTTCACCTTAGCTTTCTAAAACTGTGGACGATTAGCTTCATTGTGGTTTAAACTGTCCTCGGCTGGCTTGAGTAGTTCGTTTTTTAGTATTTGAAAAATTCTTTCATTGATATTATTTTAGACAGGGTCAATCAAAACCGAGAGGTTCCCTATGAGTTCTACGGAAATCCTGATGTCAGCGACTTTCAAATACAAGCCGACGGCAAAACCTTTCATGTAAGTTATGCATGGTTTCCATTAGTCCCGCAATTTTAGGTAACAAAAAATCAGCTAGCACTCAAGTCCAAAGTCTTCAAGAGAATGTTCACGATTGACATGAAGGAGAAAACAGAAGGTGTTATGAGGATTGATGCAGATGCGGAGTCTGTTGGGGCCATGCTTGAATACATTTACATGTTCAGGAAGGTCAAGGGAAACGAATTGGCGAGAAAAGTTGTTCAACTGGCCCATTGTTACGAAATCGATGATCTAAAGGTTGCGTTGTTTTGATGTTTCTTTATTGTTTTAGGATCTAAGAGAATGGAGTTTCTAAAATTATGTTAACGAGATTTATATAATATATTATAACATATATCTTTATTGTCCCTTTGATGGTTATTCTAATTTCAGGAGCAATGTGAGCTTGAAATCTTGGAAACTCTGACCGTCAACGATGCTGAGGAGAGTTTATTGTTGGCATCTCAACTCCGTCTTCCCCTGGTTTTCTTGAAATGCAACGAATTCCTCTTTTTCAATTTTATCGACTTCTGTGGGACTCCGATTTCCCTCACTCCCCCATCACTGTATTTTAACCTTGCGGGTGATTGTGTGTCCTACCTTACCATCACCAATCACTCTCAGTTTCCAATCGTTTTCAAGTTGTATGTAACAAAGCCTTCCGAATCCCTGACGGATTATCAAATTGTGTCTCCGAACAAGAGTCTGACTCTATCTCCAAGCCGGTTCGCCAAATATAATAAGTCCAGTACCACCGGCGAAGTGTACTTTACGTCGTATGTCCACGATTCCACTGACTACGATCTTCTCCATATTCTTCCGAACACACGGTGCTTGCCTATCGATATTTTTTAACCTTTTGTACATCTCTTTCGTATTTTTCCCGTATTCATGCCCCCAATCTCACCCACAAAATTCAGTAACAAATAAAATGGATTTAAAGCAAGTAATATAGGTAATATAAAAATAGATATCACCGCAACGTTGATTTTGCTCGTCCCTTGTCGACTTGGTCCTGGGACGAGATCCGGCCAATATTTGCACATTTCGCAGTAAAGAATGGGTCAACTGTTTCTCACATGCTTTCGGAGTTTCTTTCCCTTCAGAAGCGTTTCGTCAGTGAAACTCAGTAGTTATGCGACTGTGTTTCGAATGTTCTTGCAGATCCGAAAAGCAAGAAAAAAATTTGGCGGCACGGGTTAAGGGCGTTGAAGGTAGTTTTTTTTCGGACCGATTCTTATTATTCTTTCAGAGAAAATTGAGAGAAATCCGGAGATTCCGAATGAATATTTGATTTGGGGAGGATAGGTTACTCCGAGGATAGGTTACCCCAAAAAACACATAACTCGGAGGATAGGTTACCCCACCGGATAGGTTACCCCACGGATAGGTTACCCCACCGGATAGGTAACTCCACGGATAGGTTACCCTTTACCAAAAAAAGAAAAAAATTTTTTTGAAATGTTTTCGCTTCGGGAGTTTAAAAAGAAGGATTTTTTGTGAAAATTGAAAAAATTTTTAAATGTTTTCGCTTCGGGAGTTTAATAAGAAGGATTTTTTGTGAAAATTGAAAAAATTTTTAAATGTTTTCGCTTCGGGAGTTTAAAAAGAAGGATTTTTTGTGAAAATTGAAAAAATTTTTAAATGTTTTCGCTTCGGAAGTTTAAAAAGAAGGATTTTTTGTGAAAATTGAATAAAATTTGAGATGTTTTCGCTTTGGGAGTTGGAAAAAAAGGATTTTTTGTGAAATTTGAAAAAAATTTGAAATTTTTTCGAGCTGACTGAATGTGAACTGACTGAATATGAAAACTGGGTTTCTGTTACTTTACTACCTTCAGGGATTCTTTTTGAAATTTTTTCGACTTATAACACTTTTAGACGTTAATGGTGTTGTTTTGGTGCCTAGTACTGCTTAAAAAACGCATTTTTAATACTTGGTACTAAATAGTACTACCTGGTACTGTTTAGTACGAGGTGCAAATTTGGCCGTAAGGCGGTAATGGCGTTGGTTTGGTGCTTAGTAGAACCCAAAAACACGTTTTAACACTTGGTACTATATGGTACCAACTGGTACTGTTTTGTGAGAAGTGAAAATTTGGCCGTAAGGCAGTAATGGTGATGGTTTGGTGCTTTGTAGAGCCCAAACACACGTGGTACTATATAGTACCAGGTGGTACCATTGGTTTTAGACAAAATTTTAGTGCTGGCGGCACCACAGTTAATATTCAGTCAGACACCCTTTTTTCTACTTCCGATGCAAAAAGATTTCAAAATTTTGATGAATTTTCTAAAAAATTGTTTTTCTTCCCAGTCCCGAAGCGAAAACATTTCAAATTCTTTTCAATTTTCACAAAAAATCCTTTTTTTCCAAGTCCCGAGGCGAAAACATTTCAAAATTTTTTTAAATTTCACAAAAAATCCTTTTTTTCCAAGTCCCGAAGCGAAAACATTTTAAAAAAAAATTTTTTTTCAGGTAACCTATCCTCGGGGTAACCTATCCTCCGAGGTAACCTATCCGTGGGGTAACCTATCCTCCGAGGTTACCTATCCGAAACTTGGGGTAACCTATCCGGTGGGGTAACCTATCCGCTGGGGTAACCTATTTGTTAGGGGTAACCTATCCTCCGAGAACGGAATATTTTGGTGATCCTGCATTTCGCGATCTCAAAATCGAAGCTGGAGGCAGAAGCTTTGATGTAAGAAGGTGTATGTTTTTTCTATGGTTTTGAAATTTTAGGTCACAAAGTATCAATTGGCAATGAAGTCGAAAGTATTCGCGAAAATGCTCATGACAGACATGAAGGAGAAGAACGAAGGTGTAGTCCGGCTCGATGATGATGCTGAGACTGTAGAGGCTATGCTGAATTACATCAGCAGTTACAAGAAGGTCAAAGGAAACAAATTGGCGAGAAAAGTTGTTAAACTGGCGCATCATTACGAAATCGATGATCTCAAGGTGAATATTGCGTTATTGTGCTGATTCTTTTTGTGGGTAATGGTTGCAGTAGAATTTAGTTTCTTGTAAGACTCGCATATTAGGGTGTCCCATAAGTCTTGCAAATTTTTGGGTTTAAGAATTAACGTCTCATTTCGAGGGCCTAGAGAACTGTGCTCCTTAATGTTTGGTACTGTTAGAACCACCATCTCTTACTTGTTAACAGCATAAAAATTTTAACTAACCACGTGCCCTCCGGGCAAATACTTGACATTCTTTAATATCATCCAGTGTTGGGAAGGCTTAGGAAAACGATTCCGTTCTTTGGTGAGGCTGGACCTTTGCAACCACACTTTTTATTAAATGTACTGAGTACTCTGTTTCTAAATAAGCGGCGCTTTCCACTGAATTAGTGATTGTGACGCTGTCCTGCAGGTGTCTTGTATCAGGCGTTATGGTAAATATTACAATGTACATACTTTTCCGTATAAAATTTTTTGAGGGTGGTTTCTCAGGTCGCGCCGTTACCATAATGAAAGTAGCATTACATTTATGCGTTTTAACCACGGATCCGTTGGCTACCTTGTTCTGAATTACCGCTAACCCAAGAAAATTTGAAAAAATGAGGTTCATTTACTCAACACCAAAAAAGTTGGCATGGATACAAATAACATTGTACAGGGTGGACCACTAAAACCTTCCGTCCTCTTTTTTTAGATTTCTCCGCGGAGACTCCGCCGATTTTCATGAAATTTAGATTTTTCTGGAGCTAAGATTCGCCATTTTCAACCGATTGAATTTCAGGAAGAAATATTCTGAATTGACCTTTCTATGCCTTCCCAAAGCTTTTGAAAATTATTTTCCAGCCGAAACCGCTAAAACTTAGAAAATTTTTGGAATGATTTTCAATTGACTTTCTCGGACTTGGAAAATTTCAGGCTTTTTTTTTGGTAAAATTGTGGAGTAAAAAGTTCCGTACGCTTTCTCTAAACTTTTTTAAAGCAAGTTAAAAGCAAAAAGAGTGCTGTCTGTATTACCGTTAGGGTATGAACGCTGAAAAAAAATTTTTCAACAAGAGTGAAAAAGTCCACATTAAAAGACGATTTCTGAGTCACTGAAGCAAGCCGTAGTTAGGCCAGGACATAGGATTTTTTCGATGTTGAGTTTTTTACATTAGTATGACCCATGGCACCTGTAGAGAAAAAGCGAACCACAGTTTTCCTTAATTCTTCCATTAACTGTACTTTTTATACAATTTTCTGTTTATACAGTAATTCGTTATAACTTTCTACAATGGTGTCCGTTTGTCATAAAAATAGGGCTACTATGGTTTTTGGGCATGACGAGTTCAATAAAACCAAAAAAAATTTCATCCGGTTACGGTAACATATAAAAATACTGTATCGGTCGGTAAAAATCGACCATAAAAAGTTTGTTTCAAAAAAGCCACAGCCAATTTTTTCATATTCGTAATCAGCGTAAAATTCTGCTCTCGGACCAATTTTAAAAAGTTCAAAAATAGGACCCCCATTTTCCGTGGTGTAGTGGTTTTTGACCAAAACTGGTAATCTGACCACCCAGGTTCGAATCCGGGTGGGTGCGAATGTAGAAAAAAGACCTAAAATCACTTTTAATGAAAACCTGAGAGTTATTTGAAGCACGCTGAGCAATTTTAGGCATTAAAACTCTCTGAATTTGGGATTAAAACGATTTTTATGTAATTTTAGAGGATTAATGCATCAAAAATAAAACTGCTTCAAACTGGTTGAAATTGATAACACTTATTCTATGGCTAATTGTAAGAAACTTTCCCGTTAACTTTTTTTGGTAGAATGCTATATCATGGATTACTGTAACATTAAACCCGTTTTCGTTTTTGGTATGCGACAGGGCGTAGAGACTTCAATGTATCACAATTATGATAGGAATGCTTGAGAACACGTTGGTTATCACACAAATGTGTTTTCTATGTCCGTAGGACTTGAAACACGTCCGTTATAACGCGCAGGTTTCCAATCGATAATGATGTCAAGATGCACAATATATCATGGGAAATTCTTTTTTTGAAATATGGAGCGTTGAGATTTCTTGCTTTTTAATAGATCTAATCAAAAAAAGAAAAACATTTACCCAAGAATTTTGAAGAAAAAATCTGCTAAGTAGAATAAGTTTTATGTTACAGTAATCCATGATACAGCACTCTACCAAAAAAAGTAAACAGGAAAGTTTCTTACAATTAGCCATAGAATAAGTGTTATCAATTTCAACCAGTTTGAAGCAGTTTTATTTTTGATGCATTAATCCTCTAAAATTACATAAAAATCGTTTTAATCCCAAATTCAGAGAGTTTTAATGCCTAAAATTGCTCAGCGTGCTTCAAATAACTCTCAGGTTTTCATTAAAAGTGATTTTAGGTCTTTTTTCTACATTCGCACCCACCCGGATTCGAACCTGGGTGGTCAGATTACCAGTTTTGGTCAAAAACCACTACACCACGGAAAATGGGGGTCCTATTTTTGAACTTTTTAAAATTGGTCCTAGAGCAGAATTTTACGCTGATTACGAATATGAAAAAATTGGCTGTGGCTTTTTTGAAGCAAACTTTTTATGGTCGATTTTTACCGACCGATACAGTATTTTTATATGTTACCGTAACCGGATGAAATTTTTTTGGTTTTATTGAACTCGTCATGCCCAAAAACCATAGTAGCCTTATTTTTATGACAAACGGACACCATTGTAGAAAGTTATGACGAATTACTGTATAAACAGAAAATTGTATAAAAAGTACAGTTAATGGAAGAATTGAGGAAAACTGTGGTTCGCTTTTTCCCTACTGGTGCTGTGGATCATATTTATGCAAAAAACTCAACTTCGAAAAAATCCTATGTCACGGCTTGCCTCACTGACTCAGAAATCGTCTTTTAAGGCTAAAAGCCAGGGATTGGCGCATTGAGGCTTGGAGACAGGCTCGATTGAAGTTAAACCATGTTCACGATATGCAATTCGAGCCTTTTTGAACTTTCAAAGCCCCCGCAAGTTCGTGCAGCAAGAGGAGGTGGACATGTCGAACTCAGATAGAAATATTAATAACCAAATTGTTAAATAAATTAGTTTTTACACCAGTATTTTGCAAATATATGAGGCAAAACGAGTAAGATTTCACCCAAAAACCCGAAAAAATGACCAAGTTTTCAAAATCATTCCAAAAATTTTCTAAGTTTTAGCGGTTTCGGCTCAAAAATAATTTTCAAAAACTTTGGAAAGGCATAGAAAGGTCAATTAAAGATATATTTTTTCAAATTCAACCGGTTGAAAATGGCGCATCTCAGCTTCAGAAAGATCTAAATTTCATGAAAATCGGCGGAGTCTCCGCGGAGAAATCTAAAAAAAGAGGACGGAAGGTTTTAGTGGCCCACCCTGTAGTGCAGTGTGTTCTAAACAGTGACATATGTAATTCTATCTTTGCAAGAGGATTTGGGAATAGCGGTGATAGAGGCTGAAAAACACTCACAACGGATCGGCAAATAGTTGCACCCTGCTGTCTTAACGAAACCTATATCATTCGAAAGAGCATTACAAATAGTGTACAACGCAAAAAAAAAATAGCTGCCCAATATACACTGCTAGACAAAATGATATGACCACCGCAATTTTGCGCCGGCAATTTGTCCATGGTAAATGAATTGCTTTAATATTTGGTTAAAGTGAGTATGGAGCAATGTAACATGTACCCAAGAAGTATCAAAGGATTTCAAAAAGTGCAAGGTGAGTAAAATTTGGAAAAACGCGAAACCGCCAAAAATCGGCTGGACAAAATGATATGACCACGTGGTTTAATTCAATCTTTTACTAATAAACACAATTTAACAAACAATCCTAGTAATGAGTGAGTCCTCCACTGATTACTAGGACTGGTATGGGGACATGTTCGGCCAGGTTTAGACGGGTTTGAACGCGTTAAACCATGTTTGATGCAGAGCTACCCAAACTGGTGATTATCTTCCATTAACGCTTTCCAAAACTTTTAAATGACGTTTTTATCATGTCATCTAGACGTGTAATCACCTGTACAAGCCTTCGCTTTTCGCACGAACTCCATGGTGGTCTGGTAGTGTGGATTCAGCAAACATCCGGTTACCATGTCCAGCTTTGGCGACCCATTTGCTATTTGACCCTGGGGATAGATGTGCCCCTTAGGTTTAAAATGTAACCCGGAATCTCTCCAGAAAACGGCGAAGCCAAGAAAAGTCCCCGGTGACACGATCACAGCTTTGTAGATGCAACTTTGCCGACCTTCACCTTAACCAGCAAAACCGAGTTTTTCAAATGGATTTTTAGCGATGCAAAACGGCTTTCATTCGATGGCCTATGTAATTTTAGAAGCTACAGCACACCTCATGCATCCTGGGCCATAAAACGAACTGTTTTTTGTCGCTAACGATCCCTTTGAAAAACTTGGTTTTTCTGGTTAAGGGGCACATCGGTGCAGTTGCATCTGCAAAGCTGAGATCGTGTCAGCGGGGACTTTTCTTGACTTCGCCGTTTTCTGGAGAGATTCCGGGTTACATTTTAAACCTAAGGGGCACATCTATCCCCAGGGTCAAATAGCAAATGGGTCGCCAAAGCTGGACATGGTAACCGGATGTTTGCTGAATCCACACTACCAGACCACCATGGAGTTCGTGCGAAAAGCGAAGGCTTGTACAGGTGATTACACGTCTAGATGACATGATAAAAACGTCATTTAAAAGTTTTGGAAAGCGTTAATGGAAGATAATCACCAGTTTGGGTAGCTCTGCATCAAACATGGTTTAACGCGTTCAAACCCGTCTAAACCGGAGTCAGGAAATTATGGGTGACGCAGAGTCGGGTGGTGCAGGTTCGGGTGAGAACTTTCGGGTGATCGCAAAGTCGGGTGATGCAAAGTCGGGTGGTGCATATTCGGGTGATGGAATTTTGGGGTGGGGGAATTCTCGGGTGATGAAAAAAGAAAAAAAAACCTGGCCGAACATGTCCCCATACCAGTCCTAGTAATCAGTGGAGGACTCACTCATTACTAGGATTGTTTGTTAAATTGTGTTTATTAGTAAAAGATTGAATTAAACCACGTGGTCATATCATTTTGTCCAGCCGATTTTTGGCTGTTTCGCGTTTTTCCAAATTTTACTCACCTTGCACTTTTTGAAATCCTTTGATACTTCTTGGGTACATGTTACATTGCTCCATACTCACTTTAACCAAATATTAAAGCAATTCATTTACCATGGACAAATTGCCGGCGCAAAATTGCGGTGGTCATATCATTTTGTCCAGCAGTGTATGTTTGGGCAAAGTTATGTCCGTTTTATGAATGGGACACCCTAATAGATAATCCATAGGTTGAATATTGATTTTGATATCAACTTTCTTGGTGGGGAAGAAAAACAAACTTGGATTGGAATCAAAATTGGATTTTCGTATTATGATGTCTAAAATAATATCGATACTTTAGGATCAATGTGAAATCGAACTACTGGAGACCGCGACTATGGAGAATGCTAAAGCCAACATAATGTTGGCCGGAGAACTGAAGCTACCGTTGCTCTTCTCGACCTGCAACGAGCTTCTTTACTTCAACTTTGAAAGCCCCGATTCCGGCGTGCCTGTTTTGTCCTTCAGTCCGACGGAAATGCTGTTTCGACTGTGCAAGTCAGCCTCAACCCACAAATTGGTCAACCACAGTGAAATGACGATTGCTTTCAATATCTACAGCTGCGATCCATTGAGGACTTGTATGGAATTTAAGGTTATCGAGCCGTTATCCGAGCTCCAATTACGTGCTGGCGACATTGTATACTCGGGAATCAGCCCCATAGGTCTTGTTTATTATGCGCCCTATGTCTCCGACAGATACATCGATTACAACGGACTCCATCTGATGCCGGAGGCTCGGTTCTTGCGGATTAATTTCGGACAGCCGAAGACTACGGGAGCCCGTGGTCGGTCCTGTCGTCTATGTCAGGCAAAAACGGACATGAGACTCCATATAGACAATATTGGAAGTGAGTTGACTCGAGTTCTTCGTTGTATAACTCAGCCTTACTTTGTTTGATGTTCTTTTCAGGAAAATTGAAATTGAATGGAGAAACTCGCAACGATTTCTTCAACCATCCAGGGATAAGCGATTTTCAAATCCAAGCTGGAGACAAGATCTTTTATGTACGTGACATTTCTTCTGTTATTTTTATAGTTTTAGGTTACCAAGTATCAATTGGTTTCTAAGTCCGAGATCTTCGCACAACGCATCATTGAGAAGAAAGAAAATTCCATTACTCTTGGTGAAGATCCAGAGGTGGTTGAGGCTATGTTGAAGTTTATTTATATGAATCAAAAAGTCAAAGGAAACGAATTGGCAAGAAAAGTTGTTCAATTAGCTCACCGGTTCAAAATTAAAGATCTCATGGTGAGTCTCGAACATTTTTGACTTTTTTTTGTTTTCAAGGCACCGCATTCTGTACTTTTGGGACACAACCGGTCTCCCCGAATTTTTTCTATTTTTTCAAAGTGGACCTCCTTCTTTAATTCATTACTCGGTAGCCGTTGAAGCTAGAGACTTGAAAATTGGCATGGATATAGAGTAAAGGCTCCGCTTCCAGAATATATAAATACTGTAATTAAACCCGGGCTATAAGCTCCACAATAAGATGCCAAAATATTTCATTCTTAAGACTTCTTGCACCTCAAGTGTCATTTTGCAGGATCGAAATGACAAATTTTAAAATACTGATTTGTGCAGAATTTTTTTTCTCTATCACATACTCAAATTTGTGAAGTTATATACACGATGGCTGAGCTACGGACGAAAAACTGGGTTTCATAGTGTGCTTTTTGGAATATCTCTGCCCTCAGGGCACATATAAAGGAAGTTCCGACCCAGGCTTGTTGCCCATGATGATATATGCGGTCTTACAAAATTACAATGTCCTATCTTCAAAATCAAGGGAGTTATTCGCTTTTCAATTCTTTTATCAAAAATAGGCTTGACATGCTCTTCCAACCCCTCAAAAGATTATATTCGAAGTGTTATTTCATTGCATGCATGCAAGCATGACAACCAACAGCTAAAAAAATTAGCGTCTGGAAAGCAAGGCAGTCTTATTGATCAATTTCAAGCCTATTTTTGATATAAAAATTGAAAAGCGAATAACTCCCTTGGTTTTGATGATAGGACATTGTAATTTGGTAACTTATATCATCATGGGCAACAAGCCTTGGTCGGAACTTCCTTTACATGTGCCCTGAGGGCAGAGATATTCCAAAAACACACTATAAAACCCAGTTTTTCGTCCGTAGCTCAGCCATGCGTGTATATAACTTCACGAAATTTGAGTATCTGATAGAGAAAAAAAATTCTGCACACATCAGTATTTTAAAATTTGTCATTTCGATCCTGCGAAATGACCTTTTAGGTGCAAGAAGTTTTAGGAATGAAATATTTTGGCATCTTATATGGAGCTTACAGCGCGGGGTTAATTACATTCCGGCAATTTTTCGGCCGGATTTGAATTGGCTATAACTTTTTTAGTTTTTAACCAAGTGTTAAAATTCTTTTTTTCCCTGAATGCATAGACATCCCCATTTTGTTTAATACCAAATATGTTATACCCATTTATTAGACTACAGTAAAAATTCAAGACAAAGAAAAAGCTCTAATTTTCATAGCTGACAATGGAATTACCCCTAGTGCGACTCTCAGATTTTCTTTAAATTTTGCACATGCGCCTTTCAAGGGCGGCCAAGATATTCAACGATCTTTGCGGTCAGGAGGGTACATGAGTGGTCACACAGAAAAACTTTTTGGCTCTATCCTCGCCAGTTTTGTGCAGAGAAAGCTGATTTTTTGTGGAAACGGTATTCTCCATGAACAGGCATGAAACTTTTTACGACAAAATTCGTAAAAAAGAATAAGGTCTTTTGGTCATTTTCCCGAAAGTTGTGCATTTTTTGCCTGAAATTCCCTGTATCTCAAAAGTTGTGCATTTTATTTTATTTTTAAATTTCCAGTGTTTATTGGGTTAAGGTTGAGGTTTTTTTAAAGTTTTTTTACGTGTTTTTGCATATTTTTCGGGATTTTTTGCAACGGATGCACAAAAATGAAAAATCGGCCGTTATAGCGATGTAGTGCGCACTGGATTACATGTATCTGCCAAATTTCACATTTTCGTCTTTACTCCACTTTGTGTTCTGAGCCGGTTTAGGTGTTAAGGCAACCGTCTCGCTACGACATCTGGTTCTCAAGTTATGACAAAACTAGTCATGTTACCGTAACCCAAAGTACAGTAAGATTTCGAAAAAAAGTTAACGGGAAAGTTTCTTAGAATGGTACGTAGCTACAGTTTTCCAAGTTTAAAGAAAATTGAAGCAGTTTGATTTTTCGTGCAACCAGGGTTGTTTACTTGCGCTTGACTTTTAGACAAATTGTGTTTCAATTGTCTTTAATTCGCATTATTCCTCTTTTTAGGAGCAATGTGCCTTTGAGATCATGGAGACTTTGGAGAAGGAGGACGTGGTCGATGTCCTGCTGGAAATCCTTCCTCTCGACCTTCCATTTGTTGCCTACAAGTGCCATGAAATGGTTTACCGCAACTTCAGCGATTTTGATCCTCCTCCGATCACCTTTATTCCTGCGGCAATAGAGTTTTGTGAGGGACATGATTTTTACCCAGTCACTGACCTAGTGTTTTCAAATCAAAGCGATGTGGAGATGGTCGTCCAAGTGTATGCGAGCAAACCATGGGTGGTGGAACTTATGGGTCCACAGATCATTGGTCCCCTGGCGGAGATTAATGCGGAAGGATTGTCCTACGAAAACTTCTACGAACAGACCGGTCTGCTTTATTTTGCACCTCATGACCCCTCCTCCGACTGTCAGAAACTCCATCTCCTGCCGAATGCTCGTTTTGTTCCCGTCGAATTGGCTCGTTGCAACCCTAAGTCTTGTAAGTTCTGTGGCGTCCAGGGTGACAATTAAAAAGCTTCGTCTTAATTTTACATGTATTCTAATTAATATAGCCATTTATACGAATAAAGTATATTTGTTTTGTTGGCTGTTATATTTTTGACTTGCAGGAGGAGTACCCCAAGTGCGACGTTCGATGAAACTTGGTACAAATTTAGAATGTTTTATTCTAACAAGGAAAGTACTTCTATGGGGTGTGGAATTACCGGTCGAGATATATATCAAAAAATTCGCAAAAATTTTCTGATTCAGAATATATATAAATTAGCTGCCTAATTTTGGTTTAATGACATGTTTTTGTCCTCAGAAGTTTTCTCGCGACACCATGCAAGTGTCTTTTTGACCGTGTTTTTACCAATAAAAAAATTTTGTTTTGTGCTAAACTAAATTCTGAAGCCTTGACAAGCCTTAAAATATCAAATTGGATTACAACTACACCTTAAAAGTAGTTCCAACGTAAAAAATGGGTTCTAATGTGGCAAAAAGAACCGAACCCGTTTCCCTCGGATTTCCAACCCAGCGCTCTAACCACTCGGCCACACCGCTCTCTTCCGAAGGAAGAGACCGAGCGCGCTTTTGTTGCCGCAGATTTTTTTCCTCGAGAAAAAGATTTATTGAAAAAACTCGCTGATAGACCAAAATTAGGCAGCTAATTTATATATTTTCTGAATCAGAAAATTTTTGCGAATTTTTTGATATATATCTCGACCGGTAATTCCACACCCCATAGAAGTACTTTCCTTGTAAAATATATGCGAGAATCCTAGCTCGCGCTTTGCAGAAAAAACCGTGATTTTTAGATCGGAAACGATTACACTGCAGTGCACTCTCCGCAATCAGCGGATTCGGAGCTTCGGGAGAAACACTTGCCTCTCTGAGTCAACTGTTACTCTTAAAACATATTTTTCCTGACCAGTGGATAGTGTGTTTTTACATTTTTTTGAAATTTATTTACAGAGGATGTCGCAGTGTACCTCGAATTGTGAAGCATCTAAGCGAAGGAAATATCTGGAAATCCAAATCAACGCCCTCAAAGGTAAGCCTCTCAAATGTTATATCGAAAATGAAACGCTTGCTATGTATTGTGCAATCTTTTGTCATGTAGAAAATATGTGGCCTAAGACCTTTATACTTTTTTTAAAATTTCTTCGCCTTTTTAGAGAGGGTTGATAGGAATCCGGAGGTTTACCACGAATTCTTTGGAAATTCTGACTTCAGCGACTTCCAGATCAAGGCCGGTGGTAAAACTTTCTACGTAAGCTTTGTTAGTTGATTTATTCCGATTTAGGTAACAAAATACCAACTGGCACACAAGTCTAAGGTATTTGCTAATATGTTCATGGTCAATATGAGGGAGAAGAAAGAAGGCGTTATGAAGATTGATGCAGATGCGGAGACCGTGGAGGCCATGCTTGAATACATTTACATGTTCAAGAAGGTCAAAGGAAGCGAGTTGGCGCGAAAAGTTGTTCAGCTGGCCCATTGTTACGAAATCGATGATCTCAAGGTGAATTTGGATTCGAATTTTTGACATTATTCTTGTTAATTATGATTAATAATATATTTTATTGTCTATTTCGATTAATCATCGATTTTAAGGAGCAATGTGAGCTCGAGATCTTGGAGAATCTGACTGTGAATGATGCTGAAGACAGTTTGTTATTAGCGGCGCAACTCAAACTTCCACTGGTGTTCTTGAAATGCAACGAGTTCCTTCTGATGAACTTTGTCGACTTTGGCGAGACTGTTATTACTCTCAGGTCAAAGCGAATACTTTTTCACAATGGTCGCTGCTGGTTTTTTACTGTTACCAACCTTAGTGAAGCGGAGGTTGCTTTCATGGTCTATAGCTCCGAACCATTGACATCTCGCATGAAGTTTAAAGTGATTCAGCCCTTCGGGGAAGTGACTCTGGCCTCAGACGAGCTGACCCATCCAAATTGCCCTACTTCATCGATGGGTTTCGTTTATTTTGCACCATACGTTGAGGGTTTGCACGATTATGATCAACTTCATCTTCTTCCAAACGCCCGCTATCTGCCTGTTGAGTTTAAAGATATAAAATAATAAAACATTTTACAGTAGTCTTTATTACAAGTGAAATTTCGTTCAAACGAAGACTAAAATTACTATTGGAACTATTATATTCTGGTTATAAACTACTGTTTTTCTTCCAATTCGTTGACAATCTTCTCGATCTTTTCGAATTGCCATTCAAAATTGGGGTAGAGGAAAGGTCGGTGATCATTTCGATGGTCGTCATTCGAGTATTGGTTGGCGTGGCAAGAAGGAGTGGCCACGGTGGCCTTGTGTCTGTTTATGGCATAGCGACGAGTGAAGCGATAGACCTGGAATTCGTTTTTAAATGAAATTTAAAAATTTCATTTACATGGTTGAGCCTGAACTCTTCCCCAAAAAGGCGGAAGTCTCCCCCTTTTTTGATTTTCACCAAAAAATCTGAACTCTCCCCTTGTTTGAACACTCCCCCATTTTGAAAATTGAAAAAAGAGGTGTGACATGTTATACGATGGAAAATTTTTTCAAATTGAAAAAAATGAGTTGTGACATTTAAACTCATTTTTTCAATTTGACAAGGAAAGTACTTTTATGGGGGCTCCTACTTTTTGACAGGACATATCTCAAAAAATCAGAAAAAATGTGCTGATCAAGGATATATAAATCTTAGCTGCCCATTTTAGGTTTTTAGGGGTGAAAACTCAATCGGAATTTGACTTAAAGTCCTATATGAACCCCTTTTCGCCTAATTTTTCACGGGTTTACAATTTTTATTTTGGCTTAAAATGATGTTTATTGAGTTTCTAAGACGTAATAAATCAGTCTTGGCCCAAAAATTTATTTTTCCGACCTTCAACTTCAAAAAAAGTTGATTCAGACCAAAAGGAAAATCGAACCCGTGCGGCGTCCTCCCTCTTGATTCCCAGACTACGGCACTAACCACTCGGCCACATCGCTCTCTTCCGAAGGAAGAGACCGACTGCGCTTTTTATCGTTTCGAATGCATGCGCCTTTTGTAAGGAAAAAAAGGGAAATTGAGCCAGTTTTTGGGCATTTTCACCCCTAAAAGCCCAAAATGGGCAGCTAAGATTTATATATCCTTGATCAGCACATTTTTTCTGATTTTTTGAGGTATGTCCCGTCAAAAAGTAGGAGCCCCCATAAAAGTACTTTCCTTGTGAAAAAAATTTCCATCGTATAGGATGTCACACCTAATTTTTTCAATTTTCAAAAATGAGGGGGAGAGTTCAGAAAATGGGGAGAGTTCTGCCGCAACGAATTTATATTATTTTAGAGTGCTGCAGGATTTTCAAATAGCACTACCTTTTCGGCCACCTCTCTAGGTGTATACTTGTCCGACCACAGTGGTAGCAGCTTCAAGAACAAGGCATAGGGGCCACATCCACCAGGTCTGCGGAGTTTCCCGATGACAGCCAGCTCGTCATAGGTCAGGCCGATCTCGTCTTCGTCGGTTTGAACCACCTTTCCGTCCTCTAATGGGCGCAGTTCGGCTGTCGGGACAGCATTCATGATCGCCTGAACATAATCCAGTTTCATTTACACTTTATAGTCGACTTTAATTTAGTTTTAATTCAGTCAAAACTCATATTACATTATCTGCTACCTACTGCAATATAAAAAATCTCGGCTCACCTCCAAGCCTTCCCATTTATACTCTTCGTAGACGTATTTTAGGAAGGATCTGAGGTCCTTCTTGCAGATGGACCCAATTGGATTCAGATCTCCACTGGAACAATCGTATTTCGTCACATATCCCACCAAACTTTCGTCGACGTTGGAGGTGGCCAAAACCAACAAAGAGCCGGGTCGGTTGTAGTAGACCAGTGAGGCCTGAGCGTATAGGTACGATAACACCATGCGGATTCGGGCTTGGATGTTCTGCAGGGCCATGATGACACGATTGTCCGGGTTCTGCAAGGATAATAGAAATTGAGGGTACTGTAACTTGCTTACCGTGAAACTCAAGACCAATCCGAAGCTCATTTTGAAGACTCCGAGCAAGGCATCCACTGCCATATCGACCACAATGCTGGAATGATTCGAGTTTATGGCCTTGGCCAAGTCTTCGGCCGCCTTTTTCGTTTCCTCCGACGAATTTTTCGTTCCCATGTAGACCGAGTACAATACCCTGGAGCAAAACTCGGCTGGATCGTCGGGAACTCTCTCCCCTTGGAAGTAATAGGCTGGATCTTCCTTGTCTGCAAAGAAAATTTTAGAATTAACACACAAAATACAGAGTTTGAACTACAAGTTCGCCTAAAACAATATAAAATTTCTGACCCTTATTCTCCCTGGAGGCTTTGCAAACTTTTTCGCACATCAATCTGACCATTACAGCTACGGATGCCGAGTCCTGACCACCGCTTAATGGCAAGAAAAATCCGGCCTAAACCAGAAATTACAGTAAGCCAATTACATCATAAAAATTACAAAAGAAATATTTTACCATTTTGCTGCGTCGAAGATAACACCAAAGCCAAGCCGGAGGGGCGTGACAAAGCTCGTCGTCGTCGGTTCTTTGCCGAGTGCTGATCGGTTTCGCCAAGGGAGCCGTCAATTGTTGCGGGGATTCCAATAATCTGCCGTCGAATCGGATAAATGGAATAATGGGCTCGCGAGAAGACTAAAGAGTGGTAAAATAAGGAAGGATTTTGGGATCCTACCTGCTCACAAAGGCTTTGTTTGTTGCGGAAGACCACAATCTCGTCCAAGTCCAAAACACTATTGACCACGCACTAAAACAAAATAAGAAATTAAAATTTTCGGTCGAAAAATTGTAAACATCATCGACAGGACTTAAAAACATGTTTTAAAAATCGTTATGTAAAATGCAAACATTTTTGATCTCTCAAAAATCAAAAAAAAGTACTCGCTCCCGGGTGGACTCGAACCACCAACCTTTCGGTTAACAGCCGAACGCGCTAACCGATTGCGCCACGGAAGCCGGCGCTCGGCCCCTCTTCCAATCGCTTCAAAATGGAGAGCGGAGGAAAAACTAAAGAAAAACAAGAAAATTTGCCCTTTTTCCATAAAAAAAAGTCAAAAAAGAAATGTTATAACGTCAGAATAAGGCTTCTGATACCCATAAAAACAAACCAAGACCATTGGGCAAAATCCCACGCATAATTTCTGATCAAAAAAAAACTCAAATCTTACAGTATCCTCAATGTCGAATTGATTGATTTGTGCGTATAACTTTCCGTTCATTACAATTGAGGACATCCCATCATAATAAACCCTGTCTCCATCGCATCCACGATGATTCGAATACAGATAAATTCCGCCGAGTTTTTGGGTTTGACCCAAAACAAGTTGATTTATTCGCTGATGGGACTTCCCAAGAACGTGATGGGAGCCGGAGCCGTTGCAAATAATATCAACGGCTCTTAGAGTGAGGTCCACAGCCTTGGTTTTGGCGGTCCAGAGCTCCTCGCAGAGTTCGAATCCAACACGGACACCATCTGAACTTTGGACAAAGACATCACCAAAAGGGACCGTTTCCTGAAGAAAAATGGACGTTACAGTAACCCACAGACAGACAACATTATATATAAAGCCTCTATAGTGGCATTTTGAGCCTGTTAAAACAATCAAACCTCAATGCCAACTGATTTCAAGCTTTCGTGCCGAGACCCAAATTTATCCACAAAAATGCCAAAAAAATCAACCAACCTGTTCAAATCCGAATTCAGCATCCAGTCTGTATTCCACATATTCATGCTTCCTCTTCCATGACGTAAAATACCTCGATTCTCTATATACATCATCATCGCACAGTGCGCTCTTCGGATAAATCGAGATGATTTTCCCATTGCAGACGGAGACAAGACAATTGTAAAGGGTGATCTCATATCGAATTGGCATTCCAGTGATAATGAGGAGGTTTGGCAGCTAAAATATCCGAAACATGACCTTATATTACACTTGACGACATGATATCCTAAAATAAAATAAAGCTGACATACCTTCTTGGACTCATCGACAATGACCTTCAACACCTCCCAGGAGTGATTTTGAGTGTCCAGTTCGAAGAAATGATCGGCGCATCCATAGCCACAGATCTCCAATTCCGGCCCCAAACGGATCCGAGCGCCCTTTTCAAAGGCTTCTCTGGAAGCTGAAACACGACTCAGCCCACACGAATATCCTCCTTACTTTTCAAAATCCTCTCCAAATTGCCTTTGAAGTCCAAGGCCCATTGGTTCACCGTGCAAACGGCGATATTGGCACGACGATTCCAGGGCATCACTGCTGATTTGGGGGTGGATTCTACAAGAAAATGGAGGAAATTGAAGAAACAGAAAATCTTGACAGGCCACCAGGTCTTCCGGTTTCCAAAGGGAAGTCAAAACGAAACGTTTACAAAGTTATAAACCAGAACTATTGCAAAAATTCGGAGTTTTGAGCGGATTTATGGGCAGTTGCCCTTTAAATTGAGAGTTTCACGTGTTGTAGATGGCCAGCGGAGTGTGAAAATGTAGGATACGAGACGAAAAACGTCATGAAAAATAATCATCAATCTCCATGAATTTCTTACAATTTTTTGTAAAATTTCGATCTTGATACAGACGCAAAATATATACAGCACAAACTCGTTTTTATTTCCAGTGTTTTGAACACATAATTCGACATAAAATACGAGTTATCGTAAATTATTTATTTTCGTATCTTCCATGATTAGTAATTTTTTAAAACTGAAAAATATGAAAAATCAAGAAGTATAAATTACTAAACATAAACAAAATTGCACTTGTCAATATTACCCCCAAAATTTCCAAAAAAATTACAAACCCCCTAAAAACAAAACAAAATTAGGAAAGAACTCGATTTCGAATACAAACATATTGTGCAATATGTCAGGAGTGTTCGTATTTATGATCTGGCTGAAAGAACGTAAACAACCGTGAGAACGATGAGTTAGACCACTATAAGCAACAACTTCAGACCTCTGATATTATTGTAGAACATCTACAACAATATCAGAGGTCGCCTAAAAAAGATCAGGATCAGCACAATGGAGCTGACTCAAACAACCCGGCAACATTAACAATCGGGAACATGATTAGAGAGCCAATGAAGGACCCGACTTGCATGAAGACGCCGCACCAAAAGAGCCGGCTTTCGTTGTGAGGGGCATCTTCTCGGATCACCGAGGTCAAGATTGTGCGGCCATAGGCGTGGAGGAGGGCTGTGAAGATCGAAACTAGGACCTGAAGCATGGTGATCAATTACTTTTTACAGGGAAAGTACTTCTATGGGGTATGGAGTTACAGGTCGTGACATATATTAATAATTCGCAAAATTTTTCTAATTCAGAAGATGTAAAAATCAGCTGCCAAAATTTGATGTGTAAGGGTGAAACATCCTCAGGACTTTTCTCGCAACACCAAACAAATGCTTTTTTGACCAAGTTCTTATCAAATCAAAGGCTTGTTTTTGAGTTACAGTAAACTCTGGTATCTTGACAAGCCTTAAAATATCAAATTTGATTCATACTACACCTTAATTAGTAGTTCCAATATAAAAAAGGGGAATTTGTGTGGTGTTGCGAGAAAGGTCCTGAGGATGTTTCACCCTTACACATAAAATTTTGGCAGCTGATTTTTACATCTTCTGAATTAGAAAAATTTTGCGAATTATTAATAGATGTCACAACCTGTAACTCCATACCCCATAGAAGTACTTTCCTCGTTAAATCAAACTACCCAAAACAGAAAATTAAAAAAAAAGTAACACCGTATTTTCGGCAAAACTTTCAAAATCGCCTCATGTCAGAATTCCCAAAAAAAAAATTTCTTTTTTTCTCCTACTCACCGAAAAAACCGGTCCATAAACCGTGCCGACGCCCCAGGGCTTTGGCGATTGCAGCGCCAGCACAAAAATTGCAGTGCATCCCGCCGTTCCGGCTACCGTAACGCCCACCAAATCCTTCAAACCCTTCGGTTGGATCCACATTGGCAGAAACGAGGCTACTGGATGTGCCAGTGATGATAAGGCCAATGCCAAGTGATATGTGAGCTGAGAGTAGGACATTGTCGCATAGCTTTGCACCGAAGGGACCACGGCATTCATTTGGGCGCAGATGAAAGCCAGGCAAAAAGAGAGGATGACAAAGCGGGAAAGGGCGGATCGACCGGTCGATTCTTCGGTGGTGGGACGGGAAATCGTCTCTTCTTGGCTCTGAAATGATTACGCTTCGGTTCAGTGTATAAATACAAAGTTCCCAACAGATTTTTATATTACCCATGAGAAACCTTGAACTTCTTTATCTAAAATCCTTGCGATTCCCTATGTTTTGCCAACTTTATATCCTCAGAAATGTTTCAAAACCCCTACCTTCAAAGGGCTGCTTTCTCTTGGCCCATCGGTAAAATCATCCTGATCCTTGCCGAGATTTGCAAAATAGTCATGGCAGAAGTGAAGTAATGAGAAGGCAATCAACGTCATGGCCATCCAACTGGCCATTAGCAATGTGTAGGCTTGGATATGAAATCGTGGCGATGAGAAGACTGGATATGATGAGTTTTTGGATAAATCATATGAGCATTCGTATGAAGAGGTACCTAAAACTCGACAAAATGTAAAGTAGTCATTGACGAATCGAGATTTCAAAGTCAACGGACAGACAATAACCTAAATTTCAAAATAAAACCGAAAAATTTACCTTGCAGTAGGCTAACAACGCTTGGGTAAAGCGAAGAAAACCCCATTCCAACAAAATACGCAGTCAAATAAGACGGATGGAAAGTCGCCATGTAAGGCATAAAAAGAACATTAGATGTGGAGTTCACCAAAGCCATCAGGAACATCAGAACAAACAGAGCAACCGAATGGGACTTCCCGAACACTTCCACGGTGACATCCCAGAAGAAAGCAAGACAAAACTCGGCGACTGTGCACATAACCAGAAGTCCGAAGACCAATGGAGGAGTGGGGAGATTCACTTTGGCACCTTTGAGGATCAGAGTGTAGATTAACGGCCCAATGCAGGCTATCTACAAAAGGGTAGGGTAATATCGAGATGACAAAAAAAACATTTGTCAAATCGTTGGGAGAATCTGAACACCATCTAAAAGCCAAGAAAATAATATTAAAATGACTTACTTGCACAATCAACGCCAGGTATGAAGGCAACGACCATCCTTCGGGTAGCTTCTGTGTTAGCAACGACAATTCCAACCAAACGGAATTGGTTGACAGCCACGACGCTGATCCAAACAGAGCCACTAGGATGTAAACCACGGGATGGGCGTGCATTTTGTGTCTAAAAAATAGTTTCACATAAAATCGAGGGATTTTAAATAAGAAACATCATGGTTTAGAACCATCAAACAACCAGAGTCTATGTTCCCTCCAATTTTTGTTCGAACAGATAAGAGCGCAGACTGTCGAAACGACAAAACACACATGATAAGATAAATAACTCCAGCAAAATAGAAATAATCATTAGTAAGGGCAAGTATAATATCGAAAACAAGTTGTAGTTTGTTTATCTACGTATTTTTCATAACTAAAACATCCCTGCCATTGATTCTAAATTCCAGATCAAATATTATCGAAAATCTCACCTATTTTTGCCTTCCACTTGTTCTTCACTCATCTTTTGAACCTTGCTTTAGAAAGGGTGGTCAAGACTGCAGATGGAGGTTTATATACAAGTTTTGCGGGATGATTATGCTTCACAGAACATGCAACAGATGATGGTCACCACAGAACACCCAAATTTCGAACATTTTCGGGGATTTATTTTTCAGAAACAGAACGCCAGGATTTTTGGCATTCATTGTATTGTGTTGAAGACGTCCACCAACCATAAGTAAGAAGAGTAAGGCACATTTATTAAGGTTCGATAGCTATTCTATAAACACGTGAGATCATTTTAAACTAAAAACGATGCTGTTCTAGGTTTCTTGAAGACGTTGTAAAAGGGTTTGAACCACCTGAGACAGAGGTACATTTGGCCGGAGTTTGAGTGATTCCCGTGCGTTCATGAGGAAGTGTTCCGCCGGTACTATGTCAACTACAAATACAAACTTAGATATCAGATCAAATTTAGAAAGGAGTTTATTGAGGTCCTCAAAAAGAGTACAGAAAACATACCGTAATCTGTTGGTCTGGTAGCCCGAAATCGGTCGATTATTTCTGGGATAATTGAGTAGGAATGCAGTAGTAAAAAAGCGACTACAAGGTTCTCTCCGATGGGAACTAGGGCCGAATGTTCCACATCACATCGATCCAATCCACATGTTTCATACAACTCGCAGAAAACCCTCTGAATGGCTTCAAATTCATCAAGATGCTGTTCAAACTGGCGGCGAATGACAACTACGACTAAAAAGGACAAAATTATTTACAGCTCCAGGATTTTTTTCCACCTAAAAATTAAAAAAAATAACAAAAACTACTGACCTTGAGATAAGTTCTCGAAAATGTAGTACCCGAGTGTCTCTTGCACTTCCAACTTCCTGAGCAACTCCTCCTTCGATCCATCCAGCGGATCTTCAGATTCATCTTGGTCTGGTCTTCTCAGTTTGATGGATTCAAATTCTTCATGCAGACTTGAGGCCAAGTCCACAAACTCTTCCATGTGTGTGCTGTCGTTCAAATTTTGATCCTTCGATGCAAAAATGGAACGACGCGGAGAGCCCATGAAACTCTGAAAACATTGACAATAAGATAAGTCCAAGAATTTTTCAAAAAAAACATTAAAAACGGTTAGTTCAATATTACACTAGCCGGAAACCGATCAAAGACATGCCTTTACGATGATTCGCCGTATAAATAACGTGAAACAAGAAATTCAATGCAAGATTATCTAAGAATTGGGTTAGGAACCACCAAAACTCCCCGAAAAATATAAGAATTGGCGAAACAAGCGGGAGAGAAAAGGGAACATCTGACCCAAACGCACTCCACTCCCGCTCGAGGCGGAAAACGAAAATTCAAACAGAGCTCGCGAGATTCTCGAGAATTACGGCTCTTCCGGATCCTAGTGACGCCCTTTATACTACTTACATTAAATTCCAAACCAGTGATAAGCGATCGAGAAGCCGTGGATCTGGAGCGAACCGAATCGAATTCCAAAAAGTCGCATTCAGATGAATCGCTGAGGTCTCCGCCACGAACTGAGCTAAGGCAAAAGCTCAGCAAACTCTCTTCGTTCGGTGGTTCGATTCTGTACATTTACTTTGCGGTATATTGTAGTAGGTATCTAAACGAAAAATTAATCTTCTTGGAGGAGATAAGATGTTCTTCATGGGATTTTAAAGCCAAAGCAAACGTTTACAAGCCCTTTTTTCAATTCTAACGGAACGAAATTTCAGATTCACAAGTTTCGACGAAGCGCGCCGTTTTCTGCGGCAAGCTGCGCCCAGGTTTGTCATACGAAAAAATATTCAAAATGCCTGCGGCACAAAGTCCGACACAATCTGTAAAATTCATGTATAATTAATTTATCTTACAATGTTCTAAGTATAAGAAATTTCAGTTATAAAAGACGACCCGTCGTCTACTATAATATAATATGCATTTGAATTGAGTCCGTATTTTAGAAGGAGCTTTGTTTATTCCTGTATACCATCAACTTCCATTCATAGCCGCCCTTGTCCGTGACTGTATTTCCAACATTCTCAAGCTCAAATTTCTCTTGATCAAATTGCGGGAAGCTGACGTCTGTTTCAAAGTTATGTTCGATTTGAGTCAAGTAAATGCGGTGTAGATTTGGGTAATCCAACCCTAATTCGTAGATCTGACGTCCTCCAATATTCCAGATGGTCTCGATTTTTCGTTCAACCGCCATTATTTCGTTGAGAGCTTCGTCGATGGAGTTGGCTATGATTACATCTTCTGATACCTAAAGTAAAATTACAGGTTAATTGAGAGTAACAAAAAAACTTATAAAATTGTAAAATCAGGCTTAAAAATTTCAAAAAAGTACTCGCTCCCGGGTGGACTCGAACCACCAACCTTTCGGTTAACAGCCGAACGCGCTAACCGATTGCGCCACGGAAGCACAGCACGCAGCCCACTTTTACCTGCCTTTTTTCTAATTGCAATGCAAAATAAACCTGGATCTTAACGCCAAGCTTGAGGTCTTTGTTAAAAAAACATACACTTGGCTTCAAACTCGTGCTCAGCACCACGCTGAGACGGTTCTTGAGGGGTCGGAACTTCTCGGGGATACTTTCCCAGCACTTCCTGCCCATAATCACCGCATTTCTCTTGTCCGAATCTTTAGTCTCTGTCGTCAGCCGAACAAATTGTTTGAAATCTTCAGGTAAATGCCATGGAAGACCGCCTTTCTTGCCGATTCCTCCGGCCAGATCGACGGCCGCTATGATGTTCATCTTGGCCATTTCTTACTGTAACATACCATGCAACATTCTCTATCAAAACAATGTAATTTTAAGGTGCAAAACCACTATTAAAATAGCAGATTTTTGATAAAAACTTTTATTTTTTGATATTGGATATCTATGAGAAAAGTCAGTATTGCATGTAAAGAAGTGAGTATCAAAATAAAAGAAAGTCCTGTACAAAAGTTAGTATCGGTATCTGAGCGGCGGTAATGTAGAAGCAGGGCGAGGTAGGGCGGAGAGAACATGTTGATAATGCTTTAATTCTCTCTCTAGTTCACTGGCTCTCTTGTATTTGTAATCCTTGAGAACTGGCTCTGAGATGGGACGTCGAGACGGGCTAAAAAGTATCTTACAATTGATCTAATATTCAAATTTCTCGGAAATGTGGTCGTAACCGATAGCTTACATGGTATAGTAATCATCCGAGGATCTTGGAGAGATAATGGGGACATCTGAATAGACTGGTCGACTTTGTCTCGAGGCCAATCGGGATTCCAAATAAGCTCGACCAATATTTTTGAGGGCTTCACTCTCCATCGACAGACCCCGTTTGTAGTCTTGCCTGATCTGGTAGAGGTCTGTGAGGATCTCATCAGTAACACGAGACGTCGACTTGGTCGCTTTGGATCTGAAGAAATTATTTAAGATCATACAAGAGCATCTAAAGCAAGATACGAAATCGAAACACTTACCGTGGTCTCTTTGAGTGTTTCTCTAATCTTTCCTCTCTTTTCTTTCCATGTCCATCAGCTCTCTCACTGGCCATAGCCCAATCTTCGGCTCTCCTCATCTTTTCTCTGTTCAACATCAATTTATCCACAATCACTTCATCCAACTCCTCATCTCGTTGCGGAATTTGAACCGACTTCTGTGGAGATGGACCTCGGAACGAATCACGACGCGCAACTTCTGGCTGAGATCTAAATTTTGAAAAACACTGCACAACAAATCTTGAACTTACATTACCGGAGTGTTATTTGATGAAACGGGATGGGCATTCTCGTTGTTTTCAGAGGTAAAAATTCTAAATTATATGACTATATTAGAGTCAGAGATAAAATAATGGCTACGATTTATAAACAATATTATCTTACCCATGGTAATCCATCTCGATCAGACGCAAAAACTCGGCCTCCACACGTTTGTATTCATCGTGTTTGGTGGAGAAAGGCCTCGTCATATCGTTGCCAACTCCATTCCAATACAACCTACTTTCCTGACCGGAATGAGGTCGGCTGGCCAAAGAGATGTGTTCGGCATAAGTTTTGCTCAAATTATCCTGCGGAGTCAGAGTTCTTGGCTGTTCCATCCGAGCAGAATTATCCGAAGAACCTGATCTTTGCGAACAATATGTCTTGGAATAAATTTGAGGTTGATTCTCACTGCGAAATCCGGAGACAATGGACCCATCTCTACCATCAAACATATTGTGGATGGGAAACGGGCTCAAACTTCGGTTAAAAAAGAGTGGCGATCAGTGAACGTTAGTTTAGAGTCGATCGTCGACTTCCCACCAGGACACCACTAGAAATCAAGGTTTTAGATAAGAATATTACCTAAAATAATACAAAAATCTGTCAACACGGCTTCGAACATATAGAAAATTATCAGGCAACAAATTGAGGGACAAAGTGAGCTTCTCTTCAAAAGTTCACCCTAGTTTACTCGCAATTTTCCGCAGAAATGAGCAAAAACAACATTGATCTAGATAAATTCCAAAAGGACTCAAACTGTGACAGCGAAAACAACCCTCGTCCGGGAAGAAAAAAAGACGCTTATCGCGCTGACTGGCTGCCGAAGCAACCTCCGCATCCAAAATTGTCGGCAAAACCTCGGTTTCTTTTCGGGGAAACAATAAAAATAAAGGAATCGGAATGAATCCTTGGATTTGCATAAATCCTCGGATTTCACAAAAGACAAAAGGCTGCAAAGTATCTAAACGTTGATCCGAAGCCTTTGTTTATTAGATCTGAACATAGGTTTTTCTTGAAAAACTACCCAAAAGAGTCGAGAAAACCGCGGAATCGCGCATTTTTTTCGCTCTCGAATTATTTGAACGAGAAAATCCCCGTCAAACAAACGGAAAGACAAGAGAAGCGAGTGCAATGAAAGTGCAATGAAGGCTGTTTGGAGAATGCGCGAGGTGTGAAATTGAAATTCACAATTTGACTTTTTTGACATTGATTGGAAATTACACCAAGCGTTTATTGGACACATTGCAGTGTTTATGGCTCAAATCTCCAAGAAAGAGCGAAGTGTCACAAAAAAATCAACATTTTTTTTGATTTTTTGAAATTGGAAAATTTGCATTATTCTTTGTTTGTGGCTAAAATTGTGGTCTCCGAAAATTATTGAAAAAAATTTGTGTTTGTAGAGAGAAGTCAACGATTGTCAAATGAATCTCCACGAAATATGCAAATTTTGCAAAACATTTTTCATCCGTTCCTTCTTCTTTTTCATGTTTTTGTCACAAGTCTGAATGTCGTGGCTGAAAAATAGCTATATTTGGATTGGTTGTGTAGGTAAGTTATCACTATTACTTTGACAGAAAGTTTTGTTTTTTCAGTGACCTTCCAGCTGCTGATCTTTGCCTTTCTTCTGACATTTAGACCTTCTTTTGAGTCTCTCGTTCCACTGATAGGATATTACACAAACCGGTCATTAAATGCGACATGGACTTCGCGAATCTACAACAGGGCCCTGTTTGGCAACGGAGGGATGAATTGGGCAGCAGTTTATCGATTCGACCAACAACTGGATCCATTCTTGGCGGATCTGATGGAAACAGTTACATTGACCTTCAAAGACCATCAAGTTGATTATCAGATGACGAGGCCAGTGAATTCAAATGTCTGTGATGGAGTAGATGCGGTGGTGTATGTGATGACCACACTCTCTCGACAGGCTACGGAACGAAGGGAAGTTATGAGAAACATCATGTTCAACAAGGTATGCAGGGAATTTGTTGTGATGGTTTGATCATTCCAGACCAATCTCCCTTCCAATTACACCGTTCTCCATCGCTATGTCGTTGGCAGATACCCAGCTGAAAGGGAATATCAGAAGCAAATAATAGAGGAGATGAAACAATTCGATGACGTCATCATGTTTAATATCGATGAGAACTATTATCATAATTACATCAAATGGCACACAATGCATGCCTGGCATATGAGACATTGTCCCGATGTCAAATACTTGATCAAGATGGATGAATATGTTGTGGTTTACCTGAAAAGATTATTCCAATGGCTGGATCGGGGGTTTGGCGGAAAGCTGAATGGAAAGAAGAAGTTTATGGTGGGGAATGCAAGAGAAGGGCCTGTTGAGAGACGTGTACATGAGAGAGCGTAGGTCTGGCCGTTTTTTGTCATGTTTTCTTGCTCAGATTTGTCCCATACGAACAATTTGCCGGATCCCAATATCCCGTTTACGCCGATGGTCCCTTGATTCTCACAACGAACGATGCAGTCGTGGACCTTATCAACACCTATAAAACCATGAATTACGTTCGGATTGATGACGTATTTTACAGTGGGATTGCGAGGGAAAGAGCCGGGATCGAGGTGATCGGCTTCGAAGGATTTGATGGAGGAAAAAGGAAGTGTTCAGCTGATGGATTGCCTTTTTCTGTGTCTAAAAGTCATGGAGGACAACAACAAAACGCTAAGGGCATGGTACAAACGTTGGAGTCGATCAAGAATATAAAGTGCAAAATTAAATAGCATTATAAAACAAATTCAATAAATCAATAATTTTTGTGACATCTTTCTTTTTTTCAAATGGACTCTTCACGCAATCCAGCACCTTTCCTGAACCGTTTCGAAACTTTGTACCGTTTTCATTGATTTAAAAGAGAGACGAAATGTCGCGAAATTGTCGGCACTTTTTCTCGAAAAGAAAGAAGAAGATAAGAAAATGCTTTTTATCGGATAGTGACATTTCGTTTTGAACGAATCACCAAAAAGGGGCGGGAATTTGTTTCTTCTACTTTGGATTGACGTGCTCTTATTGGTTGAAGAGGCAAATAACTTATGAAATGAATAATTTCCCCAATAATTTTATCCAAAACACAAAATGAATCTTTATGTAAATTCCCGGATGTTTCAGCATTTGACTTTCTTCATGGTCTCCAACGTCCTAATCATCTTCTCCACAGTTTCTTTGCCATGTCTCGAGGTGAAATAGGGTAATTTAAGAGCCGAACATCTTCTCCCTCTCCCGTCAAATCCTTCAAAATTAACCATTTCAATTTCGGCCTTTTGTCGTACTACCCCAGTGTAATACACATCATCAATCGAGAGATAAGTCATGTTGCCATAGGCTTGAACAAGGTCAGCAATCGTTTCATTCGTCGTAAAAACCACCGGGCCATCACAATATTCGGGATATGTGGGTTCATTGAATTGTTCGAAAGATAGAAATCTGTTATCTCCCTGCAAACGTGATAAGAACCTACGATTTGTGGTTGGAATCTCTTAAAACATCAGCTGCTGACATTACTTTGCACACAATATACTTGTTGTTTCCCTTTGTTATCTCGCCAAACCTTATATCCACCCATTGAAACAGTCTTTTCAAATAAATTATGACGTCATCATCCATTTTGGTAAAGTATTTGACCTGAGGGCAATGTCTCATGTGCCAAGCATGCATAGTATGCCATTTTATGTAATTTTTACGATAATTCTCCTCGATATTGTACATGATAATGTCATCGAATTCGGTTATCTCCTCTATTATGCGCTTCTGATATTCCCTTTCAACTGGATATCTGCCAACGACATAACGATGGAGAACGGTGTAATTGGAAGGGAGATTGGTCTGGAATGATCAAATCATGACAAGAAAACTCTGGCTACCTTATTGAAAACGACGTTTCTCAAAGCTTTCCTTCGTTCCGTAGCCCCCTTTGTCATCATGGTCATCACATACACGACCGCATCTACACCTTGACATACGTTTGAATTCGTGGGTTTGCTCATCTGATAATCAATTTGATGGTCTTTAAAGGCAAGGCTAACATTCTCCATCAAATTGGCCAGGAATGGATCCAGTTTTTGGTCGAAACGAAAAGTCGATGTCCAGTTTTTAGCCGTTACAGTGATGTGTTTATGTAGCACACGATAATTCAGGAAAAATTTGGGAGATTGTGAAAACGTGATGATTAAGAACAAAATGACGGCTGAAAATAAAAAAATGTTGTTATACGGTATGTTTCATTTAAACGGTTTTCCAACAGTTCTCTGTGCACAGGAAACTTCCTTGTTTATACGAAAATGTAACTGGACGATGACTCTGTTTTCTTGGGTTCCGTCTGTGACCTTGTTTTCAATAATCGGAAAACGTTCCCGATTACAAATGATTAATAATAATTTAATGACGACGCTTGCACTGGAATTGTCAGCCTTAAAAAAGCGGCTGGGTAATTGTCGCAAGGCTACTCAATAATTGAGTTTTAAAATTGTTTGTTTGCAGAAACCGCACGGTGAGGATAAGTTGACTATTTTCCTGTCTAACTGTAGACATCTACTCCGCTCTATATTTATCGTAATATTAAGGATCTCGAGAATCTCAGCCTTGCCAAATAAGAGACCCGTATTATTGGAAAGATTGTTGGCATGGTCGCGACAACTTTAGCCCAAGACTACCCATCTAGTGAAGTGTACGACGGCCCACTCGACGAAATCGTACGTCAAGAAGAAGTTGAATCAGTACCCCTTGAACAACTCGTCTCAGTGTATCATACTGACGACTAATATGTACCAGTACTGTACTGCCAACTTACCGATAATTCCTAATAGTGAATAAAAACTTTTCATAAAATTTGTAGTTCAAGTTTCAGAGGGCCAAAATGGAAAAGTTTGAATCAAAAATGTCTGCAGACACGTTTTTATACTTTTTTGTTATGTCTACAAAAAGAAAATCCCGGTCGCCGAGCGACCAAAGATTTGGCGGAGACTTTCTTGTGTGGGCTTTTCAAGGAAAGGTATAGCTGTTTTTCTACGTAAACATTAACTTTTATTTTAACAAGAATTGTCATCGTTGTGCAAAGCTTATTTTATACATTTTTGATGCGTTCCTCCTGCTTGTTTATTCTCTTTTTCCTCACAAATCTGAATGTAATAATAAAAATAAATGTCGTGGCTGAAAAATAGCTACATTTGGGTTGGTTGTGTAGGTAAGTTATCAAAATTACTTTGACAAAAAACTTTATTTTTTCAGTGACCCTCCAGCTGCTGATCTTTGCCGTTCTTCTGGCAGTTAGACCTTCTTTTGAGTCTCTCGTTCCACTGATTGGATATTACACAAACCGGTCATTAAATGTGACATGGAATTCGTTAATCTACAACAGTACCCTGTTAGGCAACGGAGGGTTAAATTGGTCAGCAGTTTATCGATTCGACCAACAATTGGATCCATTCTTGGCTGATCTGATGGAAACAGTTACATTGACATTCAAAGACCATCGAGTTGATTATCAGATGACGAGGCCAGTGAATTCAAATGTCTGTGATGGTGTAGATGCGGTGGTGTATGTGATGACCACACTGTCTCGACAGGCGACGGAACGACGTAACATTGTGAGAAATGCGCTTTTCAATGAGGTAGGCTGCTGTTATTCCTTATTTCGGAGTCTAAAAGAATGCAATTTTTAATAATTTCCATTTGCAATTACAATGCTTTTAGACTAATCTCCCCAAAAATTACACTATTCTTCATCGCTATGTTGTTGCCAGATTCCCAGCTGAAAATGATTATCAGCAAAATTTAATCAAAGAAGTCAAGGAATTTGATGATATTATCATGATGAATATTGATGATGATTACCGCCGAAATTACATAAAATGGCATACAATGCATGCTTGGCATATGAGACACTGCCCTCGGGTCAAAAACTTTATCAAAATAGATGATGACGTCATAATTTATTTGAAAAGATTATTTCAGTGGGTGGATCGAGACTTTGGAGGGATAGTTGAAGGGAAAGACAAGTACTTTGTGTGCGACCTTATCAACAAAGGAAAGGTCTTCCGAGATCTGGGAAAGCACAAAAAAGTGTAAGTCCTTCCGTCATTTTTTGGACAAAAATGACATTTTTTGGAATAAAAATTTTTATGAAAAATTAATTTTAGCTTTGTTACTTACGAACAATTTCCTCAACGGTACTATCCAAGCTACTGCAATGGACCAGTCGTGATAACAACCAACGAAACAATCTCGGAAATAATGAAAATTCAGGAGACCGTAAATTACATTACCGTGGATGACGTTCTTTACACTGGAATTGTCCGAGATAAAGCTGGAATAAGTTTGCTCAAATTTGATGGAATCAACGGCCGAAACGCGGGATGCTCGGCCGATGGACTTCCATTGTACACATCATGGCATGGGAAGGGGAAAGGAGGTGCTCAGGGGGTGTTGAATGTCTTGGAGGAGATTAAAAATGTGAAGTGCAATAAGGAATAGTGCTAGACAGGTTTGATTGGGTGCCCTACATAAAACCTGTCTATAACGGACAGCTTCAGAAGTCGCAAACGCCAATTTTAGGACAAAAAGGACCTCCGCACAACGAGACCTCTCTTTAACAAACAAGTTATGCGATTTGTTGCCAGAGTTTTGAATGTACATATCCTGAAAAAAATATTATAAAATACTATTTTGACTAGTACTAAGTTCTTATATTGATGCTATATTCATTTATGATCCAAAACTAGTCAGTACCTTTATTTACAGCAACCGAAAAAAATCTACAACTTGAAAGGTGAGCTAACAAACTTTCCCTTGCCAGAAAACTACATTCCTTTGCAATTCCTCTTCTTAATCGTACTCAATTTGCTCCTCACTGACTCCGCTGTTTTGGCGTTGGTCAGGGTCATCATGTAAGGTAATTCCCGATCCTTGGAGCACCTGGGCCGCGAGATCCCGCTTCTAACCCCATAGAAGTCGTAGACATCGGCTTCAGTGGCTCTTCGCACAATCCCGGTGAGAAAACAATCGTCCATGTGGACTAGGTTGATATTCTGCTGAGCTGTCATAATGTCCGTTATTGTGTCATTGTTGGTGAGAACAAAGTAGCCAAAGCAGTAATCTGGCCAATGGGATTCGCCGAACTCTTCCACGGGGATGTACCTGGAAAGGATTAACGAATAAAAAGCGCACGTCAAACTGAGGAGTCCGATGATCGGAATAGACGCTTCGCTATCGGTTTTTTAAATACATTTCGTCTTGCTTTTACAGAGAAGTCAGAGAAAAGACGCGCAAAAACGTACTCTCTCGCCCTAAAAATTCCCCATTTCTTCTCCGACAAAACGTTTTTCCGCGTCTTTTTTTTGGCGAATTGAACTTGCTTTCATCCATCTCTTACCATCTTTCATTCTTTCTATCCCTGACCGGTGAATAGCCCCTCATCCGATGGCACACAAAGTATTTCTCCTTCCCTTCCAACAACCCGTCAAACTTGCGTTCGATCCATTTGAAAGTCCGATCAAAGTCGGCCACCGTATCATCGTCCATTTTGATGAAATGCTTCACATTCGGACAGTGTCTCATGTGCCATGCGTGCATTGTGTGCCATTTGATGTAGTTTTCTCGGTAATGCTCGTCCACATTGTAAAAGAGAATATCGTCGTACTCTCTGGTCTCATTCAGGAGAATTTGCTGATAATCTGCACGAGCTGGGAATTTCCCCATCACAAAACGATGTCGTATTGTCATGTTGGCGGGGAGGTTCGTCTGAAAAATCAGAAATGCTGGGAGTAATCATATGGAAACGCTCAAAAAGTGATCCATTTTTGATTATTCTCGGCCTGAAAGTTACGATGATTTTTGGGAAATGTGAAATTTTTCGAGCGATAATAAAAAATCTCGCACATAATTCAAAAGATTATGTGCTTATTTTTGCCGAGTTTCGTCATGATCCGCAAAACTTTTTAGGAAAAATAATCCTCACCAACTATGAATTTTGATTTCATTCTCTGAGCGAATTCCATTTCTCTGAAAACATTCCCAGATTTTCCAAAAATCACCGGAAAGTACAAAAAAAGTGAAGGAAAGTCGGAGGCTGTAACATCCGGCGGAGGCGGCGCAGAGACTTCGTTTTCGGAATACATATTTTTAAGCGACATTAGTTTTTGTCTACAAAATATCAAGATTTTAAAGTGCAAACTGAGGTCGCTACGACCCTCTGAAGTAGGTGCATTCCTACCCCGAAAACCAGTGTTTTTCGGTTCAAAATCACCGAGAAATGTCGGATTTTTTGGGGTTTTCGATAAGGCTGACATCGAGAACAAAGAAGGAAATTGCCAAAACGTTGCGAAACCTTCACGTTTTTTGTAAGACCCTGTATTACGGCTCTCCACTTCATCTGCATATTACGCAAATGTTTTCCGAAATTATGGATAGCCGCGAAAAATATTAACAAGTTAGGACAAGACTAATCTATTATTTACGCAAATGACACGTCCAAAAGTACTTACTGCATTAAAAACGACCTCTCTCATGGCTTGTCGTCGCAATGTAGAGCCCTCATCTGCCATCGTCATCACATAGACAACGGCATCTGCGCCCTCACAAAAGCTCTCGTTACTCGACTTCGACATCTTGTAAATTACTTGATAATTCTTGAAAGTGGCATTCACATCTTCCAGCAGTTCTTCCAATTCGTTTATCATCTTTTCTTCAGCTTTTTTGATGGTTACATTGGACGCTGGGAATGGTGTAGCGTTTTGAACACTTGAAATATTCATCAGAACCTCCGGAATTTCATTTCGTTTTGCCGTAGCGAGAAAATGATTGGCCATAGCCATCAAATATTCTCTCCTCTGATAGTAATAGCTAACATTCACCACCCACAAACCGGCCACAACTAAATCATAGAGTTGGTTTGATTTGCGGATATCAATTTATATTATACTGGTATCAAAGATCAATCTAACACTAAAGAACCAATCCAGAACTTACATGCAAACAGCAGAATCACGTTCAGCATACCCGTCTTGCCGGCCACCCGCAAGTCTCGGACCATCATTCAGTTGACATCAGGTTTGAAATGATACTATGTAGGCGAACCCGCTTATGTTAATGCCTGATTGTGTTCATCGGAAGGACAGGAGCTCTTCACGGGACTGATCAGACGGCGAAACGATTATCGATGGGTAGACTGTCACTCTGGAGTACATCTTTCACTATGATCTATACCTTGTAGCGAGATCTCTGGCTGGCGAAATTTGAATCCTATTAGCCGATCAAGGAACAAGACGACCTCATTTAATTTGTATTCGTCCTGTCTGAACTGTAATTCCCACAAATGGGACCGGTAACTGGAGGAGAGGAACACTTGACCCACCATTTCAGTTGGGCCAACTTTTTCCCTCAATAATTTCTTTTTCGGAAAAAATATTTTTTTCTTGATAAGAAGGTGGCAGTAACATTGTCTGACCACTACGGATTTATTTCAACTACTAATCGATCTTAGATCATTTTGATGCAGCATTTGAGGTGGGTTTGTTTTCAATTTAGTATAACATGAAATTAATATCAGAAAAGGATTTGTGGAATCTTATGCCTAGTCTAATATTGTTTCATTTCAGATAAACAGTCATTTTGTTCTTGAAACAGATTCGAGTGCAATCGTAACCATTTACTCAATGTTCGGCTCACTTTGGCGGAAATTTATGCGGTTTGAGCAGCCGCCCAGAGACTCGGAAGCAATCGCCGATGGGCTTGATGGTAAGTCATTAGCTTCACTTTGCTCTATGTTTAGATATGATATTCTTTGAGCGACGACTGACTGAAGTTGTGGCTGGTTCACAACCAAAAGCCGTCAGGTGGATGAGTAGGTTAATATTGTCGTTTTTGAAACATAAAACTGTTTTTCAGCTGTGTTATTGGTCACTTTTGTTGCCACAATTGTCTCAGCATACTTTTGGGTACTAGACCCAACAATCAGATATGTGAGTTGTTTTGCTTTGAGCCGACTTTATCCTTGTTTGTTTAGATCTCATTCACAGAAAGTTTAACAAAACATCCTGTGTTTTCCACTGGGTTTGTCACTCTGATATTGTTGTTCACGGTTATTGGCGTGCAGAAGCGTGTAATAGCACCCAAAATGTGAGTATTTTCTTGAATTTTGATAGTCTTACAGCCATCTCTAACACCGGATGTCAAGTGTTATAAAGTTTTTTATTTTTAGAATTGCTGCGAGGTGCCGAAATGTTTTGGTCGATTTTTATCTCAGCTGTGATGAGGTAAGCTAGATAAGTTTTTCATTTTTGTGTTTAGCAAGGTCGTCTAATCGTCCGCCCAACCCATGGACTTGGGGGTTACCAAAATGTGGCTCCAAATTACAGCCCTCCCCCTCCGCCACCGCTTGCTTCCGAACTGCTGATGTCTGATCCAGAGGAAGCCAAGATCGAGAACATGAATCGACAATCACCGACGGCGGCGTTTGAGCACATAGGAGCTGAGAGGCCGCGATGTTCAGATGATCTGGACAATCTTTCCTTATAGAGGGACTATTTAAACAATTGTGTAATAAAGGTGTATATGGTCCACACACTACTCGGATGTAATTTGGTTTATTTTTGCCAGTGGTCGAAATTTTGGTTGATTTGCTGCTACATTCGAAATACGCGAGTCGCGCCCGCAATATCTGCAGGTTACATGAGGGAAAAACTTGACCCGGAGAAACATGTTGTCACAAAAAGGCGAGAATGTGCGATTCACGGTGAGCTGCATCAATAATCTCGTTTCTTATCAATTACAGTGTTTTACACCGGGTTTCGCAAAATTTTTGGAATGGGAAGAATTTATCTGTATTTATTTTCATGTATAAGATGTAATGCAATATCTATTAGCGTCGAAAACCTCATTTTTAAATCAATTTCGAAACTCACATGATGTAATATTTGTTCTTGCAGGTTCCTCCACAGGCCAGCCAACATGGATGATTGGGGTTAGGTTACTTTATATTTTTATTTTGTTTTTAGGTCCTCAAGGATAAGACAAATAAAAGGCTAACCTTAACTTTTATTTCAGATGCAGACGACTTTGATCCAACTGCGCAGTTGCAGGACAAGATCGCCACTCTTGGATTGGAGGAGAAATTACGGGATGAGCCCGAGCCTGAACCCAAGAAGGAGAAGTCGAATAAAGCTGCTTCGTCGAAGGCAAAACCGGCTGCCTCGGGTGGCCAGAGGGAGCTGAGCCGGGCCGAGATTCTAGACTTGCAGAAACGGTCCGATATGGAGCTTTTTGCCGATTTGATTGGTGAGTTGAAGACTTATATTACTATGATCTATTGGCCAATTATCCATAAAATAGAAGATTTTTAAAAATTAATCCCATTTTAAGGTGCTGAATCGACGGATAAGAAGTTTACCGAACTCGAGTCGCGTCTGGACTTTACAGAATTTGCCGAGAAAACCGCCTCTGCCTTCTCTGCCCGTTCTGGTTCCGCTTATTATACCGATTTTGTTACCGTTCTTGTTGACCAGATCACCAATCCCTGTGAGTTTCTTCACTTTCATGTATTTTTTATTTTTAGTGAACAAATTTCAATTGGAAAACATCGTTACTCTCTTGCAAGGCAAGGTAAAACAATTGGCGGAAGCTGAAAAGGCCGAAAAAGTGAGGGTTTTGATATAAAATTTATTGGAGTTTAGTAATTTTTACTCAATAAATACTTGCAGGAGAAGGAAGAAGCTGAAAAAGCCGCCCGCGAGGCTCAGAGCAAGCAAAAGAACAAGAAAAAGATAAAAAAAGAGGTGTTTGATGACTATGTGGAAGATGATTATGATGATTATATCGACAAGTTCTGATACTCGCCATCCACAATCATCCTGTTGTTGTCGCAGAAATGCCCACCGTCAATATCAGCACCCCGTGATATCGGATATTTCTGTTCAAATTGCCTTATCACAAAATTTATTTAAATTGTTTTGTTGGGTAAATTCCTTTCAAAGTCATTGTTTTTAGAGGTTGATTAAACATGCCTAAAATCGCTGCAATGCTTGGAGTAGTTGTAAAAATTATCTAGTTTAGAGTGGGAGGTCTTATCCGAGTTTTTTCGAATATTAAAATGGGAAAAAGTGTAAGGGAAAGTTCATAAGGTCACGGTTGAGCTGACTCATACACACGTACATCACATGCACCGCAGTGTTTATTTTTTCGTTCAAAAAATCCGAATTTGAATACGATAAAGGATTGGCCCATTGTTCTCAAAAGCTTCTTAGGATTTACGGGAATTGGACTTTGGAGTTTGCACAGTAATATGAGTTGTTACTAGTCGCGGAAAAAAGTCCTGGGACTTTATCGCGCCCCCCAAATTCCGTCGCGCTCCGAAAAGTTTATTTGTCGCGGGAATCGCGCGCGACAAATAAGGCAAAATTAACAAAATTGCACTGTGCAAAAGCACTTTTCGGGTTCATGCACAGTGCAGAGTCGCAAAAAAGTTCCAGGACTTTTTTCCGCGACTAGTATATTGGAATGGGAACAAAGAAAACATTTTCTGGATGGCAGGAGTGGATTTTGAACGAGATTGAAACGCGATCCTATGAGATAAATTCTGATAACAAAAGTTTTGAAATGATTTTTGGAATGGTTGAGTGGTACGACGATGCATTATGATTTCGAAAGTTATATGTTTCAAAATAATAGGAACTCCCTAGTTGACACTTGAAGTCTCAAGTCTGCAAGGAACAATGCACAGGTATTAAGAACCACCAAGATTTAAGGGTGGTTGGAGGTGGAAATAATGGATTCGAACGGAAAACTAATATGTTGGAAAAAAGTTATCAACATTTCAAACAAATATACATAAGTATTATGTTACGTTTTGAGCACCACCCAAAAACTGCTAGACTCTGGAAACGCTACTATTAATGGATGCCAAACTTCATGAAGACCTGTGCCCGCGCAACCCCAGATTTAGTTTTCAACCCCCTCAAATGTCTACAACCACTGAATGTAGGTGTGCAGTCTGATAAAGGCCTTCCCTTCTTATGAATGGCAATCCCACGCACTTGTCACCCGCTCGAAAAATGAGTCACAATCAGCAAGCCTTATATGAAGATTGTTATGCCTGCGAGTTCCTCATCTTATCGTACTAAATATCATATTTGGGATGAGTCACATAAAACAATAGAACCGGCAAGGTTCCAATTGGAGCCCTCTATAATCTTATCTTCAAGGTGCGGCCACCTTTAAATATATACGATGGGTGGTGGTGGGAGCTCAGTTTTGTCTCAGAATGTGGTTGCCTCAGGGGGTTTTAATTGCTCTAACTTTATTTCCGATTGGTTGGTCACAGCAACAACCAACAATAGATGTGAAGACAAAATACGGTACAGTAAGGGGATATGAGAAGCCCATAAGTCAGGATGCGTCGAACCAAGTGAATGTGTTTTTGGGAGTCCCCTATGCCACTGCGCCAACAAATGACACAAGATTTTTGGTGAGTAAACTACCTTTACAAGAGAGAGACTATGGAAAAAGAAGAGACGGTCAGAGAGCATGCACACTTTATTGTCATAGTCTTGTAAATATTGATTGTAAATGATTGCCATTTGGTATGGCATTGTGAACTCTGTAACAGACTCTTTTTTTTAACTAAATTTTGCAACAAAAATTTGCGAGAGGTCGGGGTCTTACACTTGGGTACTATTAAAAAGTCTTTTTCGTATGGGTAGAATTGGATGACTTGCATTAAAAATCATCGTAAAATCTCTCTGATATCATTTACGACTAGGTTTTAGAAAAGAAAATTGTTTTTTAACCATGACTTGTCAATTTTGAAGAGCATTAAAATATTTTTTTTTTGATTTCAGAAAGCCGCTCCAGCACAGAATTACAACGGCACTAAGGATGCGCTAACTCTCGGAAACCAATGTTATTATACGGGAATCGAGACAAAGGATTACAGCATTGACTGTCTGTATTTGAATATTTTTGCGCCAACCAGGGTAAGTCAAAAAAAAAACGAGAGAAATTTTTTTTGCACCGTGCAAAAAGCTTATGTGAGTACAATAAAAAAAAATACCATCCAAATTCTTCAAATCACAATTTCCGCTGCTTTTCAGAGCTCCAACTCCCCTTTATTGCCAGTTCTCTTCTTCATTCACGGCACAGATGACGTCAGTCACTCCTCAAACACCCACGGAAAACAAGTTGCCAACATTCTCCCAGAATTGCATCGAATTCTTGTCGTTACTTTCAACTATCGACAAGGAATTCTGGGATTCTACACAGATGGAGACAAGACGGCCCCGGGAAATCAGGGATTGTGGGACATTTCTCAGGCCTTGAAATGGGTCTATGAAAATGTGGAAAATTTTGGTGGGGATCGGAAAAGGATTACTGTTGGAGGCCATGGAACTGGCAGTATGGCTGCGGAATTGATCAGTCTGTCTCCCGTAACTAAAGGTGAGGGAAGGTCGAAACCGATTTAGAAAAGCTCAGATATAGACAAAAAATTGGTTATAGTTGTATTGCTCAAGGCACACTCACATTTTTTTTATCTTACAATTAATTATCTCATTACACTATCGCACAAAACCTTAGCCAAGTGTGGCAGATGCCTACTCTTTATTTCCGGTCGACCCATTTCCTTTCCAGCTAAAAATCGCTAATTAAAATTTTGCAGATTATGTGAACCAACTGCTGCTGATGTCTGGTACAAACGACTACCAATGGGAGCCCAAAGACCCCTCAGAAGTCTTCAACAGTGTTCTCCAGATGGCCAATGACAATTTGGGCTTCACATCTGACTCCAGTGGACTCACCGACTTTTTGAAAAAGAAGGATATCAACCAACTGAACACCGGGTACTCTAAGGATAATGTTGGATATAAAGTCAGAGACGGGCCAACTTATGACGGTAATTTCTTGCCGGATACAGTATCCCGACTGAGAGCGAGAGTCCCAAAGGTGCCTACTATGATTGGATTTACGAAATACGAAGCGAAGAAATTCGGTAAGCCGAGAAAAATAAAAAATATGTATTGGTTTAGTCGTTGATGACGAGTATTACGAATCGGCCGCCAGATTCATGACGGTATTTGTTATGAACAGGACCTCGGTGGATGATAAGAGTACTGCAAAAGGGAAGCCCATTTTGGACGAATTTTACGATAATGGAAGAGACAATTCGACCCTGGCTTACAAAAGAAGCTATCTTGAGGTGAGGAATTAAGTTTTACACAGCATCATCAGGCGTCCACACCTTTAACTCTGATCCTTGCCAATGAATGTCATTTCCAATAAAATAACCAAAAACAAATTTCAGCTAATGACCGACGTCTACACCACTAACGGCATCCACAGATTTGCTCAAGACTTTGTTGCCACCTCCGAAGCGCCCTTATACGTCTACCGTTTCGACCGTTTCCACTCCAAATTTGATGCTGATAGAGTAGAAGGAGGCTCCATCAATGGTGATGATCTGCCCTTTGTAATTGGCCAAGCCTCCATCACGGATTATACAGGGCGAGATAAAGATGTTCGAAAACAGTTTTCCAAGTTGATCGCTGACTTTATCCAATTCGGAAATCCGAATGGCACTTCTGGAGTGGCCGTGGAGAGAGAGGCTTGGAAACCTGTTGATAAGCAGGGCAAAATGAATCATTTAATTTATGATTACTATCTCAACAGGATGAATGACGAGTGGTTCGAGGACCGGTATTCGAAATGGGTGGGTATTCGGGAAAGGTACGGATCGGCGAGCTCAATTGCGGTGGGGATGACAACAATCCTAATGGCAGCCTGCTATTACGCCTTCGTTTTTTAAACCAGAACCTCAGTTCTTTTTGTTGATCTGTTTGAAAGACGTATTACTATTATTTTTTATTGCATTTATGGTGATTTAATTACAAAATGATAATATTAAAATATGAGGCTTCGATGGTTTCAAAAGTCAAACGAAAACTGCATAAACGAAAAAAATTAAAAATTATGGTAGATCATCGGCACAGTAAATTATTTTTGAATATGAGATCAAAAAGTACTCGCTCCCGGGTGGACTCGAACCACCAACCTTTCGGTTAACAGCCGAACGCGCTAACCGATTGCGCCACGGAAGCACATGGTTTGAATGGCTAAAGTAATGAACGAAAATGTCTCTATGAAAAGATAAAAAAGTTATGTGAAATATAATATTAACAAATAATTCGAGATTCTGGAGACTCTTCTATGAACTTGATTTTATTCTAATAACAATGCCGTTTGTTGATTTTCAAATTTTTTGTTTTCTTCTTCAGAATCGCGATTCCAAAACAGTGCTGCTGCTAACCGGACTCGCCGTCAGATTATTGGTTTGAGTTGGAGCCGTTGATCGCTTGGGGCTCTTCTTGCTTTGTTTCTTGGACTCCTTCTTGGCAGTCCTCTGGCTCTCCCCCTTGCTTTGTCTCTTCGATTCTTTCTGCGACTCCTTTCTTTTCTTTTTATTTCCTTCCTTTTTTGACTGTTTCTTTTCTTTATCCGGATAATCTGAACTTTGAGAGTCACGCTGAAAATAAAATTTCAATAAAACATAAGCATATGATTTTCTTTGTCGGACAGACTCTCCTGTTTTTCTAGAGTGTCTCGACTCAAAGATTTCACCTTCGTGAGGTCTACTGTAAATGGGCGACAAATAAAACAGGATGACTTACTTTCCATCGAAGAACCTTGGAAAGGGCGTAGAAGAAGATTCCAAAAGAAAGGATCCTAAAAACAACACAAAATTGATCCAAAATTGGGCTTACAAGAAGATCAAGTGCCCCATCAGGATCAAGAAACAATATTCTTTGCATTCGACCATCTTGATCAATGATTTCAAGCTTCCATCTGGCTTGACTTCCACTGTTTTATGGTGCTGTTTCTTGTCATAGAGCAAGGCAAATTCCTCGGCGATCTGAAATACAACGTAAAATCAATTCTCTTAATAAAAAATAAATAAAATTTACCGTAGTAAAAATGCAATTCGACTCATTTTTTGTGACATTCGACTCTAGAGTTAATGAAAAATATTTCTGAGTGCTCCAGTTATCGGTACATCTAGTCGAGTTCACGAGAATTTCCGATTCGCCGTGATCATAGGCTAGCAATTGTAATTGGTCATTTTTTCGCTTCGCTTTGAGGAATATATCGTGATTGACATAAAAAGGGACGTTTTGTTTGAACTGGGTAACGTAGATGGTGCATGTGTTGATGGTCAAGGAGAAGCTGAACGAAGACTGCTTTCGTTATGCTGAATATAAGCCCCCGGAATCCCCAGGAACAGTTCCAAAAAGTCCCATCGAACACATCAAAAAGATGGTTCGAAACCCAAGCGTACCTTGAACTGGGAAAAATTTTCCGAAGACCTCTGCTTTGTTCCGGCACACCTTTATTTTCTTTTTCGGAAGAGAAACGGGTTCCTTTTTTAGCGAGAGAGCGTTTTTTCTCGTTTCTTTTCCACCAAAACATATGACTAGACTCGGGTCAAGTGTTCTCCTAGAAATGAAATGCAGAAAATATCACCCTAAACGCACGCTTACAAAACGAATACAGCCTAAAGAACAATGTTTATATCACCTACGCTGTAAGCCGTTTTTAACTACCAAAGAAAGGCAAGGAACTATTCGCTCCCGGCTGCACCCGAACCACCAAACTTTTCGTTTCTCCGCGCGCGCTGAGCGCCACGGCAGTAACCGAACTTACTCGAGTAAACAAGTGTCGTTGGTTGAAGAATCGTTGATTTTACCCTGCAAATGTTACGAATGTAAAGGATATTATACATCATGAGATTTACAACTAACGTATTTTATAAAAAACATAAGGTAAAAATTGTCTCTGCATACAGACAACGAAAGTCAGCTTACAACTTGAAAAGTAAAGTCAATTTGTGGAGATTTATAGATGTTAAAGACCGGAGGGAGGGCGAAACCATACGACGACATATCCTTGCAGGTCTCCGAGGTGATCCGGATTGGTCGGTCGAAGGAATCAAAGTCTGGGCATACTGAAAAAAGCTCTACATGTCAGACTCAATTTTCTCAATAAAAATGTGGGAAAGAAACTCTGCATTTTTTTATAATTATATTAGAGGCGTTTCGATGTACAAAGCTTGATTTTGGACTGAAATTGTGTCTTGAGACCCCTTGAGATTGATTGCAAAGAAGCGTACTGTAATTTCGTTCACAACAGCAGTCTTAACACGGGCCAATTCTCATCACAACGCGGCAATAGAAACGAGAAAAAAACGCTCTCTCGCCATAAAAGGAACCCGTTTCTTTCCCGACGAAGAGAATAAGGAAGGGCTGGCAGAGAGAGGGCTCATTCGGAATATCATTCCCAGTTCAAAGTATGCTTGAGTTCCGAATCGTCTTTTAGATGTGTTCGGTGGGATTTTTTGGAGTTGTTCCTGGGGATTCCGGGAGCTTATACTGAGGATGAGGGGGCTAAAATGTTGGGAAGATTCGCATATCGTGCAAAACTTCTGAGCGGCAACGAGAAAAACAAAAAGGCCTACATTTTGTTTCGTTATCCGGGCTACTGCTGACAATATCTAGAGCTAACAGAGCAGTCACAATCTTTAGCAACATTTCTGGTAAAGCGACCACTACGATTTGCGGTGAAATTTTTTCCGCAAATTCATTTCATCTTTTAGACTACTTTTTAAACGAATGTTTAATTGTATTCTTCATTTTCCGGTCGATATAAGAATGGAAGAATAAAATTGCTCCCAACTGTCTATGGCAAGGGATGCTGCCACCTTAAAACTTCATTTATATCCTACATAATTTACTTTTTTATTATAATTAAGGAGGTCTTTTGAATCAAAATTCAACAACAAATGTCTTGGACATTGCGGACTAACGTCTTCTGGGTGGGGAGGCGCGGCGATCGCGCTTTCTGTCGGGGGATCTGGAGATGGAGCGACGACGGCGCGGAGGGGGAGAGCGGCGTCGGCTGGGGGTGGGGCGAGATCGGATTGGAGGGGTTTCACGGTGACGTCTTTTCTCCTCCAGGGCCTTTCTGTCGGCCCATTTGCGTTCGGCCTAAACATGGAAAAATGTTATTATCTATGACAACAACAACATAAAAATTAAAAATTTTCGTGTCTTACTTCTTCCGTGGACAGCGGCAGGTAATAAATGAAAGGTTTGGCATTTGTCTTCTTAAACAATTCATCTAGACCCTTCTCTGACTTCTGTCGAGTCGGTGTTCTCTTCCTTTCTCTGTCCTCGTCGGCTCCATTTTTCTCTTCAGAAGTTGTTGGAGGTTCGTGATGTTCAATGGGAGCTGTTTCCACCTCAACTCTTATACTCTCTTCTGGCTTCACTTCCTTTTTCTTCTCAACTTTTCCCACCTTCTTCTCGATAAACTAAAAATTAAAGATTATCTCCAAATCCTGTTACAATATCCAATCAATTCTTAAAACTCTAATCTTACCCTGTCTTCCGTGCAGAAATCAACTAAAAGGCAATCAGGATTTCCAGTGGGCCATATCACATTATGTAATTCCTGCCGAGCTTTCTTCGCTTCTTCGATTGAGGAGTACTAAAACAAGAATCAACACTCAAGATAAAAACCTACCTTGACTATGCAATTTGACTTGATGGCATCAATCCAAAAGTCCTCGTTCTCGTCGAATTCTCCGAACTTTTTGAGTAAAGCAATTAACCCTTTGTTGGTGAAAGGTCGACGAAGTCGGTGAACATGTATAAACAGATCAACATCGTGTCTAAAATTAAGTTTTTTTGCTTTTCGCTTGGTTTTTTTTCAAACCAAAAGAAAGGAAATTCGACCAAAAATTTATTCTTTTGGCTAAAACCCAAAATTTGATATCTAAAATAATAAAAAATCAATCGAAAACATCCTTACCTTGCTGGAGAAGGTGGATTTGCCCTGACAAGGCCATATTCTGTAGTTTCTTTAGTTTCGGGCTCAGATGCTGAGATTTTCTTAAGAAAGTCGAATCGATCTTCCACATAAGGCTTCTTTTCTTTTGGCCTTTCGTTGTCCAAATCCCCATCTTTGGGTGATTGAACTTCTGACTCTGATCTCTCCTTTTCTGTTACGTCCTTTTCGGTGGCTTCGGCCTAAAAATCGAAAATAAGAAAAAATTATTTTTATGCCCGATGCCCGGCAAATGTTTTAAAAACTTGCTTTTGCTTCTTCTTCGTAATCCAGCTCAAGATAATCGCCATCACCAGCTTCTGCGGGAGTTGCTCGCTTTTCAGGGGAACTTCTGTAAGACATTTAAAATAACATAAGTTCAGCTGGACTTTAAAAGTTTGATCTTAAAAACTTACCGTTCTTCCCTTACAGCTTCTGGAGATGGGCTTCTTGACCTGGAGCCGGACTCTGATCTCTTATCCTCTTCTTTCTGACTTTCTTCCTTGGAACTACCCTTTACTTCTTCAGCCTAAAAACAGAAGCTAAAATAAATCAAAGATCAACATACCTGTTCCTTTTCCAGAGATCCTTTTACTTCCGCGGTCTCTTCTTGGGAGTCCTGGCTAGACTCAAGCTCAATCTCTGGTACCGGCGATGGCTCCTGCGCTTCTACAGAAGCTTCCTCGACCTTCTCAACTTCAGGCTCTTTTTCTTTCTCGACAACAGGTTCGGGCTCGGGTTCTGGGGCTTCCTCTGGCTGTTTTTCTTCCTCAACGACTTGCTTTGGTTCCTCAACAGGTTCAGGAATTTTTACTTCAACTTCTGCGGGTTCGGCGACCTCATCTGATACTGGCTTTGTCTCCTTTTCGGGAGATTTACTTTCGGATCTGCTCTCAGACCCACTTCCTTTGCTTGGCGACAAATCTGTGCTTCTTTCTCTTATAAGCTGGGCTTCACGTGTTGCTGCATCCAATGCAGCTTGCTGTTTCTCTCGATATTTGGCCACAATGCTGTTCATTGGACTGGATTTCTGCAAAAAATAGAGTAAAACCCCATGCGAGAAAAAAAGTGTAAATTAAATAAAAAAAGCATCGCAGATTAAGAGTATTCGACTTAGAGAGACCTAGATAGTTCGAGAAAACACAAACATAATAATAACAACAAAAAACAAAGACTCGATAACTATTTCAAGGACCAACAACGCATAACATATGGCGAAGAAATACCTGATTTTCCTGATCCTCATTCGTTAACTCGTTTTCTTTCGCATAATCAGCCTCAGAATCCATAGTTTGCACACGTTTCAGCGAAAAAACAAAAAAAAAAATGGAGTTTTTTTCGGTGAAATCTACGCCAAATTTCGTTTCGAAACGCAAACACAAAAATGTTTTCAGGAGTTTCCGTAATTTCGTGGCAAACCGAACTTTCGGGAGCTTTGATTATGGTGTGAAGAAGGTAGGTTGCTGAGTTTACTTTTTTATCACTTATATTATACTGGGTTGAGACAGGATCAGATTAAATTTTTGAAAATGTAGCTTTCGTTTCGACCAAAAACAGGATTACAGACCTCAGGAAGTTATAATTAGACTTACAACACCTGGCAATTTCTCATTTTAGAGTTTAAAGTTAAATTTAAGACATTTTTATATTATTTATGACATCAGTCATAGTGGAAGTACTTTTTTGGCGATTGGCGTTTACATATACCTTTAAACTGCCGATTTTATGGAGTTATAGACAGATCAGACTGTATGCGTAGATACTTGACACATTTTAAGGCTACTGAAGATGTTTTGGGCTCATACTCACCAATTTTCTTGAAAAGACTTTAATTTTATATAATATGTAATATAAGTAGACATTGTAAGACGATTATTGAAGATTTTTAGACATGTCAGAGGGCAAAATAGTTCTGGGAGGGGCTTATTAGCCTTGTTTCATGTTAAGATTGCCTAAAACCAAGCACAAAGTTAGAATAACTTACATTTGGACTATCAGGTGGTGGGGGAGCCTCTTCTTCAGCCTCATCGGGGTGTTGGCTGATGTAATTTCGCAGTCTTTCGACTAAATCCTTCTTGACGCCACCTTTTCCGAGTCCTCTGACCTCGAGCTCCTTTCTTAAATCCACCACTTTCAATGAGCTCAAAGGAATCCCATTAATCAGGGGATCATCAGCCATCTTGCCTTTATAAAAACAATATTATGGGAATTTTGACGTGCTGTAAATGCTGTAAAGGACAATATGCGTATAAGTCAACGTATAATCAATTTTATAAATTATATTCGCGCTCAGATTTATATAAAAACATTATTTTAGGTATAAGGTTCAAAAATCGACTTTACCGAGTAAAACAAGCTAATTTTGGCACGAAGCCAGGAAATTCTCTCCAATTTTTCGCGAACTCGCAAGAAAATATTTTTTCCATAGCAAAAAAGAACGCATTTTTTGAAGGAAATCGTCTCGAGACGCAGCTAATTTTCACGGACTTTCTTGGCATTCCGTTTCAAATAAATTTTGTCGTCACCAAAATCTTCAATTTGACGTTTTGCTCATTTGTTGGCGCAAACGGCGACCGTCAAGCAAAATTGTGATGGATTTTTCACAAAATTTTGCTATTTTTTATGCTGTATTTTTTCATGGTCTTTGATAACACGCTTTTTTTATGTTACAGTTCTTTTACCGCTTGTTATCGTCTAGATTATCATCTTACGCGTTTTTCAGTGAAAAATGAGCCTGATCACCGACTGTAAATCCGATTCGGACTTTACGGCCTTCTTGGTCAAAGCGGAAGCAACTCCAGTTATTGTCGATTTCTACGCAACGTGGTGGGTATTTTTATCTTGTATTTGAAATTTAGGTTGATCACAGTAATTTAGTGGTCTTTTAGGTGCGGACCATGCAATATGATTGCACCGACGTTCCGCGACTTGGCCGGGAAATATCCGCAATTGAAGTTCGTTAAAGTTGATGTTGACAAATGTCCACAGACCAAGACTAAGTTTGAGATCGCCGCCATGCCAACGTTTGTTGCTGTGATCAGCGGGTAAGAAATATTTTTTATTTTCGGAGCGATGTGAATATTGTAATGGGAACTCGATTTTTTTCATCCGACCGGCCTTTCTAATGCCTAATCTTGTTTTAGTCAGCGTATGGATCTCATCAAAGGTGCGGACCCCAATGCCCTCCATAACTTTGTCAAGAAGTGGGCAGAAAACGCCGCTCCATTGGAACCATCTCCAGTGCCAGGACAATCCGATCTAGGAACGTTTATTGACAAGAGTGGAGTCGAATGCTTGAATGAAGATGACTCCAAAAACATTCAAGGTCTTCTTGGAGGACGATCTGAGTTGAGATCCGACTGTGACGAGCAGCTGATCATCAACATTCCGTTCGTTTCTCCCGTGAAGATTCATTCGATCGAGATCAGAGGAAAAGGTAGGTGAATTTTGTTTTTATTCGGGATTTAGATCTGACTAGAGGCTATTAGGAGTATCAATACACGACTCGATTTCTGCATTCCATTTTACGAAAGGGTTTAGAATTTTTGATCTAAATTAATATAAGGCTTATGCCAGTTACATTATCCTCTTTTTAGGCGACCACGGACCCAAGGACGTCAAGGTGTTTGCCAATGTCACGACTACCCTTGATTTCGACAATGCTCAAAATGCCGAGCCCATTCAGAATCTCAATTTTGAGGCGGACTCACTTCAAAATCTGAAGTTTGTCAAATTCCAAAACGTGAAGAACATTCAACTGTTCATCGCCAACAACAAAGGAGATCATGACGTTACGATTATCGAAGATCTAAGACTTTATGGCCAAGTCCTCGGACAAACTCAGATGACTGATTTCAAACGGGTAAGGATAATATATTTTTGGGTTTTGGGATGAATAATATTGACTTTTCTACCTTCAGGTGGCCGGCAAAGTCGGCGAAGTTGGTCACTGATCGGTGATTCCGAAAAAATTCTCATCCATCAACGAGGTCCTAAAGTTATTTTGAAACAATTTTTTGTTAAATTATCTTGTCTTTTTCTGTAATTAAATAAATTATACCGAAGAACAAAGTATGTCTTGTCGAAACCATGTTTGAAATCATGAAAAGGATACTTCATATTCAAAAAATGTGGGTTTATGTAAATTTAGAGCATAATAAACACATATCAGAGCAAAAATGGACGTCGAACGGTTAATGAAGGACCTTACCATAGAGCAGTTGACCGAAATTTACTCTTCATTGAGGTAATTTGATGTAAAAGTGGTTAATTTCTCCTTTTATTTTAGTAAGGAGATAGAGACAAAGAAAGAAGAGCTCCGGCAGATGGTTGGACGTCGATATAGGGACGTTTTGGAGGCTTCAAACACAGTAAAACGGCTGAACGAGCTCTCAGAAGAGATTGTAACACAACTTGGGGACACAAAAGCAGTCTTAGCACCATTTGAGCAACGACAAGTGGGCTTCGAATCGAAAGGAAAACGATTGACAAGACAAAGATTCATTTTGCTCAATTCCATCATCCCATTGGTGAGAGATTTTTTTATTTGTAAATATCAGTGGCATGAGTAATATTAATGACCATTTTTGAATCGAAATTTGAAAAAAAAATGTGCTGTCGTATACAAAAATGTAATTCTTTGAAATCTGCTCAAAAATAAAGGCGCCCAGCGGTGTGTACTTTTAGTCTGATCGGCAGTGCGCTCGCGTGGAACTCGAAAAGTCCCGAGTTCGGCTCCACCCCCAAGAGGTTTCCGATTTCGAAGGCGTTTCAATGAAAACTCGGCTCTGCCAGAGGCATTGTGCGTTCAAAAAGTCGGAGAAATAAAAGCCGGCCGTTTCTTCCCTGTGAATCGACCGTTGATGGTCGATTTGCTCTTAGAAATTGCACAGTTTTTGAAATTAAAAAAATTTTCGCTGAGTTTTTTTTGCAATAAATGTAAAGATAATTTTAGCTAGACGAATCCGTCAATGGAATCACTGATGTCTTCACATTACTAATCGCGGAATGCCTACAAAGAGCGATTGCATTGGATGGAAATGAGCTGGCTCCGGAATCGGAAGCAGTTATTCGAGCATTGGGGGATAGATTGATAAACCATCGATTGAAATTAAAACAAAGATTGCTCTCGGAACTGGGGGATATCACAGAATGGACGGCTTTGGCAGGTCAATTGGTCGGATTGGGCATTTTGAATCAGAGCAGTCCAGAAAGTTTGCTGAAGAATTATTTGGAGGCCAGATTGGTACGAAAAAAGATTTTGGAAATGATAATTAATGGAAATTGTAGAAATTGTTGCCTCATTCTTTAATGGACTCGTATTTTAGCTCACGATCACGTCCACATTAGAATCATCAACTTTGATTGGAATTATTGGCCAAATAAAAGAGACCACAGAAGTAGTGGACAAGGTTTTTGGAGGTGGAAAAGGTCTCTATTTGTGCTTCAAGGCTGTTACAACGGAAGGATGGTGTCCTGGTAAGATTATTTTGGTGTTTTTTGTTTTTTTTTTTGTATGTTTTTGGCCCAGAATGGCTTAAAACGATATAATTTTAGATGTAATTCGAAATGTGATCCGAGACCAACTAAGCATTCATAACAAACTTTTTGAAAAGGAACTTACCAAGGCCAATAGAGCATATCGAAGTGATTTTACACCAGTCCCGGAGCCACAAGTGACCTCTTCGTTGTCTGAATGGGTCGATCAATTGTGCTCGGAGGCCAAGGAAAGTGTCTCGAAGATTGCCAAATTCTTCGAAAGAACCGAAGAACTAGTCGATTTTGTCTTGGCGGCAAATGAATTGTTCAGAAATGTAAGATTTATGGAGAAATTTTATCAGTTGTATCATGTGTAATGTAATGAAATGAAAAAAGTATAATATTTTTGTTTAGGATTGGCCGGGCGTCGAAAATCCACACACAATTTATCGCAGACTGTTTGGAGAGGCTCTATTCCAGAGATTCGGCCAATTGATTGGCACGGAAATCAGGGAAATTGAAGGGGAATTGCTCGAAAAGATCCCAAAAGTCAATTGTAATCCCCCGCCATTGTTCCATAAAAGAGCAACCAAGTTTGATGGACTCTTGGCTAGCGGGGTGTCGCAGGAGTTGAATGCGTAAGTTGAAAACTTTAAATTTTCTGGGGCTTTTTTTTTGCTGATGATCTATTAGGGTGAACCAAAAAATTTTTCCGATTTCATGTTTCGTATAATATGTTTGTTGTTGATTTCAGAGTCGTCCAAAAGTTCTTCGAAAAGTTGAGAAGTTTAAATCACAGAACAAACAAGTACATCCAGCTGGGACACGAGGCAAATGTGGAGGAACTCAGGAAATTTTTGGTTCAAGAAGTTATCGGATTCTTGAAACGGTAGGAAGAAAGTTGAAGGTATAAGTGATACAAGTTTTAGTCTAACTGCCAAACATGCTGAAGAGATTGCTCAAAGAGACCTTTCTGTTACAGTACTCCCATCAGATGAGAATCAGAAATGGCTCAAGGAATTCAGGTTATATTTGGCCTTGGTCCAGTTCGAGCCGTCTGTGATAAGTCAATGCATGGGCGATGATACGAATTCGGCGGTAGAAGCAAACAAAATTCTCCATCAAGCGGCGGAAACGGCATTATGGTAAGTGGGGTTGAGTGTTTTGTCCACAGAAGACGTATTTTACAAATTTTTTTTAGCCATTTGATGGACTACATTATCGAAGAGGCCGTCCAAGATTCGGAGCTCAATAGAATCAAAGAAGCTTGTGAATTGCCCTTCAAATGGATCGATTATGTTCAAGTGAGGTTTGCGAGATGTTTTTTTGAAGTTTTGACGACTGAAATTTGTATTAAGATTCTTTTTTAGAACTGCGAAAAAATTCCATTGGGAACTTTGACCGAGAAACCAGCAAAGACAGAACCAAAGACGGTGGAAATCGATTTGAATGAAGAGGAAAATGGAGAGAAATCAAATGAAAACAGCGAAAACTTGAAGCCAGAAGAAGAAAACGGGAAGGAACCAGAAGTACAAAGTTTTATTGAGATCCCAACACAGATTAATCGGTAGGATAGGAAGATTGGAGTGTATTATTACTGATTTTATTTACTTCAGACAGCTGTTCGCCTTTTTATACGCGATTTGTCGCCGGATTTCCCAAAATTCATTTGGCCATTTGTTTACGAGAAATGTTTCGGTTCATGTGTCCAGTAGACTGGCCAGTCTGATATCCAAACTACTCAAAGAGTCCGCAGAAGCAGCCCCAGAAAATACGACATTGATCTTAACTCAACTTTTATTCGACTCAAGAACGATGGCCCAAATGTTTCCAACCAAAGACTTTGTTCATGTTGTAGAGGTGATAAAAAGAAAGATGGATGTGGTAGAATGGAAATTAGTGGACGATCCTGTTGCAAAGAATGCTAGGACAGCGGTTAGGAGGAGTGCGGTAGGTGTTTTAATAGGTTATGGAGATTTTTTATATTATAGTAGGGTTAAGTGTAATATTGGAAATAGAATAGATGATTTGAGAGTTGTTGAGACAAAATTGATTTATGGTGAAAGTAGAACATTTATTCTCATATTTCAGATGCTTTTCGGTCAACTGCAAACGGATCCACCCACCGGTTCCATCTCCTCAAAAGACCCGACCCAACAATCTGTAGTCGACGTTCTCCCACGAATCGACGGAACCCTCAGAATCCCCGCTATCCCCAGATTAAGCAAGATCAAAGAGGAAGAAAAGAAGGCCAAGCTGAAGGCAAAGCAAGCTGCCGAAGCCAAACGACAAAACGCGGAAAAGAACATTAATCTAGGCGGATTCTTTGATTACTTTATGAAAAATTAGAAATCCAAGAAGAATTGGTTGGGGTTTTATATTTATTTTGTCTCTAAAATACGGTAGACTATGTGATATTAACTTTCAGGACGGAAAATAATTTATTGTGATATTGTTATAGCCAAATGTTGTTGTAAGGGTGACATGTGCAACTAGATTTTTAATAACATAATTTATTTGAGATAAATAAAGCTTTATTTTGTTTGATTTTGAGAGTATTTGTGAAAAAGGGCAAGAAGTAACCAATAATAGCAAATTTTAGTTACCATTTTCTTACAGAAACACTTGACATGGCTAGACGTGTCAACACTTTCTCTCTTCCTAAAATTTATAAAAATTTTGAAAAATGTTGCTGAAATTTAGACGTTCCGGTCTTATATCATTGTAATTTATAGTGTTATAACCTGTTTTGATTTGAATATTTTTAGCCAGATCCAGAAATGGCGGCCGAACCCGGGAGGGCTCAAGATTTTGAGCCTAAATTTGAAAATGATGGGGAAATGATCATTGTAGGGAAGACGATCCTCAATCCTGTTCTTCCTGAGTTTGATGAGAGCTTTTTGCAATGGAAGAAACATTATTGGGCCAGGAAATTAAAGGAAGACGGCATCAAAAATATTGTTGCACCAATGGTTGATCAAAGGTAAGTTAATTTATTTTTTTCTTGTTGATTTTTAGGTAAAATACGAAATTTTGATGTATTTGCTTCATTGGGACTTCAGTGAGACCAGAAAGGAAATGATCAGTGACTTGAAACGGTTTAAATTTCTGATCATGCTTTTTTATCTACTACAACATCAAAAAAAATTAAAATTTTTAGTGAACTTGCCTTTCGAATACTCCTCCGAAACCATGGAGCTCATCTATGTTACACTCCAATGATCCACGCTCAATTATTTGTTTCTAACTTCACTTATCGTCGTCAATCTCTGTCGACAATCCCGTCGGATCGCCCTTTGATTGTCCAATTCTGTGCCAACGATCCTGATGTATTTCTTGATGCTTGCCGATTAGTGGAAGGATACTGCGACGGTGTTGATTTGAACCTGGGATGTCCTCAAGTGGTCGCAAAACGAGGTCAATATGGGAGTTTTCTTCAAGAGAAACAAGACTTGATCCGACGAATGGTGGAGAAGGTCCACAAACATTGTCGCTTGCCTTTATCCGTCAAGATTCGCTGTCTGGATACCGTGGAGAGGACGCTGGCTTATGCGAAGATGTGTGAGGATGCCGGGGCTTCGATGTTGACGATCCACGGACGCCGGCGAGAACAGCGGGGAGTGGAGACGGGAGTGGCTGATTGGACTCGAATTAAGGCCGTGGCAGAACATCTGGACATCCCCGTCATTGCGAATGGCAATATTCAGATGCCGGGCGATGTGGAACGATGCATTCGAGAGACCGGAGCCGACGCGGTGATGAGTGCTGAAGGCATTTTGAGCAATCCCTTCTTGTTTGAAGGTGTTTTGAAGCCCGGATTCGAAGTGGCCAAGGAGTATTTAGAGTTGGCTGACAAGTATAAGGCTAGTACTGCCACGATTCGCGCTCATGTCTTCAGAATGTGCCATTATGGGTGGGTTTTGGGCAGTTATATTATACAAGTCAGACTTGATGGGGATGGTTAATATTTGTGGTTTTTTGAGAGCGTTTTGAATTGTTAAAAATAATGAAATTAATGTTGCAGGTTCTTGAAGTATCCAGATCTCCGAGATAGAAATTCCTACGTCGTATCATTGCCAGAATTCAGAGAAGTGGTCGCCGAATTGGAACGGCGGTGTTTGGGTGATGCCAAGATTGAAGAATTTGATGTCTCCGCGATTGACAGGAACTTGTCGTTTGCTGAAATGGTAAGAAAAAACATTATCAGAGGCCTCCACTTTCTATTGGAAGACATTTTTGATTGCACATGCTCATTTTCAGGTCGCTTCCATCCCATTTTACCTTTGCAAACCCTACGTCCGATCGACTCAATCCCTGGAACAGGTGGAAAAGGACTTTCGACTGCAACGAAAAATTGAAATGGAGAAAATTCAGAATGAAACTGGCCTCTCATTCAGACAGATCAGGAAACGAGAACGTCGACGGATCGACATGAAGAAAGAATTCAACCGAAAATGCGCCTTCCCGGTCTGCAAAAGGTGTAATCAGCCGGCCGGAGTGGGATGTGAGAATGATATGTGTAGGAAGTGCTGCAGATTTGTATGTGTACGACAGGCTAAATTATGCAAAGGTGAGAAATATGGCTGATTTAGGGGATATTGTAGTTGATTTAAATTGATTTTTGACCGATTTCGTCAAGTACAATATAATTTTTTAAAGATTTTTTTTGAAAATTTTTGTTTCTAGTTCACCGTTTTACCCTTGAAACCCTCAAAGATCGAAGACGCGCCTATGCGGAACAAATGGGAATGTCCGCCGAAGATCTCGAAGACCTCGATCTATCAGAAGAAAGCCAACAAAAAGAGGAAAAGGAAGTTCAGGAATCACAGCGATAGTATCACGGGTCGGCTGCCTAATATTCTTTCTCAACTTTCATTCACTTACATCTGGTCTCATTTACAATTTTATTAATTTACCGGTATTTAGAGTCAAGCTCGAGTTTTTGTAAATATACGGTTATATGATGGATAATATTGGATGAGTTTAAGGAAATCTTTGATAATTTAGAGTATTAACGGGTCTTATGAGATGTAGGAAGTGTCTAGAGAATCTTTAGAGTAGGATTCGGGGTTGCAAGATTGAAAATTTTTGATGATTTTGTGCTTACAGTGGGACCTGATCAAATGGCAAAAAACGTACCGTTTTGCATCTGGGAAGGATCAAAAATGTGGCAAAATGCTTCCCTTTCCAAGTGAAAAAACTTCATTTTGAAGGCCGCGCCATTTCCCTGACAAAAAGAGCGGGCGCGCTTTTGAAATCGGAGTTTTTTTTCGCCTGGAGAGGGAGGCATTTTGCCACATTTTTGATACTTCCCGGATGCGGATACGTTTTTTTCCACTGGATCAGGTCTCACTGTATGAATGACGGAGATATTCAACGGCTTTGCGTGCGATAGAGCATGGAAAATGAGGAAAGACGGTCAAGTATAGTCTCGACTATGAGATTTCTCCCAAAACCTCGTTTACGTTGAAGGTCAAATGTAGAGCCGCATAAATTTAAATTCATTTTTATACATTTGTTGATGAGTCTATTTGTTCGAACAAACGGTTATTTACCAAGTATGTTCAAATGTGTTTGATCAACGTTGTGAAACGAAGAAAACGATGATCCCTCTTACGATGACAGGCTACAACTTTTTTTGAGAAACGGATCACTTTTAGTCGGCGGGGTTTCCTTCTATACTTTGTAGTGACTAATTGTGACTCTGTGACTTCCGGGAATACAAAAACAACCGACTTTACAATTTGACGGTCATCTCGTTGCATCATTGCGAATATTTCTATTTTGCATGCTCCCTGGTGTTTTACAACAAAACAAGACTCGGAAAACAATCAAAAGGGCAAACAGTCCGGACTGCGATGACTTTGGACAAGGTATAATTGGTGCGTATAACAAAACATGACACATACTAGTAAATGTAGAGATGATACGTTGTGTCTTTGCCATCTTATCAGCTTCAGACACGCCTATAAAAGCGTTGTAGTCCACAAAAAGTTGAAGTTGGTGAATTCAGAGATGTCTGATTGAGAAGATCTTTGATTTTGGCCAAGTTTCACCAAAAGTTAGGGCTTTTTGTGACTTCTTTGACAGCAAAGTTATCAATATGTAAATAGTAATGTAATAAGCCAGTTAACGGAGGTCGCGCAAATTCGCTAAATCATCATTGGATGTTGAAGTAGTTTTCTTTTAAATTGGGGTTAACTCAAGTCTAGGCAACTATTGCGCAAAATATCGATGGTTCTGACGCTACATTTGCAGGTCAAATTTCAACGTTAAGGCTCTCAATAATATACATATTTCGAAGTCATATTTTTAGTCTTAAACTTTTTTTACTGGGCCTTTACCTAATATCAAATGGGTCCGCCATTTATGGCCATAAAAAGTGGCAACTAAAAATCCTAAAATGGTTGACGAATAACCATGTCCAATATCTAAGTCATTATAAGAATGGGCGGAGTATTTAGAAGTTCTCCACTTGGCCTAGTCCATGTTATGGGCATTACAAACATTGGAAAAGACTTCTCTTACGCGTTCAACCCAATAGAAGTATCAAGAAAAGTTCCGTGTTTTCTGTCCGAATATAAGCTATAAGAACGTTACATGGGCTGATAATGATTTAAAAACAATTTTTTTGGGAATTATTTCATCTCGCTGATATGGCTTTTTTTGCAAAAGCGCACTTTGTTTTTCATTAGACAGTTATAGTTTGGGTGCCCTTGTCAAAAACGGTTTGAATCACTTCTTTTTACACAATGATGCATCTTGTTTCCTTCATTATCTCAGTTCACTGAGCTCTTTTTCGAAACGTATCTCATACTCTGATCTTGCAATTCTGCTTAGTTTTGCGTTATTTTTTTTTGGAGAAACAGAAATTTTAGTTAGCTGACAGTAATCATGGTTGTGAAGCGTTGGGAAGCCGATCCAGTGGATGTCTCTATCCTCAAGGAACAACTTCATTTCAAAACTTCTGGACGATACGCGAAGAATCGGTTTTTAAAGGTAAAAATAGGCAAAAATTAACATTGAAAATGATTATGTACCGTCTTTTACCATAAAATTTAGGCGGCGTTATCCGAAGCTCTAGCAACATGGGACCCAAAGGATCCCAAGAAAGTTGGAATTACAACCACAAGCTTGATTAACCTGTATCAAAAATGGGCTCATGGAGGATTTGGAGTTGTCCTGACTGGGAATATCATGATTGAACATACTCATCTGGAACAGGTCGGAAATCATGTTGTCAGCAAGGAGAGTTGGAGTGATGAGAAGAAGAGAGGACTCAAGTAAGTCGGGCTTTTATCCCTGCAGATTTTAGCTTTTGCTTTACAGCGCCCGCTAGCTTCAAACGAATATGTCAGATCCAAAACGAAAAAGTCGTGTTTTAGAGAGCTTGCCGACGATATGAAAGCAGAAAATACCTTGGCAATTGTCCAAGTTGGCCATGCTGGTCGTCAAACTCCCTTTGCTGTAAACCCAACTCCTTTTGCCCCCTCATCCGTCCAACTGCCAGTCAAAAAACGCGGTAACACTTATGGAGTGCCGGTTCCGCTGACCCTAGAACAAATCCAAACCGAAGTTATCGATCGGTTCGTTTACGCGGCCGTCAAGTTTTATGAAGCCGGATTTGACGGGATTCAACTTCATGGAGCTCACGGATATCTGCTGGCTTCATTTATTTCGCCGACAACTAATCAAAGGACAGATAAATATGGAGGAAGTGCCGAGAAGAGGGCTCAGATTGTGGTTGATGTTTATAATGCCATTAGGTGAGATTTGGAGTAAAAACTGACTCTTATTTTAGAGAAAAGATCCCGGCTTCTACCGGATTTGTAATTGGAATCAAGCTGAACTCCGTCGAATTCCAAAGTCACGGCCTGGGTTTGGAAGATGCGATTACGACCGCTAGGATTGTTGAGGTAAGCGAAACTTTCAGAACTTATTATAGCTAACGCAATTTTTTTAATTAAAGTTTTTTATTACTTTCCTTCCCACTGAATTCAAAATTTCCAGGCTACCGGTTTTGACTTTATCGAATTCTCCGGTGGAAACTATGAGAACTGGCAGATGGATGTGAACGAATCGACCAAGAAAAGAGAAGGATTCTTTATCCAATTCGCCGAAGCCATCAAGCCCCATCTCAAGAATACGGTAGTCTACGTAACGGGCGGTTTCCGGACAGCTCCAGCGATGGTTAAGGCCGTCAAAGAGGGCTCCACTGATGGGATTGGGCTTGGTCGACCAATCACCGCTGAGCCAGATTTGCCGAAGAAAATCTTGACTGGCCAAGTGACTTCGGCTGCGTTCAATCCATTGGACTATGATTTCTTTGGCGGCGCTCAAATTACGTCATCTCAAATGGCTCAGGCGGGACAACTACCGTATTCGAAATGTCATGGAGATCCGTGCTATGGAATTATGGATCAGAGTGACGAAAGAGAGCTGGAGATCTACAATAAGGAGTTTAAGATACACAATGCCGAGGCCGTGAGAAGATTGAAAGAGTATGGCGAGCCGATCAGAGGGTCTTTTCTTTACAAACCCAGGTATCTAAAGGAGTCTAAATTGTAAATTGTTTAAATTTGGATACTTTTAAGTGAGGTTGGAGATTTTGTGAAACATGTATTGCTTCTGTATTTTCGTAACATTGAATTGAAGATAAATAAAGACAAAAACAAATAAGTTTACAGCCGTTTGATCGCTATAACGTGTAGTTCGTACCCGTTCTAGCCGATCAGCCCCCCTCGTCGAGTTTGTAGCGATAACACTCCACCTTTTGTGCTTTTATATCAAAGAAGATGAATGCAAAACTACAAATCGGAGGAGAAAAGCCTTGAATTGTGCGAAGCGTTTGTTCCGATCGTTAGCTGACTATTTGTCTTGCGGAAAGTATTCAACGTACTGGCTGGGCTTTGGATGGGAGGAGTAGACAACGTAATAACTGAGTTTTATGCTTTCTTTTCGGAGTTTTGAAGGGTATATAAAGGGATGGGGAATTTGGGGAATTGCAAGGCTTATTTATATTTATTCAGGTGCTGAACAGAGAGTTGAGTCTCAATACTTAAAGATTAGGAGATGAGTAAAGTTATAGACCTAGTGTAAAAAGACGACATAGGGCGTAGGAAAGATGGCGCTCCACTTAATTTGTTTTACAGTTATACATGACAAAAGGTTATCTTTGAGAGATATTTTTAGTTGTTTTAGACATAAAACCTATGAAGAAACGAAAGACAAGTCTCTCGAAATTGCAATTCTCATCAAAATCTACGTTTGTACGTATCACATCAACTTTAAAGTCAACATAATTTTTCTGTTCTCTCCGCTTATCACAGGAAAAATCTCTTCCAATTTTTATTAAATTCTCACGTCCAGAAAGTTCGTTTCCTTTCCTTTTTGTTTCCTCATGTTTTCAGCAGTTTTTGATCACCAATTCCCCCCGCAATTTATGGCCATATTAATGCCCGTATGTTCAGTGTTTGGAAAACCTTTTTCGGGAATTTTGCCGTATTCCGGTTACCCTTTATTTCCTTATTTCAGCGCAAATTGCAAATATAAATCGTGTACTTTGAAGGGCGCTCAAAGAATGCCTTTCTTCAGACTTCTTTTGGACGCGATTACATATTTACACTTTTTTGCTAAAGAAATTGCTGGAAATCAGACTTCATTTTTTTAGAAATTTGCAGGAAATGGTTGTTAAACGTGTTGATGCCGAGCCAGTGGATGTCTCCATTTTGGGAGAACAACTTCATTTCAAAACTTCTGGCCGATATGCCAAAAATCGATTCTTGAAGGTAAAAAATGAATGAGTTTTAAATGTCATACAGTAAATCAGAGCAAATTAAAATAAAAATTTAGGCTGCACTCTCCGAGTCTCAAGCCACATTTGAGCCGAAGGATCCGAAGAAAAACGGCCTTACGACTCCGGTTTTGTTGAATTTGTATCAAAAATGGGCTCGAGGAGGATTTGGAGTGGTCTTGACGGGGAACGTTATGATTGAGCATAACCATCTGGAGACTGCCGGTAATCATATTGTCAGCAAGGAGACCTGGAGCGATGAGAAAGAGAGATTACTCAAGCAAGTTGATTTTCGCATCAACCTTTTATGACGTCACACTTTCCTAGCGCAATATAAATTTTTCAATTTCAGACAGCTGGCTTCAGAGATCAAACAGGAAGGTACTTTGGCCGTTCCCCAAGTTGGCCACGCCGGTCGTCAAACTCCAAAGTCTGTCAATCCAACTCCTTTTGCGCCGTCGGCCGTCCACCTTCAGGCGGAGAAAGCGGGCAACACTTATGGTCCTCCAATTGCGTTGACTTTAGAGCAGATACAAACTGAAGTCATCGACCGTTTCGTTTTTACCGCTGAGAAGTTATACCAGGCCGGATTCGATGGGATCCAACTTCATGGAGCTCATGGATACCTCCTGGCTTCATTCATTTCTCCTTCTACGAACTTGAGGACGGATAAGTATGGAGGGAGTGCGGAGAAAAGAGCCCAGATCTTGGTCGATCTTTATAATGCGATTAGGTAAGTGTAATTTTGACTAAAAACGATTTTTTATAAGTTTTCTATTCCACAAGTTAATTTTTCTCATTTGCAGAGCCAAGATCCCTGCTTCTACTGGATTTATAATCGGAATCAAACTCAACTCCGTAGAATTCCAAAATCACGGCCTGGGAATTGAAGATGCTATCACAACCGCCAAGATTGTTGAGGTAAGCAGAATTTCCCTAAAAACTTTGTTCCCCGTCTAACTCTCTCTCATTCCATCAATAAACTTTTAGGCAACCGGCTTTGACTTTATCGAATACTCCGGTGGTAACTACGAGAGTTGGCAGATGGATGTCACCGAATCCACCAAGAAGAGAGAAGCCTTCTTTATCAAATTCGCTGAAGCTATCAAGCCTCACCTCAAGAAGACGGTAGTCTATGTAACTGGTGGCTTCCGAACAGCCGCAGCGATGGTAAAAGCCATCAAAGAAGGCTCAACTGATGGAATTGGCCTTGGCCGTCCCATAACGGCCGAACCTGACCTGCCCAAGAAGATTTTATCCGGACAAGTATTGGCTGCCCCATACAATTCATTGGAATATGATTTTATGCAAACCCACGGAATCGCGGCTTCTCAAATGCTCGAAGCTGGACAACTGCCATACTCCGAATGCCATGGAGATGTTTGTTACGGCATCTTTGATGCAAGCGATGAAGAAGAGCTCAAGAATTTCTATCAGGAATTCTTGGCCTATTACAAAGAGAAGATTAGAAAATTGGTGGAAGAGAACATTCCAACTCAAGGCGCTTTACTTTACAAACCAAGGTATCAAGGCGCTAAATTGTAAAAAATTATTTTAGATTCCAAAAATCTCTCTAATTCCTCAGTCACTTCCACTGATTACTCTCACATAATTTAAATGGCATATAATAAATGAATAAAAATCTTTCTACTATAGCTATGATTATATTCTTGTCCCATTCGCCAGCAAGGCTAAGATCAAAGCTTTTTACATGGGCAAGGCGGATTGGATCGAGGCCAAAAAAAGTAATCGACGAGATCTATGTGCGTGCTATATTTATATCGCTAAGAACACCGTTGACTTATAGATTCTTAAACGCAGGCATGCAAAATTTATAGCTTTATTAGAAGAGTCTGTATTCCCTTGAAAACTTTCCTTGTTGTAATCATTCCAATGGGCCGATCGGATGATTAATTTTGGCCAAGAATCGCTTTATTGCCTAACATTCATCGCTCCCTGCCCCTTAATCACCCTCGCCCGTGCAAACGCCTGAGTAAGAACGAGGCATTTATTCCCTTCCTCATGCTTAATTATCGTGCTTATGAGGTGTTGTAGGGCCGGGCACAACCTCCCTAGCCCAGCCTTAGGACACCCTGTCTAATCCCGCCCATTTACGCTATAGCAATGCTGTAATAAATATATTAAAATCAGTCTCCTGTTGAATTTAGCCCAACACTCAACCACCACCTCCATCTCCACCAGGTAGAAGAATAATTGGAAGGCGGCCTTGCGCATACTGCAACTCGCCCGACCATAATCTGCTGGACTGCACAGTAGCTGTAGATCGCACGGTCCGCCGCCAGCTTTTTGGCGACCGGTGCGCAAATTGCCTGCGCCGACACGACTTTTTCTGATGACCCAGCCGCAAAACGTGTCTCCACTTCCAAGGATGACATCGCACTTCTCTATGCGCCCGAGGGTCCCGCTCCTATGACTTCTGGGACGTCCATGAGCCCAGTACTCCAGAGTGCAAGAGGACCATTGCCTCACCGGAGACAGTTGGCCAGTAATGCGCACATACTGCGGCCATCTATTCCACCAGATGTGCCTGGACGAATGGATTACCAGCCAACTCCACCAACACCCCACGTGCATCAACTCCTGTGACCACCAACAGGGCCAGCCCAGATGAACCGGGGGAACCCACATTCTAAAGATCAGATAAGCTGTCTACATACAAAATCAACCCCGCTCATTTATGCTAACACATAAACCTGAACCAATGCTGCAAGAAACATCGAAATCAGTAAACGTCGGTACGTTTTATTGTATTGAAAAATATACATTACATGACTAATGAGGATCATTGATTAAGAATTTGAAACGGCTACTTTTAGATCTGTTATACAAGAATTCTTCACAATTTAGCACCTTCATACTTTGGTTTATAAAGAAACGCGCCTTGAGTTGGGATATTCTCTTCCAACAACTTTCTGATCTTCTCCTTGTGGTAGGGCAAGAATTCTTGATAGAAATTTTCGAGTTCTTTTTCATTGCTTGAATCAAAAATGCCATAGCAAACATCTCCATGGCATTCGGAATATGGTAGTTGGCCGGCTTCAAGCATTTGCGAAGTTGAGATTACATGACTTTGGAAGAAATCGCCGTCCTTGGGATTGTAAGGAGCGGCCAAAACTTGGCCAGACAAAATCTTCTTCGGCAGGTCGGGTTCGGCCGTTATAGGACGACCAAGGCCAATTCCATCAGTTGAGCCCTCTTTGATGGCTTTAACCATCGCTGGAGCTGTTCGGAAGCCACCAGTTACATAGACTACAGTCTTCTTGAGGTGAGGCTTGATAGCTTCAGCGAATTTGATAAAGAAGGCTTCTCTCTTCTTGGTGGATTCGGTGACATCCATCTGCCAACTCTCGTAGTTACCACCGGAGTATTCGATAAAGTCAAAGCCGGTTGCCTAAAAGTTTATTGATGGAATGAGAGACGGTTAGACGGGGAACAAAGTTTTCAAGGAAACTCCGCTTACCTCAACAATCTTGGCGGTCGTGATAGCATCTTCAATTCCCAGGCCGTGATTTTGGAATTCTACGGAGTTGAGTTTGATTCCGATTATAAATCCAGTGGAAGCAGGGATCTTGGCTCTACAAATAAAAAATTTAACTGGTGGGGCTAGAAAACTTATAAAAAAGCGTTTTAAATTAAAATTACATTTACCTGATTGCATTATAAACATCGACCAAGATCTGAGCTCTTTTCTCCGCACTTCCTCCATACTTATCCGTCCTCAAGTTCATAGAAGGAGAAATGAATGAAGCCAGAAGGTATCCGTGGGCTCCGTGAAGTTCGACTCCATCAAATCCGGCTTGATGTAACTTCTCAGCGGTAAATACGAAACGGTCGATGACTTCAGTTTGGATTTGTTCCAAGCTTAACGCAATCGGAAGGCCATAAGTGTTGCCGCCTTTGCCAGCAACTAGTTGGACGGCTGATGGGGCAAAGGGTGTTGGATTGATTAATTCAGGGGTTTGTCGACCAGCATGGCTGATCTGAGGAATGGCCAAGGTTCCTTCTTGCTTGATATTGGACGCTAATTGCCTGAAGCAAACAATTATACAGGGTGTTTCAAGAAATTCCCCGGAAAGCAATCGTCGATTTCTCGGCGCTCAGTCACGATATCCAAAAAATTTTTTTTGCAGTAGAAAGAAGGTTATGGGCGGTTTTTTGCCTAAAAAGATTTTTTTCTACGCCGACGCGGAATGCAGTGTATTCGGCAAAGACTTTAGATCGCTTTTTTGGTCATCACATACATCTTAAACGCTTTTTTGTGGTTTCTGATGGCTGAAATGCGGATAATTTACTGATTTTTGTGCTTATCAAGCGTTCGGCAAAGGTATGGCAGCCGCTCGCCATATCTTAACTCAGATACGGACCAGAAATGGTAAAACACAATTTTTATTGTCTGGCAACTATTTTCTGCGGGTATCGTATACCCTACAAAATTTTGTGGTCAAGCCTCGGCAGATGTCTAGCCATCACGGAACAACTTGGTGCACCAGAAAACAACAAAAAAATTTTTGTTTCAATTTCTCTTTGCCCTGCCGTTTCAAACATTCACGCGGTGGGCTCGACTTTATCGATATTGCAGCGACTGCATTGCACTGTGCAGTCGCTAAATGGGATCGCATAGCGTTATACCCTGCCTCCCGATCCATTGTGCAAAAAATCTGAAGACTTTCCGGATGCTGCAGTGTCACAGTAAAGCGTTTTAGATAAGTGTGATGGTCAAAAAAGCGGTCAAAAGTCTTCGCCGAATGCACTGCATTCCGCGTAGGCGAAGAAAAAATCTTTTTAGGCAAAAAACCGCCCATAACCTTCTTTCTACTGCAAAAAAAATTTTTTGGATATCGTGGCTGAGCGCCGAGAAATCGACGTTTGCTTTCCGGGGAATTTCTTGAAACACCCTGTAGTATTGTGCAAAGAAGAAATTGGTTAATCTCCAAATTTTATGGTATAAAATAACATACTTTAATACTCTCTCCCTCTCCTCGCTCCAAGTCTCTTTACTGACGATTTGGTTTCCGGCAGTTTCCAGATGATTATGATCTATCACAAGATTTCCCGTCAAGACCACTCCAAATCCTCCTCGGCCCCATTTTTGATACAAATTCAACAAAACCGGAGTGGTCAAGCCATTTTTCTTGGGATCCTTCGGCTCAAAAGTGGCTTGAGACTCGGAGAGTGCAGCCTAAAACTTTCGTTTTAATTTGCTCTGATTTACTGTATGAGATTAAAAAAAATTTTTTTTACCTTTAAGAATCGATTTTTGGCATATCGCCCAGAAGTTTTGAAATGAAGCTGTTCCCCCAAAACGGATACATCCACTGGCGCGGACTCTGGACGTTTGATGACCATGACTGGTGAATTTCTACAAAACGAAGCGTATATTTTGACAGTTTGTTAACCAATTAATCCCGCCAAAGGTATGAAGGAAACAAAAACTTCGATTCATTCGTTAACTTGGGTAGAAAATAAGGAATTAAAGTTCACCAGAAACTGTCAAAATTCTCGAAACAACAATGTTACGAAAACGCGTTTTCGAACACGCCATTTTCTTCTACAAAAAATCAAAAAAATAATTCGTGTCAAGTGTCTCCCTGGTCCGTTTGGTCAACTGTTTCCCTCCGTTAAACATCCTACCGTATCATGGCAGAAAAAGTATTAATCATCTCGGAAATTGCACAAAGTAAAGAAGAATAACAGACAAATCGAAAAATGTTCACTCAAGATAGAAAAAAAAAATAAATATCTGCCATAATTGGCGGCGCCTTTAATGTTTACCGCTGTTTTAAGGTAATTTATTTCGTCCATAACTTTTGATTGAGGTGCCATACCTTAACTTTTGAGTCTATGGAATTGTAGCTTTTTTAATGCTCTATCCAATGGGCATGATTTTTAAAAATTTTATAAGAAGCCCCGGGTGTTACAAGTCAAAAATGGTGAAATTTTGAGTTTCTTTGAGATGAGTTTTAACTTATTCTCGCAATCTGAGAGCGGAATCAACGCCTTAAGGAATGGCAACCTAGACAGGAAGAGACAGCGGGATCTGCAGGCCCAGAAAATGCGTGAATCAAAGCGCCTGAAGCAATTGGCCGTCGACCAGCCCGATTCTACAGTAACCCAAAAAAATGGAAATTTCAGTGTTTACATCAATGAGGTATGTTTTTTCTTATAGATTGGTTTTGTTTTTAGATATTACATAGAATCGCATGTGGGCTTTCAAATTCCGTTGAAAAATCGAAAATTGGTCGCGTACTTTTTGAGAAAATTGGGTTCAAAATTAGGGTCCTAAAGGCAAAAAATTCGAAATTTTGAATTTTAAGGGTCTTTGCGCTTTCAGAACGTTCTAACTGACATCACAAATGCTTCTGTGACTCCAAGAAGGACTCCTACGTCTCGATTGAACCTTCAACGTGAACGGGCGCCCGTAGCAAATGCCTCAGGGAAAAAAGTTCGGGAGCTCACAGAAGAAGTGGAAAAATTGCAAAAACAAAGATATGTGGCGAATTAAAGAGATGACAAACAAGATCGACAGTTCATGAGCCGGAATTTTTAACCGTCACCACCAACACCAGTTACTACATACAGTGCGTCCCAGGTTTTTGGTTCCACCCAATTTTTTGATCATATCTCGGGGTGTTTTTTCTCAAATGCCATGAAATTTTACACAAGTGTTAACCAACCTTTGAGAATAAGCTATGCAATGTTTCATCCCACGCGTTTTCGAAAACGCGTTAACGGAATGTTTTTTTGGCTGAAAGAAAACTGAGAATTTCCAATCATCTACAGTTGAAAATTAGAGTAATGATACGACTGGCCTCGCAGGAAAATCTCGAAGCCTTTGAACTTTTCCCAACCCCACTTTCTACTTTCCTTCACCTCTCTTTAAATCCGCGTCCTTTTTATACGGATTTGATCCCGACAAACACAGAATTCAGCAGTTAAATTATCCGGTCTTACACAGTCCACAGCTCAAATGTCAGGGCGGGAACTGTCAGCTAACGAGATCAACGCTCCCTCCAAAATAGAAAGGTTTATGTTACACAAGAGGACACTAACTACACTGGAAAAAGAGTCAGAGTCGAATTTTTTATATGCTTTTGAAAGGTTCTATCAAAAAATGTGCACGAGGTTACCACACTGTCTGTTGATTAACACAGACACAAACTGAGAGCAGAAACTTTTAAAAATAAGTAGACAGTAAGGGAAAGACTCTTGCAACAAAATACTTTAGTTGTATGATGAGGTTTTTTTACCTCTGTGGCTTGATTTTTGCAAAAGGAGATCCAACCAAAGTCATCAATTCGTTTCTGTCGTCAAAAAAACTTTAAGAAGCCTTAGCGTGGTCCAACTTTACATAGCGTATGAAAATGACCTTTTCTACCTCTGAAAAGTAATTTGAGGACGGGTGGGCTTTGTATGTCTTTCTACTTGAGACCAAATTGGAATCCGTGGAATTCCAAAATCATCGCTGTGGATAGAAGATGTCAGCACTACCGCGTATCGTCTTCATATAAAAGACTTTTTTTATTACGATTATAAAGCTTTTTCATTCCCTTACGCCGCCTGGCTAACAAACTGTAATGTAAGCATTACAAAAAAATATATAAGCCGTCTATCTCATTAGCATTTGAGTGTCGAAACTTTGTACTTAACGAATCGCAAATCATTGAAGATTGCCCGTTTTATCGTGTTTTGCAAAGGTCAACAAACTTCAAACTTTACAGTTTAATTTGTTTTTATTTTCTGGAAGTTACAAGCAATTTCAAAATGAGGAAATGAGGAAATTGCTGAGAGCTAAGGCACCAAAGAACTTGAATTTTGTATACTGCCAAACTCACAGCTTTGCAAAGAATGACCATAAAAGTTGGCGTTAAACTTTCTACTTTCAAAGGACTTACATAAAAAAGAGACTTGTTTGTAAATAAATATTTGTATCAAATCATTGATCACTCACTTTACGCGCCTCTCCTTTCAATTTACGTGATTGTAATAATTATTTTTCGCCAGCAACTGTTTACGAGCTGTTTGCTTTAAAATTTCAACAAACCTAAACAGACTACATTAGGAGTACTATACAACATGTCAACAAAATCACAGAAACATCAAAAAACAGTAACTACAACGAATTACCGCTGCAAAAGACCCACTTTCGGTCTGCACGCTCGAGTTTCATCTGCTCTTTGGATTTTTAAATCCAAGGTTAAAACCCGAAAGTTCTGCGTATTTTCTGATCGAAGGAAGCAAAGCAAGCCAGTTCGTTCTAGTTTATGGTGGGTAGAAATCAAAAAATGTATTTTGAACCCACGGAAAGGGGAGTATATAACAGATGATCGACAGGGGAAATCAAACCTGACTTAAGAAAAAAGTTTTTGGTCTCAGTTTCAAGCGATTATATTGCAAACTGTTTGAGAATGGTGGCGAAAAGATACGAAGTTCATGATAAGGCTGATGTGAAGATTCTCGGAGAGGGCTTGGCCTTCAGGACCTCTGGAAGAGTAGCCAGAAATCGGTTTTTGAAGGTAAGCAGGGAGTTCTGGTATGATCAAGGCCTTTTAATTTTACATATTTCCTTATTTGGGTTGGATTTCTTTTCTATCTGACCTCGCATTTACCTGCATAAATCTACCCGTTTCCAGAGTCTCTTGTCTGCAAATGATCTCTGAATATCTGTGATCTATGAAAGAAAAGCGCGAGCTAAAATCCTCTGGAATTAAAACAGATCCTGACCGCAGAAGATTCGCAGATCAAACAAAATCCAACCACCTTCAATAAGACTGATAACTTACTTTTTCCAGGCTTCCATGACTGAAACCCTGGCCACATGGGAAAGAGAAAACCTTCTGAATGTTGGCATTCCCACTGAAGCTTTGATCAATTTGTATGATAAATGGGGACACGGCGGCTTCGGAGTTGTCTTGACGGGAAATCTGATAGTTGATCATCTCCATCTTGAGAGTGCTGGAAATATGGTCATCAGCAAAGAGACTTGGTCGGAGAAGAAACTGGAGGCTTATCGGTAAGAAGATTACTGTGATTTTCAAGCCAAAAGAATTAGAATTTGCTTGACCCAATTATTTTTAGACGTCTGGCTGCGGTCACCAAATCCGACGGTGCCTTGGCCATCGCTCAGATTAGCCACGGCGGTCGTCAAGCGCCAGATCATCTTGTCCCTCATCCCTACGCCCCTTCAGATGTTCAATTGCTCGGAGAGAAGTTTGGCAATCATTTTGGAAAGCCTAGAGTTTTGACGTTGGAGGAGATTCAGACCGAAGTCATCGACCGCTTCGTTTTTACTGCCCAAAAAGTATACGAGGCCGGATTCGATGGAGTCGAACTTCATGGAGCTCACGGATATCTTCTGGCTCAATTTATCTCTCCTCAGACTAACTTGAGAGACGACAGATACGGAGGAAGTGCTGAGAAGAGAGCCCAGATCTTGGTCGATATTTACAACGCCATCAGGTAAAGAAAATTGTTTATTGTTGTCGTTTTCTGCAGCTAGACTTAAGATCAGTCTCTAATTCCTTTATTCTTTCAGAGAAAAAATTCCGGCGTCGACTGGCTTCGTCATTGGCATTAAATTAAATTCGGTCGAATTCCAAAACCACGGTCTTGGATTGGAAGACGCCGTAACCACTGCCAAAATCGTTGATGTGAGTTTTGTTCTTTGCTCTACACAAAAACTGTAGTTGAAATTCTGTAGTTCAGGCTGCTTTCTGAAAAAGTTCAGATAGGTTGCACTTCCTGGTTTTACAGTTTATGTTTGCACGTGTAAGGAATGGGAAATGAGTTTTGATGGAGAAACAGTTCGCTTTTTCAGGCCACCGGCTTCGATTTTATTGAATTCTCCGGCGGCACCTACGAACACTGGGCCTTGACTGCAAGAGAATCGACCGTCAAGAGAGAGGGCTTCTTTATACAATTCACCGAAGCCATCAAGCCTCATATCTCGAATGCCGTCGTCTACTTGACTGGTGGATTCAGAACCGCTCCAGGAATGGTCAGAGCCATCAAAGAGGGAGCCACAGACGGAATTGGAATCGCCCGACCAGCCACAGCCGAGCCAGATTTGCCCAAGAAAATTATTACGGGCAAAGTTCAGGCGGCAGAATTCAATCCAGTTGAGAATCAATTCGAGCAGAGCTATGCGATCGCCACAACTCAGATGGGACAAGCTGGTACTCTTCCCTACGCGCTTTGCAATGGAAATCCGGCTTACGGGATCTTCGATCAGAGCAATGAAAAGGAATTGGCCGCGTTCTTCGAGGAGTTCACAAAGTATTACTTGGAAAAGGTGGAGAAATTCAAGGCCGGTGAGCCCCCACGAGGCGTGTGCCCTTACAGGACGAAGAACTTTGCTATCAAGTCGTAAATGATGACGGGAAATGAAATATAGAAAAAACCTCTTATGCTGCGTGCTGACCTTGTACTTGTATTATAATGTGATTACCTGCAATAAAAAATATTTGATTTATACTGGTAATTACCTCTCCCCTTTCACTATGGATTTACTAGAGCAATGGCTGGTTATCTTGATGAGCAATATATAATTGCTAGGGATATAAACGTGCCCAGTAAAAACGGATCCAATTCTCGGAACCAACACCATTAACAATAGTAATTCCGTCCAGATGGAAATCCTACATGCCTGTATCTTGTCTCCCGTCTTTTTCGGCAGTGTCCAAAACCCGAGAAGCTTGGAGATTCAGCAAGGGCGTTTCATTAAGTGTGTTCGTGTAAAAAAGTATTTCACGGGAATTTCTCCACAATCTCTTTTGTAATTTTGTCATGAAAGCATTATTTTGTGTGTAATATTAGTATGATGCAATAAATCATCGATCTTAACTTCCTGTTAAAATACAGAATGGGAAGCAAAGAATAGCCCAACAGAAACAAAATTATGTTTAAATATGATAATAGTGAGCTTATGCAAAAATTTTATTTCCTCTAGCTTTAAACATAGTTCCTAAAATGCAGCTAAAAAAATTGAGATCGCTGAATTTTTTAGCGTGTGAGTTTAATTTTCAAAGAATTTCAGGTTCTACTATGCAGAATTTCACAGTCAAAATCAACAGTACTGTTCTAAATTCAAAACAAACAAGGCACCAGCAATTTATGTACATTGTCAGAACATGTTTCAACAAGACATACGACCACAAACTCCGACGAATTCCGATTGATGATATATCAAGACAAAAATTTTGTGGAGTTTCTTTTGTCCTTTCGGTTTATCAGACCCGACTCCAATTTTGTGTGTTTTGATGATTTGAGCGCCAATATAAAAGGGCCTGAGAAGTCAGAGAACGCCAATTTTTACTTACACATTTCTGAGGGCAAACATGGTTGTAAAAAGAATCGAAGTGGCAGGAACCGCTGATCCCACGATTTTGGGGGAGCCATTGAAGTTCAAGACGTCTGGCCGCGTGGCCAAGAATCGTTTTTTGAAGGTGAGTGGAAATTTTTTAGTTTTCCTAAAATTTAACGGCAAGTTGGTGATAAAATTATTTTCAGGCCGCTCTTTCCGAGTACACCGCAACTTTCGATAACAAAGATTTCACCAAAACTGGCCAAATCACCCCAACTCTTCATAACTTATACGAAAAATGGGGGCAAGGGGGATTTGGGGTCGTCTTGACTGGAAATCTTCAAATTGATCCGAAGCATCTCGAAGCCGCTGGAAATCATATTATCAGCAAGGAGAACTGGACCGCCAAGAAAGCTGAGGACCTCAAGTAAGTTGCTTTTTGAGCCAATATTTTAATTTCTTTTATTGAATTTGCATATTTCAATTTTCAGGAAATTCGCGGCTGCCATTAAAGCTGACGGAGCTTTGGCGTTAGCTCAAGTTGGCCACGCCGGTCGTCAAACTCCTGAGCACATCAACCCTCATCCCTTGGCTCCGTCAGCCGTCCCACTTATCAGCAACACCTTCGGCAACACTTTTGGGACTCCCGTCGCCCTGACCTTGGAGCAGATTCAGACCGAGGTCATCGATCGTATCGTTTTCCAATGTGAGAAGCTGAAAGAAGCCGGATTCGATGGGGTTGAACTTCATGGAGCTCATGGCTACCTTCTGGCTGAATTCATCTCTCCAACAACTAACAAGAGGACGGATAAGTATGGAGGAAGTGCGGAGAAAAGGGCCCAGATCTTGGTCGATGTGTATAATGGAATTCGGTAGGTACATCTTCTTTCAATAATGTAATTGCCATCCATTTTAAGCTCCAAGATCCCTGCATCTACTGGATTTGTCATCGGAATCAAACTGAATTCCGTGGAGTTCCAAAACCATGGTCTTGGATTGGAAGATGCCATTACGACTGCCAAAATTGTTGATGTAAGTTATCGTCCCTCCATTTCAACTCCTCTCTTTAGCAAACCGGCTATGACTTTATTGAATTCTCCGGAGGCACCTATGAAAAATTCGGATTCGAAGCCAAAGAATCGACCAAGAAAAGAGAAGCCTTCTTCATCCAATTCACCGAGGCCATCAAACCGCATGTAAAGAATGCCGTCGTCTACTTGACTGGTGGATTTAGAACAGTTCCAGCAATGGTTTCGGCCGTTAAGGACGGGGCCACGGACGGAATTGGCCTTGGCCGACCAATCTGCGCCGAGCCGGATCTCCCAAAGAAGATCTTGAGCGGACAAGTGCAATCAGCCATCTACAACCCCGTGGAGAATGATTTCGAAAAGGCCTTTGCCGTCGCAAGCACTCAAATGGGCCAAGCCGGCGCTCGTCCCTATTCGGAATGCGCTGGCGATCCATCTTATGGCATCATGGATGAAAGCGACGAGAGAGAATTTGCTGCATTCTTCGAGGAGTTCAAGACATATCTTGATGATAAAATCGCCAGAGCGCAGAAAGGAGAAATCCCAGTTGGAGTGTGTTCGTATCAACCAAAGTATCTGAAGACTGTATCATAGATAACTTTACATTGTGCATTTATTTTACTTAATAGTTTTAATGGCTTTTAATATAAATTTGGTATGAACTCTTCTACGATTCTTATCAGAAAGCAATTCTAAACTGAGGAAACAGATAAGATATTGTGATATAATATTGATAAACGTTTAGAACCAGATGGAAAAATGTGTGTCACGCTAAAAAGTTTGAGCAAAGGAGTGCTCAATGATCAAACGAATGAATGCTGTTCGATATTGAGGAAAACATTGTAGAATGGCCCATTAAAGTTCCTCGGCGCCCTCAACTTTCGGCCTCTGACTATATAATTGGCTTCCGGTATAAGGGCAAGAATAAAGACGCTTTGGCTTCATACACGTAGAAACAGAATGTCTTTTCTGTAACCTTTCTTACATACCACTCCGAAGACCAGAGACAACGCTGTAATACCATGTATAAGTATTAAATACTAACGTGAGAATCAAAATAAAAAGGGTTCTAGCAGCCTCGGTAGAGAACCAGGTGCAACTCATATCCCAATTTCAACATGCGCCATCAAGGAACCACAGGTAAAAGTCTAGCTCATATATCGCCACATTGCTATGTTATGCAATGCGGACTTTAACCTAACCTATCAAGAGATGGATATGCCTTCTAGTCGGGTCAGAGCCGTCTTTGTGGCGTATTCGTGGATCATCAACGTGTTTAACGGGCTTTTATTTGCATTCACAGTCTACATTGTTGTTACTTGGTCGGCGAAGGTCATGGGAATGTACAAATGGTAGGATATTTGCATAAAATTATACATGAGTATGTAATGTACGCTCCCTTTATTGAGAAAAAAGGTTATTCTAGGTATATTGTGATCTCCATATCAAATATCGTGTCTTTTTTGACAATCACTGCCACATACGAAGTCGAAATTTTTGTTGCATATCCAGCGACCCTCGCCCGAGGGATTGTCGATTTTTTGCAAGTAAGTTCGGCCAATATACCACTATTCCCCGTACTTCAGATACCTGCATTGGCCCCATTTTTGCAAATAGTCGGCTTTTCCTTGTTCGAAATGCATGTCATTATGACTTTCTGCCGCTTTATGTTTCGTTATGCACAAAGTACGGAGAAAGAGCGAATTACCAAAGTCATGTCGACTAAATACTTCTTCGTGGCGCTGTTGATCACATACTGCTTTATAATCTCCGGTAACTTTTATTATGGACAATGCGCGTTGCAGAATGGGCGTACACTTCAGAAGAGGATACCGAGCGATGATGAGGAGATCAAGAATTATTTTATGAGTCATGTGGTCACAAATTTTAGGGTAGGATACATCTTATACAAAGATTGAAAAAATGTTAGTTTTTGGCGCTTATACATGTAATATACTAAATATTTGTTAGGGCTAACATAAATATTGACCTGCCGTATTGAAACTTCGGTCATATTAAAACTTGCAAAGCACAACATTTCAGGGAGATGCCATGACTCCAATCTTTGAATTTCTCCTCTTCCCGATGACCCTCGTCTTTGGAGGTTACTGTACTTTGCAATGCGTCCTCTTCCAAAGCAATCCCAAGAACAAATTTAGCCTTCGTACCAAGCAAATGTATCGTCTTTTAATCTACGGTCTTCTCATCGAACAAGTCGCTGAACTTGGCTGGTTTATGTTACCGTACCTTGGTGCTGCCATGTTTCTGCCGGACAGTAAAAAAGCGTATGGAATCTACCTTGTGTACCGTGTTTATTATACATATCCGACGTTTGTAATGGTGTTTACATTGACGTTTTATAAGAGATATCGGATGGGTGTGAGGCAGATCTCCATGGCCGTGAATCGAGCGATCATTGGCAATTCGACGGTCCATCCCTCGATGTATGTATCTCAGATTTCACCAGACGGAACTAACTGAATTTAAAAATAAAATTGTGCCAATATTCTCTTCGCCAACTGATCCTTCAGCCCGCTTTGCGCGTTCGCCAAAGACTCAAGGCGGGTTAGTCACACAATGCTTTTGTAAAACCCGTTCTGGAAGAATGTGTAGCTGCTGGCTTCGAGGATGTTTAGAAAGTTGTCGCTCTAAAACATCTCACGGTGTTATGTTTACTACCTTGAAGTAATTAACAATCCCACCGCCAATCACTGAATGGTAAGGATCGAATTGCTGATGATCATAGAGCGCGATTGATAAGTATGTAAAAGAATTCACAAACAACTGACAGCAAGATGTACCTAAAAAACGAACCTTGCTCATAGTTTTGTAGTTTGGCTGCTTTCACTTACCATTTATATGTACTCATAGTTTCTGATGAATGTTTAAGCATAATTATGACAGTAAATACCAGTAAAATAAAATTCAAGAGGTTTACTGCGATGGAATGGACAGCAAAAATCGTGAAAAAGCGATCAGACGGAATTAAATACAAATGCGTAGAATGTCACGTTGAACGGCAGCATTGAAAAAGGGTCAAGAATGGCTCGGAATCTTGATAAAAAAGCACAGGTGCATATTGTTCTAAGAGTGTAAATACGAATGCAAAAATAGGACTAGGCTTTTCGCAAGACTAAAAAAGTGTTTCAAGGAATAATCTTAAGAAGATCTGGATGTTTCACTTGTATCATCAATTGGTAATTTCGTTATGATGACTTGACGACATCACCGAAACAGACGCAGATCTGATGTATAAACCTACATCCGACCAAATTGAAACTGCCGCAGCCCGATACCGCTTGTAGAATGCCAAAGTAAAGATCATTTGAAACGTTGGGTATGCGTAGAACCAGCGATATGTGATAAGGAATAGAATAAATCGCTTGTTGAACGGGCCAAAGTAAGTGATAGAGAAGTACGGCACCACATACCAAGCAAACTCCGCGGCTTGCTCTATCACCAGGCCATAGATCAGAACCGAATACATACTTTTGGTCTTCTCGCTCAGCCGATTCTTTGGATTTTGCTGGAAACGGTAGCATTGAACAGTGCAGAAGGTCCCGATAAACACAATGGTGGGGTAGACCAGCCACAAAAATCCGATGGAATAATACTCTCGCTGAAATTTTTGTGTAAGAGCATGCGTTACAACGCTTTTAAAGTGTACACAGTTAAGGTGTTTACAACCCACTCCATTAGTTACAGACAGAGTGTGAGCCATAACATATTCTTTCAGCTTGGTATCATTGTCAGGAAATTGAAGTTTCCAGTCGTCCCCGCCATAAAACGTTGTAATATAATAGTAGCAGTTAAAGGCAAGAGTAGCGACAAAAACCAAAGCCAGGATCACAAAAAACTTCTTGTCCGACATTAATTTAGTCGCTGCTTCTTTGGCAGTGCTTTGAAAATAGCGAAATACGAACCGACATAGCATAACAACCACGTAGGTTTGGAACAGAGTAAGGCCAATCGCTTCAAGGATATTCATCAGTTTTTCGCTCTAAAGAGGTGATGGTAAGCGTGCTTATATTGATACCTTGAAATATTCCAATATTCCACTGCCTGCGGAAACTCTGTAAGGAGCCAATAATTGGTGGTGGTAACTGGCCAGAGTCAATGTATAGATCAGCTCGCTCACAATGGATGCTACCATATACCTGCAACTCTGTGCTGACATGCATTAAAACTTACCATTTGTACGTCCCCATGGCTGGTGGAGAGTATTTCAATACAATCCACATTGTAAATACCACTAACAAACAGTTGAAGATGTTTATAAACCAGGAATACGCAATAGATAGTTTGAAGACAAAGTCAGATGGCAAGTCCACTTCGTAGTACGGGATTTTATATATTTTCATAGCACAAAACGTGGACCGTGAGTATAAGTGTACACAACGTGAAAGGGTAATTCTGTTGTGCATGTATACTACCACTCCAGGTGCTATTTTTTCACGTCAAATCTGAGAGTAGTGATTGTATGAAAAGGTCAAAAGTCAATTCAAACAAGGCTGAATCAAGCTTAAAACGGGAGCCGTATTGCGCGCAGCACCGTACACTCTGCAGCGTGGAAAATTTACACAATAATATTATATATAGTATAATATTAACAGAGCTTAGGGAGAGAGGTAAATAATTCGTCTCTCAGTCCACTGTTGCATCATTTGGCGATGTCATAACGGAGACCGAGGCCGCCGCTATATACGAATTCACTCGTGACAAGATGGACGTTGTCGCCACTCGATAGCGTCTGTAAAATGTCAACGTAAAGATCATTTGAAACGTTGGAAATGCGTAGAACCATCGGTAAATGATATGAAAATAGATGAAGCCCTTCTTTATCGACGCGAAGTATGTGACTAGGATGTAGGGCGTCATAAACCAGATAATTTCAGCGACTTGTTCGACGACCAACCCGTTGTTGTCCTCTCACTCAGCGGGTTCTCTGGGTTGTGTTGAAAGCGATAACATTGAATGGTGCAGAAGGTCCCGACCAAAACAATTAGAGGATATATCAGAAACATGTAGACGAATATATAAAACCCATTCTGAAAACTCGGTTTTAATGTTTTTTGCGTAAACTTTAGACGAATTTAGGTGGTCTCATTGAAACCCTTATTCTACACTTGCATTGTGCAGCACTGACAAAGTGTGAGACATTATGTACTCCTTCAACGCGGTATTATTATCGGGAAATTGGAGTTGATAATCTGTCCCTCCGTAGAATGCGTTGACATAATAAAAACAGTTGAAACAGAGGGAAGATGAGAAGATTACGGTCAGGAATATGAAGAATTTCTTGTCTGCCATCATTTTAGTTTCCCTCTCTTTGGCAGTACTTTGAAAGTATCGAAAAACAAAGCGGCATAGCATGACAAGGATATACATCTGGAAGAAGGTGAAACTGGTCCCTTGTAGGGTATTCATGAGCGTCTCACTCTAAAATTAAAGCCACAATAAGTAAAGACTGATGTTTCTTGCCTTAAAGTAGGTTAGAATCCCGCCTCCCACGGCGCAGTGGTATCCCAGGATAAGTTGGTGGCCATAGATGGCCAACAAAAAGATATAGAAGAACTCACAGCCAGTCGACAACGCCAAATACCTGAAAAAAATTAATAGCGTCAAGTAAATTCCATACGAAGGCGCAATTTTTACCATTTATACGTGCCCATGGCGGGAGGAGAATAGCTTAGAATAACATGCAAAGTAAATGCAAATAACAAACAGTTGAAGAGAATAATGAGCCAAGAGTATGTTGTGGAGATCAGAAAGAATGTGTCGGACGGGAAATCTATTTCATAGACGGGTATTTTGTACACTTTCATACGAGAATTAGAAATAAATAAAGGCGCGACGACTTGCCCATCTACGTACAGGTGCAAACTTAGTTTAGAATTCCAAGAATTTTTAAGCATCGGTTCAGAAAGGCACAAGTTTTGAGATGAGGATGTTGTGAGTTCAGCATAGCTGTGTTTTCCAAGTCTATCGTAAGCGATAGACTTGACAATGAGACTGTCGTGGCTTCACTGGGGTAGAACCCGGTCTTACATACAATATGTTATATCTGCTTGTATCGACATTGCCGCCGTATGATAACAACGATAGAACATCAATGCAAAGGTCATCTCAAAAGCTGAAAACCCAATGAAGGCAAACGGTGAACCATTTCTTTTGTGAGAGCAGAATATGTACATTTGTTTGGCGTTTTGATGATACTCCGATTAAAAACTGTCGTTTATCAAACAGTACATATTTCCAACTGTTTGATAAACATTGATACCTCATGATAACAACATATGTATAATTGTTGTGACTACATCCAAAGTCCAACAAAAACTTGCCTTTGTCGAAATTAATCATAGTCATCACAATACAAAATATGTGGCGGAAACAATAACTTAACAGCAATTTCAATGAGTGACATCCTGCTTTAAACAATGTAAAATGCAAAACTCATGTGACAGTTTTAATTGTATGCAAATAAGTGAAGAGGGTTGAGAGGAACGTACGGTGCAGAGTTGAACCCTCAGGCGTTTTAGTATTTTTGAAGATAATAGTTTAATTGCTGTGCCACCAACAATGTGTATTTCAAATTAAGGCTGCTGAAGATTCTTCTAGTCTACATTCGAAGCTACCTTGAAGATTGCGTATGTCAAAATGAGGTTTAATATAAAATATCGTGAAATGGAGATCCCGACTGAGAATTTTCTACTTTGTTTTGTTATTTACTCCTGGATTATACAAATTGTAAACATGTGTTTGTACGTGTTTACAATGTACATTATCTTAAAGTGGTCAACGAAAGTTATGGGCGCCTATAAATGGTGGGATATTATTTGAATGTATAGAAAATAATGACAATCTAGGTACATGGTATGGTCGCTGACAAACATTGTCTTTTTCTTGATGCTTATCGCGACATATGAGGTGGAAATCATCACTGTATATGCTGGTGTGATTACAAGAGGAGTTGTTGAGTATTTTCAGGTAAATTAAAGCCGCTATGGAGCAAGATACACCTATTTGAGAGGGTAAATTTGTTGTTGCAGATCCCCCAGCTCTCGCCGATCCTCCAAACCGCCAGCTTTTCGCTCTTCGATATGCATGTTGTCATCACTTTGTGTCGCTTTCTCTTTCGATATGCCCAGAGCACTGAAAAACGGAGATTGCTGTTTATTATGTCCCATAAGCATTTCTTTGCCTTCTTATTCTTTTTATACATTGTCATTCTTCTTGTCACCATCTATCTTCGACGGAATATATTGCAAAACGGAATCGAATTTCAACGACAATTCCCAAGCGAGTTTGTGGAGCAGAAAAAGTACATTATGAGTCATGTTGTCACAGTTTCTGATGTAAGTTCAATTGGGAATGTTGACTGTATATTTGACACAATAATCCTTTTTTGCGACTGTTCTAGTGTAAAATACGATACATTAAGCTATGCTATTTTTAGGGCTTCTCCATCAACAACTTCTTCGAGTTCATTGCCTACCCAATCACCCTTGTCGCCGGCGGCTTCTGCACCTACAAATGCTACGCATTCCAACGCAGAGCCAAGAGTAAATTCAGCGAGAGAACTCAGTCAATGTACAAGCTACTTATCTATGGATTGATCATCGAGCAAGCCGGCGAATTAGTTTGCTTTGTCATTCCGTTTATATTGGTTGGAATATTACTTCCTCCGGCCAAACAAAGCATCGGATTTTACGTTGTTCATCGGATATTTTACATTTATCCGACCTTTGTCATGATCTTTACACTCACCTTTTACCGGAGGTTCAGAGATGGTGTGAAACAAATGTTTGGGAGAATCTACGGAAACATCGGAATTCCTTCATTGGGGCCCTTAAATACGACTGGTCGATCTTCAACTCTCGCGTCAAATTTAAGCATAGTATGATGCAATGCGAAAACATTCTTTTATTGCTCGCTGTAAGAAAACCCGTTGTAATTGTATTGTGAATTAGTTTTTGCAAGCAATTCTGATACTGAACAATGCACGAATGCGCGTGTGTTTTATATTTGCAGTAAAAATTACAATTCACACGGATTACTCTAGGAAATCAAGTAGCTACATAATTTACAGTTGAAAATCTTTGTGAATGAAGAATACACTTTTGATAGTTTGAAGACAAATTTAAATGGCATAGTAAAGCTGCTTGTATATAATCATAAGCCGAACCATAAGCGCAAGTGTAGCCCTCTTTTTCCTTTCCACCCTGGGTGATATTAATGTTTCAGAGCAGCTGTTATTGATAGAGCTTAATAAAAAAAAGAAAGTAAAGTGTAGGATATTACTGTTATATTGAACAATGAAACTCGACAGTTTTGTTACATCTTCACCATAGTCCCGATAAAATCAGATTTTTTGACCTCATTCATTCTAACCCTCGCTCCCATTGTCTGATGACATTACAGAAACAGAGGCCGAGTTGATATATGCACCGACATCCGCCCAAATCGCCATCGCCGCCACCCGATAACGGCGGTAAAACATCAATGTAAAAATCATCTGGAAGGTTGGATAGGCGTAGAACCAGCGATACGTGATATGGAAAAGAACAAATTTTTTCCTGTATGGCGCAATTACAACAATTGCCAAGTAAGGCACCATATACCAAACAACCTCGGCGGCTTGTTCAATAGCCAGGCCGGTGATTAGGACTGAATACATCCGCTTGGTTCGCCCATTGATACGATTTTCTGGATTGTGTTGGAAACGGTAGCATTGCACAGTGCAAAATGTTCCGACCAGAACAATTGCTGGGTAGACCAAGTAGGAAAACGCAAGCATATAAGAATCGGACTGGAAAGTCGACACATATGTATAATAAAAAGATTAAGGCCTTTTTAACTTACCGAGTTTAGGACAGACACTGTGTGGGACATGATGAATTCTTTCAGAGCTGTGTTGTTATCAGGAAACTGCAGTTGATAGTCCTTCCCGCCATAAAACGACTGAACATAGCGGTAGGCGTTAAAGGCGGCGGTGGAAATGAAGACAACAGCCAATGCAACGAAAAACTTTTTGTCTGACATTATTTTCGCCGGCCTTTCCTTGGCAGTCCCTTGGAAGTAGCGAAACAGAAAACGGCACAACATGAGGAGGACGTACATTTGGAACAAGGAAAAGTTTATGCCGAGAAGAACGTTGAAGAGGGTCTCGCTCTGGAAGTAAACCTTAAAGCAAGGTCGATTGTCATGGTCGTATTCTTTCGACTATGATATTATAACAGCACTGTTCCACTGCTTTTTACCTTAAAGAAATTTAGGATGCCACCTCCAACGCAGATTTTATACGGGGAGACCAGACTGTAATCGTAGCTGAACAGAAACTGTACATAAAAGAATTCGCTGAGAATTGAAGCCGAAATATACCTAAAAAATTAGCCTGTCGGGGAAATAATTATGTGGGCTCGTCGCAGCAAAATATCACGTCCCAGTTTCGTACCAAATCCTCAGCCGTCGTCTCCAAAGCGGAGATGCACGTCAATCCAGCGCATTTCCTAAACCGTTTCGAAACTTCGTATCGTTTTTAATGATTTTAAAGAGAGACGAGATGTCGCGAAATTATCGGCACTTTTTCTCACCCGAAATAATTGTTTTTTCTCGAAAAGGAAGAAGAAAGATAAGAAAATGCGTTTTATCGGATAGTGACATTTCGTTTTGAACGAATCACCAAAAAAGGGCGGGAAATCCTTTCTTCTACTTTGGATTGACGTGAGATGGCGATTCCAATGCGCAGCAAGTCCACGTTATTTTCCCGACAGACTGCTACAACTTTAACCTGTAACATAATAAAGCTTTACCATTTGTATGTCCCCATGGCCGGCGGAGAATATTTGAGGACAATCCACATTGTGAAGGCCATCAGAAAGCTGTTGAAGAAATTTATAATCCATGAGTAAGTTGTGGAGATGAGAAAAAACGTTTCCGATGGGAAATCAATTTCGTAAACAGGTATTTTGTAGGTTATCATTGGAAAACACAAAATTTATACTATTTTCTACAGTCAAAGGGCTAAATTTAATTTCTTTATGTCGTCAAAGGTAAAAAAAGAAATTTCCAACCTGTGTAAGAGGTCAGACTTAATTTAGAATTCTGTGAACTTTCAAACATCGACTTAGATATGGACAAGTATTGGCTTTCATCTGTTCAACGGAAATGGCTCTGGAGGAATCGTCTTACAGTTGCAACTACACATGGCTCTTGGCCTCTCTGCGTTTGTTGCCGTTTTACCCAAGCGACACGCATTTTTTCGCGATACGACTCCAAACTTCACTAGCAATGCCGTCAGAAATTGTACACAATTTTTTCTAGCAGAAATGTGTGTTTTTACTCGCAGTAAAAATTATAATCCGTATGTGTCTTGTTGCTTTAGGTATTGAAATGAAATGGTACAAGAATCAAAGTGAATTGCAAATAAGATGATGTCTAGGTTCTTTCCATGCGACCACATTGAAATCAGAAGCTGAAAACTAGTGATAAGGATAAGACTTACGATTAGAACAAAAATGAGAAGTTCTGATGCCAAGCTTAAGCCTACCGGTTACAGCCAGCATAATAAGAGTTTTTCTGTAGACAAGACAAAGCTTGTCAAGAAATCGATGATGTTCATAAAGGTTTGCAAGATGCCAGTAAGGTCTTGTGTAAGTTACGCGCTAGAATATTCAACGATCGTCACAAGCACTTCTATCGCTACACATGTTACCATTGTAGTTATTCCGCCCTTTTAATTTTATTGAAAACCCTTCAAAAGACAAACGTCGGATACAAAGATCCTTCTGGGTATGATACAAATAGAGCCGTGAAAAGAAATTGTTTGTGTAACTCAAACATTAGATTCTTGGCTCATTAGACCATGCGTTATAATATTACTGTGCTTAATCACCGCTTACTGCCTGAGGATTTGAAGGCTTACTTTGTTGTGTACACCTGGATTGTTCAAATATCGAATGCATTTTTATTCCTGTTTACATTGTATATTGTGCTAAAGTGGTCAAAGGATGCCGTGGGGACTTACAAGTGGTAAGTAGTTCCAAATCAACATAAAACCCCAAATTCCATTTTTCCAGGTATATATTATGGTCCATTGTAAACATTCTTTTCTTCTTGATGATCATGGCAAGCTATGAGATTGAGATTTTTCCCGCAGAGAATTGTTCCGTTGCAAGGGGAATCATCGATTATTTTCAGGTAAATTTTATTGATCAATGTCAAGAAACTAACGAAAATTATGATAAAAATGAATCTTTCAGCTGTCTGACTATGGTGGCTACTTCTCAGCCGTCAGTTACTCCTTCTACGAGATGCATATCATCATAACTTTTTGTCGTTTTGCCTTCCGCTATGCACAAAGCACTCAGCAAATACGGTTGCTGAAATTAATGTCTCATCGGCTCTTCTTCACCGCTTTGTTGGTTCTGAACGTTTTTCTTGTTATCGTTTCAATTATTGAGATCGGGGATTCTGCAAAGCATGGGAAGGAGTTTCAATTGGAATACCCAAGCAACAATCCGGCAATGAAGAGCTATTTCACTTCGCATACCGTCCTTGTAGTAAAGGTAAGGTGTGGAGTCGACACCGTATGAGACGTTTCACTGGTACAAACCACGATTATTTATTTTTTTTTCAGAATCAACACTTTGTGACTATCTTCAGATTTATCCTCTTCCCCCTTTCTCTGCTCTCCGGTTTATGGTGTACGTGGAGGTGTTACCGATTTCGAAGGCATCCTAAGAACAATTTCAGCCAACGTACTCGCCAAATGTATCGCCTTCTAATCGTTGGCCTTCTAATTGAGCAAAGCGCTGAATTTTATTGGTTTATAGTTCCGTTTCTGTCCATTGGATTCTTTTTTGATGTTGAAGACCAGGTCGCGGCTTATTACATTCTCTACCGAACATTTTATTTGTATCCGACTTTCGTCATGGTTTTTACGTTGGTGTTTTACCGCCGATATCGGGAGGGAGTCAAGAAAGTTTATAGCGCCTTTTGGAAGGTTAATTCGCCAACTGTGACGACTTCGAACAACGGATTTTCCGTCACCAAGATTAGTCAAGGAGTTACCATAGCTAAGGTTACTCCTTGACTCTGTGAAATATAATATGTTAGACCAAAGATTTCAAGCTTTCGAATAAACAAACCTAAAGTCCGACGGACAGTGATCAATTTACATATAGTAAGACTGACAACAAAAATTAGAAGTTCTGATGCGAGGCTTAAGCCTAACGGTAACAGCCGGTGTAATAAGAGCGTTGCCTAGGCCAGATAAAGCTTTTTAAGGTCACGGGCTGTGAGGCCTAATTGTTCGAACTGAATATTCAACGATGGTAACAAGGACTTCTATCGCTACCATGTTACTATTGTAGTTATTCCGCCCATGACTACAACACCCAAACAATTTAAAATTTCCGGTACGAAGATCCTTCTGGATATAATACAAATTAAGCCGTAAAAACAATGAGTGTTTATGTAACTCAAAAATTAGATTCTTGGCTCTTTAGACCATGAGTTATAATATTACTGTGATCAATCACCGCTTACTGCCTGAGGATGTGAAGTCTTATTTTGCTGTGTACACCTGGATTGTTCAAATATTTAATTCCTTTTTATTCCTGTTTACATTGTATATTGTGTTAAAGTGGTCCAAGGATATCGTGGGGACTTATAAATGGTAAGTAATTTCAGGCCAACATAAACACCCTAAATTACTTACACCCTTTCCATTTAAGGTATATATTATGGTCGATTGTAAACATTATTTTCTTCTTGATGATCATGGCAAGCTATGAGATTGAGATTTTTCCCGCAGAGAATTGTTCCGTTGCAAGGGGAATCATCGATTATTTTGAGGTAATCTTTTATTGATCAATGTCAAAAAACTTGCAAAAATTATGGTAAAAATAAATCTTTCAGTTGTCCGACTATGTCGGTTACTTCTCAGCTGTCAGTTACTCCTTATACGACATGCATATCGTTATAACATTTTGTCGTTTTGCCTTCCGCTATGCACAAAGCACTCGGCAATTACGGTTGTTGAAACTGATGTCTCATAGACTTTTCTTCGCCGCTTTGTTTGTTCTGAACGTTTTTATTTCGACCGTTTCAATTATTGAGATCGGGAATTCTGCAGAGTCCGGGAAAGAGTTTCAATTGGATTACCCAACTACCAATCCGGCAATGAAGAGCTATTTCAAATCGCATACGGTCTTTGTAGTCAAGGTAAAGTGTAGACACGGCTGTGAATGAGACGTTTTGCCGGTACAACGCATGATTACCTGTTCCTTTTCAGTATCAACACCTCGGAAGCCTCTTCAGATTCATTCTCTACCCCCTATCTCTTCTTTTTGGTTTATGGTGTACTTGGAGGTGTTACCGGTATCCTAAGGACAATTTCAGTCAACGCACTCGTCAAATGTATCGCCTTCTAATCGTTGGCCTTCTAATTGAGCAAAGCGCTGAATTTTATTGGTTTATAGTTCCTTTTCTGTCCATTGGATTCTTTTTTGATGTTGAAGACCAGGTCGCGGCTTATTACATTCTCTACCGAACATTTTATTTGTATCCGACTTTCGTCATGGTTTTTACGTTGGTGTTTTACCGCCGATATCGGGAGGGAGTCAAGAAAGTTTATAGCGTCTTCTGGAAGGTTAATTCGCCGGCTGTGCCAACTTCGAACAACGGAGTCTCCGTCACCAAGATTAGCTAACGTATAAGACACTCGTAGGTGTTCATCGAAGAACTAAACTGAAAAGCTCTTCATAATGTTTTCTGGGAAAATCCTGAATTGATCAGACTCGATAATCGGATCAGAATATATAGTAGCGTCACAAAGTGAATATAGCTCGGAAATGGGTGGTTCCAACGACTGAAAATAACAGTGTACACAATCCATCTGTACATAAAGCTGTTCACACGAGGTAAATCCACCTTCAACGTTTATCAATCTTGTTCGAAGAGTGAGTATGTGAAATGATGCTCTCTATAAAATTTAATCAATCATTTCTAGCAAGCAGAGCCACCTACAACCCCGAATGGTCAACGTTATTCATATCTCTGTCAAGTTCTGAGAACGACCTCATATGGCCTTTGTTCCCAGTAAAAATGCACCTGTTTCAACCTGGACTGCTATCACAAAAGTTACTCCGCAAAACTTTAAATCCTAATAAATAAAATATTACGGACAAAACTTTAATTTCATTGTTCTATTATATTATAAATACAATACCACTCTAACTACCAAGATATGACACAAAACCGTCACGTGAGATGAGCGTTTGTGTTAAGGTAGAGCTATATATGTACATTGCACAGAAAACAGAGGTGCATTTAACGCAACAGCTCTAATTGTAGCTCCATTATGGCTTCGAATATAACTGTTTACAATTACTCGCTGGCGTCGGAAAAAGTTAGAGTTTTATTTGTGGTCTACGCCTGGATTATTCAAATCACGAATGGAATACTTTACACATTTACCGTTTATATTATTCTTGGATATTCAAGAGAGACCATCGGAGCTTATAAATGGTATGACTCGACTTTTCTTTGAAATTCCTTACTTTAAATGTACTCTCTTTGGCTTTAAAATTACGTTAAAATAAAGGATGATGTGACTTTATTTCATTACTGCATAAGACCTTTTTCAGGTATATGGTATCATCAATCACCAACATGTTTTTCTACTTGTTGATAGTATCGACTTACGAGATTGAAGTCTTCAATGAATATAATGTCACTCTTTTCCGAGGAATTTTTGAATATTTTCCGGTAAGATTCGGTATGATGATATCATGAACTCTAATATGTATTTTATTCAATGTTTAACTAAACATGCGTTTTTAAACATATTCCTTTCAGACATCAAACTACCACATGTATGTACAATGCGCTTCCTTTTGTTTCTTCGCAATGCACGTGATTGTAACGCTTTTCCGCTTCATCTACCGTTACGCTCAAGGTACGGACAAACCAAGGTTACTAGCTCTGCTATCTCACAATTACTTTTTTATTTTTATGCTGAATGTATTTGGGATCGTGTCACTGTTTACGTTTTGGGATGATCGATTTGCAGCTGAAGATGGGAGGGAATTCCAAAGGGAATATCCAGAGACAAATATGGAGCTGAAGAAGTATTTTACCGAGCACCCGATGACTTCGCTATCGGTAAGATGGGTCAAGATTAAGGTATTCAATGAGCTTTGTTTGAAAGAGAGGGGTAGTTGTACACCTATTAAAATCACTTTAGGAGCACGTGTTCTTCACAGTGTTTCCCGTGCTTGTGTATCCACTGACACTTCTCGTTGGAACATGGTGCACAATCCAATGCCATCGCTTCCAAAGCGACCCACAAAACAAGTTATCGATCCGCACAAAGGAGATGTACAAACTCCTGATCTTTGGCCTGGTCATTGAACAGGTGGCCGAGGTTGTGTGGTTTGTGATTCCGACTGTTTTTGCCAAGTTAAGCCTAAGGATAGAGGACCAAGCAATGGGAAATTACATCGTCTACCGAGTTTTTTACACCTACCCCACATTTCTAATGATCTTTACATTAACGTTTTATCGAAGGTATCGGCAAGGCGTGGTCAGAGTTTTGAGGAAGGTTGTTCGAATCCCAGCGATAGGGACAATTTCAACGACTCGTGGGAACAGTACTGGACAAAAGACCTCGGTGCACAATATTCTCCATAAAAGGTATGCTGATTTGGTGGATACGTCAAAGAAATGTAGAGAATATATACCCCCTTTTCCATGATTAAATATTTTATATGTGTATATATGTACATAGTAGTTGATCTCAAAGTAAAACCTTTTTCAGTTCTCAAACTCTTCTAGCACCTTCCACAATCAATGTCATTCCCATCTCTGCCAATTTCAAATAACATTGTATTACCTCGAAAATCGCAATGATAAAAAAAGTGAAGGCCAACAATATTAGTTTATTATCCACTCAAAAAAAGAAGCTGAGTTGATTCGAAGTCAGTGATTCCACTCGCAACTAGTCACGGATGACTTGGAGTTGGTTGGGGTTTCCATCGGCACGGTTTCGGCGAGGAGGCGATGGAGCCGGAGGGCGAGGCGGACGGACCACGTTGCCCTGCAGGTCTACAACCGACTCCACTTCGGACCCAATTTCGATGGCTTCGTTCAGGTTCTCGTCAATTTCAAAATGTTCGTTGGGGAGGAGGTCCGGGATTTTTGAATCGTCTTCATCCGCCTGAAAACATGAATGAAAAAAATAAAATCATGTTTTGCAAACCCTAAATCGTAAAAATGGCCGTCTAACCGGGCCATCTCAAAGAAATGGCCTCACACGTCAATCCAGCGCATTTCCTGAACCGTTTCGAAACTTCGTACCGTTTTCATTGGTTTAAAAGAGAGACGAAATGTCGCGAAATTATCGGCACTTTTTCTCGCCCGAAATAATTGTTTTTTTCTCGAAAAGGAAGAAGAAAGATAAGAAAATGCGTTTTATCGGATTTTGAACGAATCACCAAAAAAGGGGCGGGAAATTTTTTCTTCTATTTTGGATTGACGTGCCTCAATTTTCCAGCCGAAAGAGATTAACAAGCCCTCCCCCAGACTTACAGAGATGGGAACGATGATGTTCGGGATCTTCATCGGGCCCCTGAACCGGATCTTGTTCACATCCAAGTGCTCGGGGCCGGTCAAGTCGGGCTTGTCCTCATACTTGGTCTGCCACGGCCCCGGACTTCCCTCTTCCGTCTTGTTTTTCGTAGCAGGGGCGTGGCCGGTGGGGCGATGACCGGTAGAGACACGATCGGCGGAGGCCGTGCCGGCGAGGGTTGTTTTAAGAGGGGCCGGGTTATTGGGAGCCGTACCGGCGGTGTAGTTGGCGGCCGGCGTGTTCCTGTGCCTGAAACAGCGGAAGTAGGCGAAGAGCAACGCCGAAACGCCGCCGACGACCATCAATCCAACAAGAACGTAGCTAATCACTTCACCGGCGGACATGGACTGCAATTGCAAAGGTATGGATGTATAAGAGCATGGATAAATAATAAAAATACGATGACAATAAAGAGCTGTCACCAAAAAAGACTCCCATTCTTCCCAGGCCTACATGAACAACTGGAGCTGGAGTCGGTCTGGTTCTTTTTGTTGCTTTGCTCGTTGCTCTTGTTCTTGTTGTTGTCGTCATCGTCGAGGAATTGGTAGTGGCCGTGGAATTGGTCTCTATCGTCGTCGTGGTATTTGTTCTCGCCGTAGTGCTTGTGGTGGTGGTTTCGTTGGCCGTGCCCGCCGTCGTATTGGTTCCTGCTGTGGGGGTTGTGGTCGTAGCGGTGCGGTTAGCCCCGGCCGCCGTTGTCTTGGTGGTTCCTCTCGTGGGGGTCGTCGTGGGGCGAGTGGAATTAGAGTCAATATTCGAGCCATTGGTGGGTGGCGTTGGATGGGGTTGGGTGAGGGGTGGCGCAGCTTGGGGAGTCGTTGTCTTGGTAGTGGTCGGTGCCTTCGTGGTGGCTTAAAACAAATAAAATAAACCACTAAAATCGCGACAAAATATGTCAAACAATTCACAGCTAAACATCGCAGACCCGCTAGACTTACGGCTTTTGGTGGTTGCTCCAGTGCCAACCGCAGGGCCTTGGTTTCCTCCAGACGGCTGGCCCCCATTGCTTACAGGGCCATTTCCATCGCCCGTGGGATGCGGTGCGGAGAGCGCACAAACGGCGATTATGGCTATCAGAAGGGCCAAACGCCGACAGTTCATGGTGGACAAGCTTGCGCAGGAAATACGAGGAGTTGAATTCGGCCGTCCTCAACGAGAGAGACGGGAAGCGAATGACCGGTCTTCCAGGAATTGGCATTTTGGACAATTTCTTTTTTTCCAATTCTAATGCAAATTTTTGAAAAATCGCGGGAATCTTGCCCGATTTTTTTGATGTTTTTGGAGTTTAGCAAAATTGGCTAATATGTCTTCCAAACTTGCGAATATTATGGCAAAGGCTTTTGAGGTGCGACCGAAATGTGAAAGCTTTCAGGCGAATCACGCCTCGTATATGCTTCAATTAAAAAATGGAAGATGTTAGTCATTCAGCGCCACAAATCAAATCATCCTTATGTGAGTCTAATGTTTCATCAAGAAGAGTATAAAAACACAAATTATAATCTCCAATCTTCATTCTTCACAATGTTTGAACGTATTCTTCTTCTGTCGTTATTTATTGGCCTAGTTTACGGAGCGCCTACAAAAAGCCCAGAACATGATTATAGTAAATATTTGGATACTGTGTAAGTTGTGAAACCAACGTTTGACTACTTTTTTTTGTGCCGTATTTCGGTCGAAAATATTTCAAATTTCAGGTCTCCCGACCATCGCGAAGCCGTTGGGACTGCGCTGAAATGCCTCGATAAGATGGTTCTCCACGTGGCCGATGTCGATGACATTGAGCAGATCGAAACAAACTCGAGTATTTTCACGTTCTTCCTCCCCTTCATGATGTTTGATCTTCCTGAATATCCCGCCCATGAGTGTCTTGAAGCAAGCGATGATGAGTATTTGGTGGCTGTTCGAAATCTAGCTGAGAGGCTTGCCGAGCCGTTCAGACCTTTCTTTAAGCGGCGACCAAAAAGAGAGGCCAAAAAGTTGAACATGAACCCGTTCCAGTCGATAAGGGATCAGTGCGGAAGTCTGTAAGTTTGATAGCAATAAAACGCCAAGCTTTGCAAAAAATAGAAATATTACCCGTCATCATATTTTCAGCCCCGACTACTACGTTCCATGTGAACCCAAATTCTCGGAAGACTTCAACATCCGCTACAGCGACACCTTGGCCGCTTCCTCTTATATCGCCGATGTGATTGCCCCTGGAAGTGCTTGTCGGCTCGGATTGGATGGCCGATTGGACAAAAGAATTTTCAAGAAAGGAAATAGCCGGGAGAAGTTCCAGGTAACTCAAGGATGTGTTAGCAACAGCACCTCTTTCGATGAGTTTAACGCTGCTTTTGCCCAAAGCACTTGAATTTTCTTGGTTGAAAAATAACAAAATAAACCTTTCTTCAACTTGTTACACCTTTTATCCAGTACCATTTGCGCCTGTTGTTTTGTCAACCTGAACATATTCGGCGGCAAAAAACTGACGACTTTGTTGAAAGGCGGTTCCGTCTTCTGGAAGTTAGAGAATTGCCTTTATTTTATTTTGTAGGTATCCCTAATTAAGGCATGTTGTTTTCCACAATTTTCCAAAAATCACACGTCTTTTTCTATGTCCAATGAACTAAAATTATTATTAATCAAGTTAGTCATTCTGCGGCCGAAAATCAAGCTCTCCAAAATGCTGTGGAAATGTCAAAAAATGTTATAAAAGCAAAAAATATCGAGGCTCAAATCACACTGCAGGATGTTGAAAATCATTCTCTGCTCCTTTGTTATTCTAGGCGCAGCTTTCGGAGCGCCACCAAAGCCCGTTCATGACTTCACTCCGTTTTTGAATACAGTGTAAGTGGAAGATAAAATTTGAGATTCTCATAGCACGCAAATTATAAGTTGATCTCCTTTTCCAGCGCTCCAGAGCATCGTCAAGCCGTTAGCGCTTCCTTAAAATGCGCTGACGAAAAAGTTCTCTATTTGTCCGATGATGTTGATCTACTGCAATATAATTCGAGCATCTTTTCATTCTTCCTTCCCTTCATGATTGTCGAAATGCCACCAGAAAATCAAGTTGAAGGATGTTTGGAGAGCAGCGATGATCCATACTTGGTGGCGGTCAGAAATCTGGCCGAACGATTGGCCGCTCCGTTCAGGGCTTTCTTCAGACAAAAGCGAAGCGCCCGTCAACAGAATTTTAACCCCTTCAAAGCCCTCAAGGATCAATGCCGAAATCTGTAAGTGAAAGCAGTGGCATTAAAGGGCCTTGTGGCCAAAATTTTTAATTTTTTTCGCTTTTCAACACTTTTTAGGCCTTCATTTAAACTCCCATGTGAGATAAAATACGATGAAGACTTTGGTCTGCAATATCTTGACGCCATTGCTGCTTCCGCCTATGTTTCGGATGTAATCTCCCCGGGAAGCGGTTGCAGATTTGATCTGAAAGGGCGTTTGGACAAGAGGATCTTCGAGAAGGGGAACAGTCAGAACACTTTCCAAGTTACTCTTGGCTGCAGCAAAGACGGACACGAACTCAAACACTTTGATGAGGTGTTCTCGGCTGAGGATTGATAACGTTTTTGAAATAAATCTTTAATCTGCAACAAATTTTCAAAGGCTAAATGATGACTCGTCGGAGTGTTATGATTTGAAAAGCAATTTTTGTTGAATCACCATAGAAATTACGGAACATAGAAATTAAGGCCGGAGAGTCCATTTATGCATATATGCAAACAGCACGTAGCCAAGCCTATATACACCCTATCCATACATAATTTTTAGGCATGCAAAACTAAGGGGTCATCTTAAATACAGGCTCTGCTCAGCCATCTGACAAGTCTTATTTCATGCATTAGTTTATTCTTTGAACAAATATAAATTTCTGACAATTCTCCACAAAAAAATAAATTCCTTTTGGCAGTAGATGACCACAAAGGACGGTAAAAATATGAGATTCTAGTTCACAATGAAACTCTTTTTACAACCATTGGGAAAACGTGTTTACAACATAAACAATGGCACTCGGAATAATCTGGGGTCCAGCCCAAGGGAACCTTTCAATTTGGAATCCTTAATCTCCAGCCAATGGTATCTCCGTTCGTCGTAGATGACCGTATTCTTGGCTGATTTCTTGTGCATGCAGAGAAGGCGCAACTTGAGGCCGTGATGGATGCTGTCCATGGATTCTGGCCAGCACCAAGTGCCGAGGACGGCGCAGGGAGCTTCGACAACGTTCTGGCCATCACCAAGGAGATGCTGGAAGAAGAAACGAAATAAAAAAAAGATAAGATTGATACATCATATGGTAAATTGGTGAATTTTAAAAAAATGAACTATATAATCTTTGTCGGTGAAAATCCGCACTAGCTCCGCCAAAAAGAGCGATTGTGTGGTTCGACATAAATTATAACGTCATTGACGACCGCCAAAATTTTTAAATCACCAAATTCTCCTACTTAGGTGCGAGCAAACTCATTCAAAACATGTCTAAACTTACTCTATAGCATTTGGAGACCACTACTGGAAAGAAATATTCAAATCCAAACTCGACCAATGGGAAGGCTTCATGTTTCGGATCAAGAAGTTGCTCTTCTGATTCAACTGTTGTATGTACAAGGACTTCCGTTCGGTCGCTGAAAAAAACAGGATCATTCAGAAACGATGTCAAATTTTCGTAAAATAATTTATATCCAACTTGCCTTAAACTCCCTTGTTTGACGATTACAAACTCGATAAACAACCCCGGCTGGACTTGATTTACATTCAAGATGGGCTCAAAATACGTGCCAACATTTTCTCTCTTCCATCTGTAATACCTTTCGGCTTCGCTGACTATCCGAAAGAAATCATTTCCTCGCAAATCCACCTTTCCGTTCCTAATATCATCGATATTGAACCATCCCGCAGACAAGCTCTCAACGTCAGGCACTGTTTTGAGTTCTCCTCCCGTGATTTCGCACCAATAAGCCATCCGATACCAGCCCGATCCCTTGACCTCGACTGATAGTAAGGCCTCAACCCGAGATTCAAAACCCGTCTCTTCCTTGACTTCGCGTTGGACTGCTTGCTGAAAAAATAACATTTTTTGGGGGTTAGAGTTGCTAAGATTTATTTTGATTTGGTTTACAGGGATTATCAGTATAATTCTGGCTGATAGTCAATGGAAACTGGGGAGAGTTGACCAGGAACATTTTCTTGCACATTTTTTGTTTTGGTGATCAAAAAAGACTCATCTATCCCTCATATTTCACTATTTTCATTGCATTTTTTTAGAAACCCGCAATTTTTTACATTGTCAAAGTTTCCGAGCGCTCACCTCAATCGTTTCTCCCGGTTCGACATGCCCTGCGGGCATGTACCATTTCCCTCGGCACTTCTTTTTGGCTTCCTGAATGAGCAGCATCTGTGTGTGGCCTTCGTGTTCTCGGAATACCATGCCCACTACAATATAAGTCACATTGTCGTACACTCGGACCCATGGACAGCCTGAAAAGAAATTGTGTGAATTTTATTTCGCTTCTATTATTTATATCAGGCTTAGCAATCAAAAAAATAAAAGCACAGTGAAAAAAAAAAAAAATTTTCAAAACAGCAGTGTGAATTTACAAAAAAAAACTTTTTTTTCAAAATGACAACTCACGCCCAAGCTGCATGTCCGGAATCCTCCCCAATCTCTGTCGTCTGGGCTTCGGAGAGATCGCCGGAGGCCCCGATGAACTGCTTTCTGATTGGGTGTCGGTGGTCGAGACATTCAATTGACTGGAACTATTGGAAGAACCCGCTGATTCACGTAATGGCACCTCGTCGAAAGTCATTTTGTTTTGTTTCTATGGCAAGAAAGGTTACATTTACTGAAAAGAAAATAAATTTGAGATTATAAATGAAAATTTCGATCAAAAAAAGTAAAGAATAAAACGGAATTCTTGCAAAAATACAAAAAAATATGTGCCATAAACAAAAAAGAGACAATTTTCAAAGATGCTAGAATTTTAGGGCAATTATCACAGCAGGTCGAAAGGGCCAAAAATCAATCCTTTTTTGACCAAAAATTGAAATTTAGTTCAAAACCCTCAGTACTTTACATAAAATGAATTTTTTCTGCAAAAACAGACAAAGATGTACTCAAAAAAGTGATTTATCGCTGACCGCTCCACTCTGAGGGATGGTAAATAAAATTAAAGAAAATCCAAAAACAAAAAATATCCCCAGCATAACTTGCAAGGCATCCCAAACGCCCCACAAATCTCCGCCGTTCCACCCAACAATCCCGGAGTATGTTAGAAACCCGGGGCCGCTTCGGCTTTACGACTCATCAGAGGCCCATAAAGCGGCGGTATAGACAACACATATATCAACGGATAAAAGGAAATTCCCCGCGGGCGTTGTTTTTTCGGGGCCAAGAGTTTTCTCACAGCCGTTTTTTCGCCGTGGCATCCAAGGGGTTTGAATGGAAAATTGTGGAAAAAAGTCTAAAAGACCTCAATTTTGAGGAAAACGGAAGGAAACTTTGCTTTTTTTTTGATGATTAATGGGACTTTTGAACCCAAAATCTGTTTGTTTGGATAGGAGAGGGGAGTTGGGTGATAACTGAGGGACAAAGAAATAATTTTGAGATGACGTCTGGGCAGGAAGCCATTGTTTATATATGTCCCTTGGGGGCAATAAGGCCTTGGAACCCCTTCCAAAAAATGGCGTAACAAAACAACAGATAAAAAAACGCGAGGAAAATTGTAATTGCAAAACGCGGAAGTGTTCAAGAGACGGCGTTTTACATTTTGATACAATTTGGCGGCTGTCAAGATACGTCAAGATGTCAAGTCTACAAGCTTGGAAAAATTTGTATCAAAGTCTTTCCTTAAAACACGATTTTTGAGTCACTGCGTCAGCCAGTAGTGGGGCCCGGTCTTAGGAAAAAATCGATTTTGAGATTTTTGGCTTAAAATAGTCGGTAGCACTTGTGGAAGAAAAGCTAAAAATATTTTTGCCCAATTTTGCCCGGAAGGCATATTTTTTTACAAAATACGTTTTTATACTTCAAAGCCTCTGGAGGCCGATGTGATCCGACCACAGAGATCAAACCTGGCATACAGGGGTTTTTGACACCCAGGAATCTGAAAATCGTAGCATTTTTACCGTCAGATTACTGTAACATGGTCATACTGTAATCCGGTCGATAAAAATCGACGATAACTTCTTTGGATCAAAAATGCCACAGGATTTTATTGCAGATTCGGAATCAGCATAAAATTCTGCTTCGGATACATGTAAAATATGTTCAAAATTCCGTGGCCCAACCTCTGTAGTATAGTGGTTGTGCGCCAGGATTATCAATCTGGCGACCCAGGTTCGATTCCCGGTGGCTGCAAATGGCAGAAAATGGACTATAAAAGGGCGGAAACTTGGAAAAAAGGGAAACTAAATTACAGAAAATTAATTTTATGCTACTTAGGAGCAGTTTAAAAGTTTTTGCAAGAATTCCGCATAAATTACGGTTTTTATGGAAAACGCCTTATAGCTTGCCGGAAAGTGGAGCAATCTGGTTAAAATTTACAGAAGAGGTTACTGAGGCTTCCTACTACAAAATAAATCCATTTCTGCTTATTTCGTTAAATTTTTGGGATAGCCTGGATTTTCTTTCAAATTCGGGATTTTAAGAAGGCGAGCTGCGGCCGAGGTTTATCGAACGGAACAATATTTGACCAAAAAGTCATATAAGATTCACAAAAGGTCATATAAGATTCCCTAACAGCACCGAGATCACACAGCTTGCAAAACTTAGGCCGTCTTGCGTATCCCACGAAAAACGGAGCGCGTGGACGCTCTAATGATAAATCTACATGAAGACACAGTTTATAAGGAACAGAGGCTAAATTACGGGACTGTAACATGCGCGCTTCCATCTGAAAACCAAATGGTTGTTTTATTTTGTTTTGTATTACATTCCTCGGCGGATATGATGAATATTGGACAGAAAGGGTTATGTGGATTCACCACAACTTTTTAGTTGCCGTTTGAGGCGATCTTACGAATGCTGCGAGGCGTTTTCCATAAAAACCGTAATTTATGCGGAATTCTTGCAAAAACTTTTAAACTGGTCCTAAGTAGCATAAAATTAATTTTCTGTAATTTATTTTCCCTTTTTTCCATGTTTCCGCCCTTTTATAGTCCATTTTCTGCCATTTGCAGCCACCGGGAATCGAACCTGGGTCGCCAGATTGATAATCCTGGCGCACAACCACTATACTACAGAGGTTGGGCCACGGAATTTTGAACATATTTTACTGGTGCCCTGACTCAAAAATCGTGTTTTAAGATTCGCTGCAAGAATTGGGGTCTTTAAGTAAAGGGGACAGTGTCAAAAAACTTGCTGTTCTCTGACCAATTCTCTTCATTTCCCATGGTATTATCGCTTGAAGTTCTAGTTGAATACATCGACTGATAATTTCGCAATTTTAAAGGGCTAAAGTTTTTACTGGCCCATTCGCCAAAGTTAGAAAGAACGGAAGCATTATGAAAATGCCTGTAGATATTAAAAATTAAAACTGTATCCGTCATCTTTGAGCAAATAAAAAATGCATTCAACCTCCCCAAAATTCCCTCAGAACTCGGTCCAAACAAAAAATAAAAGTAGAAGTGTCTACGAAATCCCCAGAACAGCGCTCTCAGAAACGACTCAAAAAACGTCTGCCCTCCATTCATTTTATTCATCGGGAGATAATAACAAGGCCTTTGGAATGATCACATCCTGTTCCTGACCAAAGACTAATCGAGGTCTGCGCCCATAATTTAATATAATTCGGGCCACAAAATTCGCGGACGGCCACAATTATCCGTGTTTAAATTTGATAAACATGGATAATTGAATTGGGAAATTTTCGAATTTTTTATCTCTTCTTATGCATATACTACTGTAAGACCCGTCAAAAATACTGTAAATGACGTAATAACAAAGAAAGAAAAATATTACTGAATTTACTTTTTGTAAAATACGACATTTTTATTTATATCAACGGTTTCGAAATCCCATAATTTCCGAAAAACAAAGGCTAGACGGAAAACAAAAGAATAAAGAAAGTCTGAATTTCATTACCAATATGCACGGGATGTATGTTCCTCGGAAATGCCGTACATGCCCAGCTTTCTTGCTTGGAATGTGACGAGTGAGAAGAGGGAAATTGGGGAGGAATGGGGATTTGAATAAGAAGTTAGAGCTAGGTGCTCACACTTAAAGCCAGATTGGCCGAATTTTGCGTTAAAAATGTTTACTATATATAATCAAAAGCATCTATAATATCTCAAGGTACGGCACTCCTATTATATATCTGAAACTTTTAGTGAATGCTCTAACTATATCGCTCATCAAGTGATGAGTAACGATTTTTGAAGGCAAGGGAATTGAAAATTGAGGAGAAACAGTCTTCAAAAAAGATGATTTTTCATTGTGAAAATCCGACAAAATTTTATTTTTCTCATTAAAAATATTGGCGATTTACTCATAGCGCAAACTAGAATTATCAAAACGCCTAGCAATAAGAAACTTTCAGTCTTATTTTCATTCAGCTGCATTAAAAAAATCTAGAAACACAAAGTATGGAAATATACTCCTCCGTTTCACAACTTCATATAAAAACAAAAATTCTGCTACTTCTTTACAGCTGAATATAAACTCTATTCACTCCAATCTGCCACCATTAGTCCCGTAAATAGCTCGGAAAAACGTTTTTTCTTTTTTTGTTTCTTTTTACAAATGACTTCGCACGGTGCGGAAGACTTGAAGCCAATAGGGAACGAATACTCGAATACAAGTCGTAAGAAAGGGATATTTTGGGCCGCAGAAAAAAAAAACGTTCCGGGAATGACGCACTGAGGGAAAGGGGTTACGAAAAAATTAGTGGGATTCGCGGAATGAGCTGCAAAAATTTGGCCATGGACATATATTTTTTGGCCAAATTTTAAAATTTTGATTTTTTTTTAAAGTTTGCTTATGGTGAAAAAAATCAATGACGAAATAACGATCTCGTATTTTACAAAAAAGAAATAATAAAAATTTCATGGTGGTCTCATTTCAAACCTTTTGAAAACCTCAACTTTCGCCCTCAAACCCCAACTTTTTTGCAGATCGGATTTCCCGAAAACAGATAAAAATTAGGTTTCCTGCGGCCATTCCCCCTCATTGTCTTCTTTTTTTCTGGCCGTTGTGGCTTTCGGCCGCCGGCCCAAACAGAATCGCCATTTAAAGCAATGACCTCATGAATGCCAAAGCGCTTACCATGTATTGCTTGGAAGAGGCCGACAAAACATGGGTGGACAAACAATTAGAAGTAAAGCTGGTGAATTTTACAGGGTGTACCAATTTTGTGGCCCAATTTTAATTGACTATAACTTCTTTAATTTGGGGCCAAATTTCAAAATTCTTTTTTTCCCGGAATCCTCAGACATTCCCATTTTAATAACAAATATGATATACAAATGTAAGTCGAACATACAGTTATCAAATCGGGCCACAAAATTGGTACACCCTGTACAAAGGAGCGGTTTAGATTGGAAGAATTATAATTTTGAGTTGGAAATACCTTGAAAATCTCGATGATATCTACAAAACGTGGACTAGAAAATTAGTTGATTTCTCAGAAATTTCAATCATAGCTTTGATCAAGTTGCATCACAATCCGAACCTTGGGCCAAAACCACTTTTTCTATGAACTTAAATTCGACTTTGCAGTCCAATCAGAACCCCATCGTGTTCCCAAATTCGATAAAATATACCAAATAAACCATATATCCCAAAAATCCGTACCAAATCTGATTTCCAATC